ATCTTCTGTTGCATGGTGCCGCGAACGCCTCAGTGATATCGCGACAACGTCAAACAATCAACACCATGTGTATCTGCAATTTTTTGGTAGCAAAGTTCACCGCGCGCATTAGCTGCGCGTGTGTCTTTAAGTGCGTCTTCTAAAGTCATCGCGTTGTTGAGTTGTAGTGTTGAGGATATTTCGTTGTTTTGGTGATCGCGTGCGGAACGCGGAACCGTGCGGCACGAGCTCCGGCACGGTACCTTTCCTCGTCAGCCCCACTAAAGCCCTGTCGGGCATCAAAACCTAATCCTCTATATCAGCACATGCGCGCACTCATTTCCCCGCACTAACTGGCTCCCAGACTGCCAGAAGTTCAGTTCAGCATAGCTCACGGCCAGCAAGGTGAATATCCGATCGTCCCTATCCGCTATTCTCGGCTAACAAAATACACCTTAGACAGCCTTGCTTTCGCTACCGGGACACCGCAGATCCGATTCATCAAGGCCTCGATCGAACACGTCCTTTGCCGCAGATCGATCTATATCTGTGTTACAACAGTGTCACGTACAAAGCCGCTTAGCGCCCACAAGGAATCGCCATGTCTACAGAGGTATGCATATACTTCCATGTCAGATATCCAACCGTACTGAAGCGTGTACGCAAGACCGGTGCCCAGGCTCTTAGAGGGGAATACGAGACTATAGTGAATACCTTCATATTCAAAGGCGTGGACCATGATCGAGAAATCACTGGCAAAGGGAAGCTCATCCAGGTATACGATCCAACAAAGGATATGAGCACTGCGCCATACTGGGAATATGAAGACGAAAGCATACTGGATACAAAGGATGTCCCTGCAGGACATGAAGTGCGCATCGTGAAAGCTACCGTACGATTCCACTAGCTTCGATCAAGCCCAGGTGTCCTACCAGTCGAGAACCCTCCCTGAACCCTACAACTGCTGTTATCGAGATATCATGGTCTCGATTCTTCGGAATTAGTACATTCAAACAGTCTGTCGTCAACCCTCCGAGTTGACGTTCCCATTTCCATTGCTTGCTGGTCTGGATAGCGTGGGGAAGATACTCACACAAAAGACCGAGCTGGACAATCGGCGCCTCAGAGAACCTGTACTCAATTTCTACGAATGTTGTTAGAGTTCTGCTGCGTTAGGACAGATAATTTCACCAACCTCTTTCTGGTGGTATTACATCTCCATGTTCAAGAGATATTACGGGACTTGACACGTTTGTTGTGCTTCTTGCAGTATGTAACTCGGTCGGAGAAGCTTCCTTACTATCGTCTGCATTCTCCTCTGTTATCAGAACTGGTTTGGTATGTTTTTGAAGCCGTTGAGAGGATATGCTGCTCCATTCCGGTGCACGTTTCTCTATAACATGTTAGTCTACAATCAAGAGCGATGGAATGTTGAGAGTGACATGCCTACAACGTCTGACCGTCTCCTTTTTAAGCTACGTGCGTGTAATTCCCCCGGCCAATCAGGCTCTGCATCTTAAAAGACGAGTTAGCTACAATGTTGCGTGTAGGCGGCGAGGACTCACCAGTCTTCTCGGGTATCTGATGCTTTTTGGCAAGCGAATCTAGGGCGGGCGAAGAGAGAGCTTTCTGATTCTGCTTGAGATACTGCAGCAGACTTGTCCTGTCTTGTGCATTGAGAGATGCAATTCTGTGTTTGCCTAGACTTGCTGCGCACAGCATGACCAACGTCCGGTTGCATTGGCAACAGACATCACGAAGGAAGGTTTGGTAACACTTTCCCTCACGTGTTGTCTGTTTGGATAACAGGACTTTGATGGCGGAATCAACGAGCTCCGACTCTTTCTTGTCCAACCGCTCTAGAATGCTCCAGTTCTTTACGTTTTTCCGCACTTTCTCGGTGCATTCCGAAACAGCACTCGATTGCTCTGGATCTAACACCAGTTTACGTGCCTGGACTTCTGATCTAAGTGAATATAAAGTTTCTCTGCTGATGATCAGGAGAGTTTCCAAATCTGAGTCGTTCACATCCTCATAGCCTTCTTTCCAGGTGAAGCTACCCCTCTTTTCCGTGCTCAAGATAATGCACGGTGATTCCATCATTTGGTCCGTATGGGTCGTTGAAATGATTGAATCTAGACAGATCCACATAGGAAGGGAAGAAATAGACAATTGAGAGGGCAAATGGATGGCAATGTCGAGGTACAGAATCATGGGTCAGCGGCAGGCGAGGGAGATGGATTAGGGTAGTTGCAGCACGGGCACCTAAAGTTGGTGCACACGCGGTCTCAAGTATCGGAAAACATATGATTGGCTTCAAATGTTTGACGATAATTCATCCACATCCAATAGATCAGCACAACAGTTCCGTACATGGCATAGCCAAAAGAGCGGGGAACGGAAGACCAGGACGGGAACTTAGTGTAGTATTGAGGCGGAAGTGGCGTGGCGTTTAAGTGGCATCCAAGACCTTTCATAGGGTCTTATCGGGCGTTGAGGGTTCGTTGAAGGGCACGTAGATGGCTCGTTGAGGGGGTGTTGAGGGGATGTTGAGGGGGCATTGAGGGGGTATTGAGGGGGCATTGGGGGCCATTTGGGGCCGTCGTGACTGGAGATTGCAGGGACCGCTCGTATTCGACTGACATCTGCTTTTTGAACCCTGTAATTGCGCACTGATGCTGCTTTCATCGCATTCTCATGACTGAACAATTGTGTTAGATATTTAATATGCAAAACGTACCATGCACACCCCCATGAGGCTGTAAAGTCCTTCAGTCCATTTCCTCACCGCTTCTCAGTCCTTCACCGGTGACGCTCAGGTATCTACACTGAGTCGAGAAATGGCTCAATCACAGCCGGTATGTGCCCCTGTGATATACTTTCACAAGATCTCATCGTTTCGCTAGGAGAAACATCCGGAGTACTCATCCACAGAACACTCTTCGACCCCCACAGTCGACACGACACACAAGGCGGAGCCCCCTTGTACTCCTCGAAGGGTCATCGATGTCTTCATTCGCGATGGAGTCGGCTATGTAGAGGTGGCTCTATACCGTGAATCTAAGGCCATTAATCCCGAGCGAACAGTGTATGAACATTTCCCACAAACTTTCACGGTGGATGTGTTCAAGCAAACATTTGTTGGGCCTCAGCATGGAAGATTACAGGAACAGCTTAACGAGAAGATCGCAGAGCTCAAAAGTAACGAGGCAGGAGACGAAAAGGCCAGTACATGGAACCAACGACTTACATGCTGGCTTCATTGTGTCTTTTTGTGCTTCCCAGCCGTACGAGAACGCTCGAACGGCCGCCCACCTGATCCCATCCAAGTGGGTGATATGGAACGTCGCAACACCATCAACAAGGATGACACCGACTCTCAGGTAGCCTCAGGGTCGTCTGTTGCAGAACAAAAGCGTGTCTCACGACAGCCTGACCGCGTCGCTATGATGGGATGTACGTGGCAGGTCGCATCCACGGAACAGTCCGATCAGGTGAGTGCCTACTGCTCACTAATACTGGCTTTAGCTCACTAGAATCTACAGACATCAACTCAGCAGCTTCTTCCGTTTCGACCCACGACTGCTTGCGACAGACAATCTGCACATTCTGTCAATACTTCACTTAGCGTGGGAGACACTGTTATATGGGTTGAGTCTCTTAAAGCAACACGCTCAGGGGTCTGGGCGACGAAGATACTAGTGCGAAGAAATCAAGAGTGTCTGTTCTTAAGAAGAGACATTAGCTTTGAGGAGCTGTGCCTTGGTCGAGAAGATAACATCGAAGGGGTTGTCGGTTCTTTCGATTACTCCATAGCCTTAAGTCTGCATTGGTACAGAAGAGATGTCCAGTACGCTATATATACTGGACCTCCGATAGAACAAGTGGTAGCTGCTTCACAATACCGCCAGGTATTGAAGAAAGGTGGCATTGTGTGAGTAGCGCCACGAGGAAGTGGGTGTAGTGGTTCGAGCTAAATTGGAAGTAATATCAACACGTCAAATGTACTATCTTGACTATGGCGATCCCCCTTTCCCTAGTGTTGCCCAAAAGATAACATCCCTGAGGTTGAGAAATGTGAATCTGCTTATGGCTACTGTAGTAGTAATCTTGTAATCGTCAAAAGCTATGAGTATGTGTCCCATTCCGATCCCCGTACAGACGCACTGTGCACGAATCCTGACAAGGGTGCGTCAGTGCCCGACGTGCCGTCCTAGTGAAGCACGGGTAAAGACCAGAAGGATGCCGAGGACAGGTCGTTTCTGCATTGGCTCCTGGCCCCTGTCAGCATGAAATTGAGCCAGACAGCACTAGATTTAAATCACCCCAGACCGCCGGCCACTATCCTTGAGCAGATTCTGAGTGAGATCGAAGACAGTAACGTGTGAAACCACTCCGCCAACATGTCCTCCAGAGCCCAGACTCTGTACGCCTGCGATCGGTATCCCCATCCATCCAGAGCTGTTGAACAGTCACTGACATCCAGTGACAGATGCCGTCTACGCAGGACACGATGCGTCCTCGGAGAAGATGACAGTTGCACCCAATGTACAAGAGCAGATCTTGAGTGCGCATTCTTAGATCTACCCAAAAAAGTAGCGCGAAAACAAAAGAGAGCGCCCAATTACAGGACAAAAGGCCCCACTGTACCATCTGAAGAAGACAGGTTTAGCAGCTGCTTGAAATGCCAAGAGAAAGAAAGTCTCTTGCAAGATTGTCTCAGATCGTAGGTCCTCCTGAAGCTCAACCATGAACCTAAACTAAGGAGTGCAAAGCATTGTGATGCTATCGAGTACTGCAACTGAGTCCGAGACAGGCACATCGATTTTCGACGGAGGAGCAATTGGTAATGCAGAAGCAGATTCCCAGATGAACGCCATCGTGGACTGTATTCGTGCTCATAACACCGCGCCTGTTCCCCACAAGACATGTACTCTCGACCTTCCAGTTTACCTGTCAGAATTCAAGGCTTCAACGAGGGTCAAGATATGCCTGCCAATCTTAGCAGCTCGTGGTTTGGCTTTGAATTCACTGGGCAGCATCACCGGCTACCTGACCGCGTTCAGATGGTCTCGATCTTGCAGTATTCCAGTCCGAACGGAATGTCAAGAGCTTCTTGAAAGCCTTGCAAAAGTAGCGAAAGATCTATTGCCTGTGATTCGAGATGAAGCTACCAAGACCTTTCTGGTGCTTCTAAGCCGGCTGGGAGAGCAAGTGCTGTTGAAAGGCGTTTGGTTTGAGTTTTGTGGGTTAGGGAGCAAAAAGGCCGTCGTAAGGCATGAAGGAGAGATGCAGACGATAGATCTTGACGTCGTGGCCAAGTATTTGTCTAAAGGCTAAAGTGGATCGTCTGTTGGATTCTAATTGATCACTGGATTGAAGTGCTATGCTCTCCTAAACCCGCGCTTCCTCATATCGCTGATACAACTGCCCTAGATCTTTCCACTTGCCCTGATATCGCAGCACCGAAACAAGAGTATTGACGCTTATCAGCGTAGAGGGGTGATACCACCCGAGCTCTTCTATTCTACCTTCTAAGCACTGCCACTGCAGTGCCTCAGATTCTTCATACTTGCCTTGATACTGTAGCAACATTGCCAAGTTGCTTATACCAGTAAGTGTAGAAGGATGATACTTTCCGAGCATACTATAAAAGCCATTCAGGGATTGCTGAGTCAGCCTCATCGCCTGCTTATATTTACCTCGAAGTTGCAATACAAGCGCCAAGTTGCTCATGCTCGTCAGTGTATCCACATGGTACAAACCCATCAGTATCTTGCTCCCACTTAGTGCCAGGCGACTCAGTTTCTCCGATTCTTTGTATCTTCCCAGATGCTGAAGCGCTAATGCCAAATTGCTGGTACTTGTAAGCGTGAAGGGATGCAGGGAACCTAATGTCTGCTGAAATCCCTGCAGAGCTCTTCTATTCGATACCACCGCTTCGACATGATTTCCCAGGCTCGATAACACCCCAGCTAGGATTTCTACACTCAAGAGAGTTCGATAATCGTACGGCCCCAGCACTCTCTCTCGCACTATTAGCGCTTCTTTGATCATCTTGTGCGCCATGTCGTAGTTCCCTTGCCTCCATAGATACCATGCCACATTCGTGGCTATCTGCGCCCATGCTTCCCATGACTTGGGAGTGACCGGGGCACTGTTGTAGGCGAGGTTGGCATGGGGAAGCAGCTTGCAGCATTCGCTCCAGTTCTCATACTCCCCAGTAGGAAATTGTTGTGCTAAGCTCTCAAGGTAGGGGTCGTCTCTGTTGCTTTGCAGTGATAGATCGGCATTCGAGTTGTTTTGTAGCTTATTCGTGTAAATCTTATCTTGCAGGCTCTTTGAAAGATTATGCTTGATCGTGATCCTTGTATAAATGTTCAGCGTCCTAAACTTGAGATGTTCAAGCATGCCCGGCTTGTAGACCTCGAAAAGATCCATGTCTTGAGATAGAGGTGGCATCAACCGCATCAGAGGGATGAGAATTCTTTGAGCGCAGGCCTTGGAAAAGTAGGTGGCTGACAGAACTTCGATCAGTGCTGTGAGAACGGGCTGCGGTTTCTGCGCGGCTGTAGGCATGTACTACGGGAATGGAAATTGTCAGCCTGGCACCTCAGTTCATACGGTACACTGTGAACTGCACCTCACGTGACTGTGTTAGTCACCTGCTTACTTATCTGGTTGTGTATATAATTGCTCGCTGTAGCTCCCTCAATACAACAACCTTCTGCCTCATTTGTATCTGCCCTATGCTCCTACATCTGACAGTTATGAGCCCGGTATCCCCGCACTACGCTGCGATACTCAAATAAGATTGTTCACCCTTTTTTTAATTGATTGCTATACACGCTGTACACAAAGTACACGTCGTCCCTACAATCCTCCTATTGTTGCATGCCTGCTGTCGTCGCAACCTTTTGAGATTATATCTTGTCTACTAAGGCCATCTCCACGCCTCTAGTACTTTTGATTGTTATACACGTTGTACACGTCGTCACTGCAATCCTCCTGTTGCTGCGCGCCTGCTGTTGTCGCATTTACGCAACGCCGTGAGAACCAGTTCTCACACTTCGAGGTTTTACCTTATTTTCTCTGCCAATTAGCAAGGCAGCTCTTTTGCCACTATGGCTACTACAATCCTACAAGGTTCCGCGGACTGGATACCTTGGTACGCTGCCAAACGACGATACGCTACGATCAAGGGCGTATGGCAGTACTGCGATCCTGATTCAGCTACTCCGTCTCCACCACCTGTTGCAGAGCCATCTGATGAGGCCTCAGCGGACAAGTGGAAGATCTGGGAGATCAAGTCTAAACGCCAGGAGTTGATCTAAAAAGCAATTGGTGAGGTCAATCTTGAGATCCTACGCACTGTCGCTACGTCACACGTCCACCTCATTAATGGGGCGGAGCACGACGATCCTCGGAGTCAGCTTACGACGCTCCGAAAGCATTTCAAGGTCACAGACCAGCAGCGCAGGCTAGAGCTTGCTGCCAAGTACAGCGATATTCAGAAGAAGCCAAAGAACCAGAGCACCCAGGCCTGGCTGGACGAATACTCGCAGATCACATCTCAATGTGCTCAGGAGAGCATGCCAGAGATGACAGAGACCCGAGCACAGTGGCGATTCATCCATGCTGTACGGGACTTAGGAGATGAGGCATGGGCTCAAGCCCAGTTCCTCGCCATGGAGCAAGGCGAATCAAATGCCCTTCTGCCAACTCCTACCCTGCAGGATTTGATCAGCCAGTATCAACGAACAGTACCTACAGCCTAAAACGCAACTCAGCTACTAGGAAGCTTTACATCTCTGTCTATCACGGAGCCTAAGCTAAACGATCACCTGAAGAAGGACTAATCAACAGGTCAATCAACGTGCGTCTGTGGGCTCCACCCATCAGTACTCCAGTGCTTCACTCTCAATCCTGAGGCTAAAGGCAGGTTTAAGGACTTTAAGCCTAGCACAAAGGCCTTATCTAAGCTTGTTGTATCCTTTCAAAACAAGGATACGCTTAAGAAGGTCAAGAAGGCCTACAAGGACGCCAGCATACGATGGACGTTCGACCTAGAGAAAGCTAAGGCTGAGATAGCTAAACGCAAAAACTCCGCATCACGTCATGCTCATCAGGCCGATACTGCTTCAGACTGTAGCTCCGATGGATACGCGTCCAATACAGCCTGTCTCAAGCAGCCCTTGCAGCTGCTGCAGTCCAATACTGCACTATCGCTGCACGCTCAATCGCTGCAGCACCGATGGGTCATGGACCCTGGATCAGACGTTCATATCTGCAACAAGGCAGGATCTAATTAGAAGCAGACAAAGCTTCCTTCCTCTTAAGACACTGTACAAGCAGGCTGTAACTTGTATTAGATACAAGCCTAGGGAGAGGTAACTCTTAACATAAAAAGGGGCAATCAGACAGCCTCAATCACGCTTAAGAAAGTAGCATATATCCCAGGATATGTAGCCAATATCTTCAGCCTAAGCTGCTGCAAGAAGATCCACTTCAATTTAATAACAAACACGCTCTTTAGGGAGGATAAGTCACTATCTCTCTTTATAGACCTTAATTAAATTAGAGGTTACTAGTTCTTAAAAGCTCAAGACGCCAAACAGCCTTTTCAGGCTATGGCAGCTGCTTCTACTCAAGCAAAATCACCTCAAGTTGTCACTGCGATGAAAGCTCATCAGCTGCTTGGCCATCCAAGCCATCAGGCTATCGAGCATCTTAAAAACTCCACAACTAGCCTCACATTAGGCACCAACAGAAAAGGAGAACAATGGACAGATTCTTGCATCCCTTACATTAAGGGCAAGATAAAGGAAGACGTTAGTCGACGTCCTTAAGCTGACAAGGCTTACCGCCCTTTCTACCGCATCATTGTGGACATCATTCAGCTCCAAAAGCATGGCGAGGCCTGCTACAACAGTGATGTATGGGCACTACATGCAGTATGTGAGTACACAAAACTACATGAGATCTGTACTCTCAAGGATTAACACAAGGCTACTGTTGTTCCTGCAATCACACGTCTTATTAACAAGATTGAGCGTGTATATGGCTACCAAGTAGCTATAGTCTTCATGGACGGAGACGTAGGATATGGACGAGCTGAGGCCAGTTTAGGCTCTTCTGCTCAAGAGATCCTCTCATCAGCTGGCATCAAGGTTGAGACAAGGTCTCCTGATACTCCTGCACAGCTAGGGGGTGCTGAGCGAGCTAGTGCTATTATTGTTACCGTCGCTAGGGTTCTTTGTATCCATGCTGGTCTACCAAAGATGTTGGCCAACGAGCTAGTCTGCACAGCAGCAAGGCTGCTCAACATCACGCCTACGAGATCTATTGACTGGCGCACACCACATGAGATGGTCACTAGCGTCCGCCCAGACCTCTCTCAACTCCACGCTATTGGAAGCCGTGGATTTGTGCTCAACAAGCACCTGGCTAGAGGAGATAAGCTCGAAGATCGCACTTTTGAGGGATTCCTCCTCGGCTATAACGCCTCGAACATCTATCGAGTATGGCTGCCAGCCACAAATCGCGTCATCCGCGTACGCGACGTACGCTTTGTAGACGAGCTTTACAAGGATAAGCCGTCTGCTCTACCTGCAAGGTCTCATATCGTCAAGACTGCACACATTCCTGAGGAGGAATACGATAGTGAGACTATCGTCGTCGCTCAGCCAGTGCGGCAGCGACAGGCTGCAGTTGCTCTAACTCCTGCACAGAAGCAAGTACAGCAACTGCCTTCTCCTACTACTACTGCTCGTAGTACACCTGATTCTCACGACTGTCCTGATCCGGCTGAGCAACAGCTATTTCAGGAGTCCTCTGCTGCTGCACAGCACATGACACCTAGGGGGTGGAACTCTAATGAGAACCCTGATGAGGACTCAGATACGATCAGAGCTGATACACCTGACCTAGTCACGCATGCGCCATACGTCCCAGATCGACATCAGAACAACGCTCCTCAACGACGAGATCCAGATCTCTCACAGGACAACATTATCACTGGCAGAAGACGCCGCCAGGCGCACTTCATTAAGGCTAGTCCTTTGACTAAGTACTATGCCTTTGCTGCTATTATTTAGCAATCACGTAAGGCTACTTCTCTTGCCTCAGAACTTAGGATCAAGCCTGATCCTACTCGCCTTCATCGAGATGATCTTCCTCCTCCACCACATCACTGGAAGGAGCTCCAGCACCACCTACACGGGAAGCAGTTTACAGCTGCTGCCTATACTGAGTTTGGTAACTGCTGGAACAAAGGCACCTTTGCAAAACTAGATATCACAGTCTCATACATTGATGACGCTGTACCTTTGATGTGGGTTTTTACCTACAAGTTTGATGAGGATGGCTATCTACTCAAATACAAGGCTCGCCTTGTAGTGCGCGGGGACCTGCAGGAGCAGTACGGCGATACCTACGCAGCCACTCTAGCAGCACGGCTTTTCCGAGCGCTTATGGCCCTTGCCTGTGCCTTCAACCTCAAGGCCATGCAATACAATGTGCCAAACGCCTTCCTCAACGCTCTGCTAGATCGTACTCTATATGTGAGAACTCCAGATGGATTTCAGCACAAATACGGTCAAACACTGCAACTTCTACGCGCTCTCTATGGCCTCAAGGAAGCTCCTCGCCTGTGGGCAATCCACTTCCAGGAATCGCTTCGAAAGCTAGGCCTACACCCTGTTCAGGGCTTTCCATGCCTGTGGATGAATAATAGGGTTATTCTCTTCTTCTATGTGGACGATATCATCATCCTGTACCACATAGACTATCAGGAGGACTTTCAGCAGCTTGAACAGCAACTAATTAAGCTCTACAACCTGCGCCAGATTGGCGATGTTAGATGGTTCCTTGGTATCCGAGTTGAACGCGTCCTGGCTAGCTGTTAGCTCTACCTTGTTCAGGATGCTTTCATTAATAAGGTCTGCACTGAGTACAACCTTATCCGTACTGATAGTAGATACCTATCTACGCCTCTCTCTTCTACTTTAAGGCTATTGCCTTACAATGGCCTTTCAGAGCTATTAAACACAAAGGCCTACTAACGCCTTGTAGGCAATCTTGCGTACATTGAGGTCATGACTCGACCTGATGTAGCACATGCTCACTCTGTCCTTGCAAGGTTTCTTACAAACCTAGGACCAATACACCTCTCTGAGATTAAGCACGTGTGGCAGTACCTGTACGGAACTAGGTACCTAGCCATCAGTGCTTGAGGGGGTGAGCCTACACAGACCTACGCTACCAAGATTAATTCAACTACTCCAACATTCTTTGGTGCTGCTGATGCATCATTTGGAGATGACGTTGAGACTCGTCGATTGTCTGCTGGATACGTGTTCATGCTCTATGGCATGCTAATTGACTGGAAAGCTACTGTACTTTGATCAGTTACTTGATCTACCACTGAGGCTGAGCTGTACGCTCTCTCAGCTGCTGGCGTTGAATCACAATACTGGGATCGCTTCTGCCGCAATATTGGCTTTACGCTGCATACCAAAAAGGCTCTCTAGTGTGACAATGCACAGACTGTACGCCTTGTTCAAGGTGATGCAGATCGCATCCAAACAAAGCTTCGCCATGTTGATATACACCAGATGTGGCTTTGCTAGGAGGTAGACTCTGGAAGAATCGCTGTTGAGTGGAAGCCTACTGCTGAGATGCCTGCTGACGGCTTCACAAAGCTGCTTCCTTGACAGAAACACGAGAACTTTATAGGCCAGCTTGGCTTGAAGGACATTCATCACTTAATAGTCAGGGACTCTCCTTGCCCTCTACCCCTTAGTTAGCTAAACTAGCTGCGCAGTATGCGTAAGCATCTCACTCTCTTAGTATTTTTCCTTGTTTTGTGAGGTTTCTATCCAACATGGAATCCTTAGGGGGTGTGTTAGCCTAGCACCTCAGTTCATACGGTACACTGTGAACTGCACCTCACGTGACTGTGTTAGTCACCTGCTTACTTATCTAGTTGTGTATATAATTGCTCGCTGTAGCTCCCTCAATACAACAACCTTCTGCCTCATTTGTATCTGCCCTGTGCTCCTACATCTGACAGATAAGATCCTTCATGACGAAGCTAATGATCTCCTGGTTCTGGAATGGTGTGTATTGATAACGCGTGTGGATTTTGATGGCACGCTTTAGACTGTTCAAGCGGTTAAGGAGGGTTGTATCGGTGATACAGTCCTCCAAGAGTCCAGTGCGGGTTTGAGCAAACCATTCAAGGAAAAGCTTGATCTGAAAAGTCGTAGGTGCCTCTGTAAAACGTTGCTCAGCCATCGGCTTCTCTAGGATATGTTCCGAGAAGCTTAGCAGCCAGTTAGCTATCTTTCCTTCGCTTGTAGCCATGCGATGTAGAGCTTACTACGACCATTGCTCCATTGTGAACCTGTAGGAGTCATGACTGGATTTTATAAGGGCTCTCTTAATATCCTCAGAGCTGAGAGGTTGTGGCGCTATCTCCTGTCGAGCGCGCTTCTTGAATGCCTCAAGATCGATCGCTCTGCCCGCTTTCCTTTTGATCATAGCGGTGAAGAAAGAGGTTCTGAGTTGTTGTTGCTGCGTCTTGCTCGTCGTAAAGGCAGAGGGATGGGGAGCGAGCAGATGAAACAATCTATAGGTGGGCGCCAGCAAAATATTGCAGTCAGCATCATGTCGGAGGTCGGCATATTGTAAAATTATAGACCAGAATCTTGTCTCCAGTTTGTATGAAGAAAGAGGGAGCAAATTGGTCAAGATGGAGCCTAGCTCGCCAGAGGCGTGGTTACCGAGAACGGGAAGGCGTACCACGGCATCCCCAAAACGGTCCCACGACAGACGGCGGATCGGACAGGAGAACTTGTTTTCAACGTCCTGTGGTCGTATGTGGAAGCCGAGGCAATTATTAATAATTATAAAGTACCTCACTGGCGAATGGCCGGCCCGGGCGAGTGACCGGATTTTGCCAAGATCACACCAAATTTCATACAACTTGCGATGTCTCAACGCAATAAGGTTTAAAGCATCTTAAAGGAATTCGATAAACAGCTTGCTATCTAGGCTCTTAACAAGAAGCGACTCTTACTATTTTGCGCACTGCAACAATCTACAAGGTGTTAGAAAGAACACTAAGATAATAACGTGCTAGAACACTCTTACAATATAATTGTAAGGTTAACTTAATAAAGCTAATAAGCACTAAAGAGGAGGTGATTGTGCAGCATGTTCTAAAGCTAGACAAGCGAGGATACCCACCTCAGCTTACTGATGTGGAGGATATAGCCAACTCTCTACTTACTGAGCGCTACTAGCCTCCTGTTGGCAAGAACTAGGCTAGCACGTTTGTTAAGCGTCGCGTTAAGCTTATAGTTAAGTTTAATTAAAAGTACAACTACAAGACAGCTGTAACGACGCAAGCAAGAAGAGAGATATCCGGAATAGGTGTGAATCCGCTACGAGGCATATGGGAGTGCTGGGATGATAAGAACACCAGGATATATTCTCTACACCTATAGGTCTTGTATAAAAGGATATAGAAAAACTACTCTACAATGCTACAGTTCCTTGCTCCTTATATATAAGGGTTTAGTGGCAGTTTAGTGTGAGCTTATGCCATGCGACAAGGGCCATGGTCATGAGTCGCTAGAACCGTATCCTAGTGGTATCGGGTCACTGTTCGTAGAGCGTTGTTACAACAGCCCTCTGTAAGGATCCTAAGGTAATCTAGGGCTAGTTCTGCCTAGTAGAGAATACTAAAGCTAAGTATAGTATCCTAGATAAAGACACCTACAACTTTAATAAGTCTAGGTTTATAATAGGCGTTATATTGACTAGAGCTGTTGTCACAGGCCATAAGCATTAAGGAAGGCTAAAGACAGTACAGCAGGGCAATTAAGAGTGGACTAGCATTATCTAGGGCATTAACACGTTAGGATAGAGTATCCTACCCTTTGTTATCTTCTATAGCAAGCGCCACCTCTCTCTCTAGTACAAGGAGCTGTCTATACCTTACAACTAGGTTATTACTTGTAAAGAAAGTAGGGGAGGGACTAGACTACTTTCTTCCTAGTCTAGAAGGACCTAGATAAATCTAGACTAGCTTTGTCTAAATAGGAAGCGTATAGCCTAATAAAGGTAAGGTAGGGTTATGTAATATAATAGACAAGTTATTATATTAGATACTAGGTAGATATTCCTAGGCTAGGTATAGAGCAAAAAGAGGGGGGAGAGGCAGAGGTATTTATACTTCCTCTCCTCTGTCTGTATTTCGAAGTAGAACGTTCTAGACTCCTCTAGGTAGGTCTACTTAGTAATCTATGCTTAGTATTGCTGCATATGCATCAGGAAAAGTTTTTCTGTTGTCGAAATCAGGAAATCGTGGCATTGTACTGTAGGCAACAGTAGGACTTGTAGGCCTACAATAGGTATTTAATGTGCATTTAATGTCTAGCTAATTTTAAGCTAACAGCTCTAATAGCTATAATAACTCCTAATCCTGCTATAATAGTAGCTCTACTTAATAAACTATACTTTTATTATATTAATATACTACTAAGTCTCCTTTTTAAAATAAGCTATTAAATAATATTATAGGCCTATTAATAGAATAGTTATTAAGTATAGAAGGTTTTAAGCTTAATATTCCTTGCTAAGACACTAAGTTAAGATTCTTTACTAGGGCTCTAGCAGCCTAAACATTAGAAAATATAAGAATATTATTTAAGAATAGTAGGTAAACTAAGAATTCTACGCCTAGACCTGCCTATTCTGCAGTGTGTGCTTGTTAGCAGGTGCTTTGTTGTGTGCTGTTGCAGCTGCTACGTCGTGTGCTGTTGCAGCTGCAGCTGATACATTGTGTGCTGGCGCAGCTGCAGCTGCTATGGTGTGCTGTTGCAACTTTAAAACACAAACCTTTAACAAACAAACCTTTAACGCTCTATAAGTTGCGTTGTAGTAGGCCTACAATAATAATTTTTTGCTTATTTTAAAGCTACAATTTCGCTCTATCTGTACATAAAATTTTGCAATTTTTAAATATTTAATACTAGTGCTAACGTAGATTATCACCAAGCCAGCTATATCACCAAACCAGCTATTTTCTCTTAGCACAACTAACATAAGTTACTATAACTATAACTACTTACTATTAAATAGTAACCTAGCATACTACGTGCTTGTATTAGATTTAGAAGATATTTCTATACCCTCCTAGCATATTTGTGTGTTGTGTCTAGTTTTGCTGTAGTTCCTACAGCGCTAAACAGTTAACTAAGCTCCTAGTTGACCACCTCTACCCTAAGTCTTCTTAGATGGCTGAGCTGCTACACACGCCTCAGCAGCTACCCGCGATGCTGCTAGGCCATACTCAAGTGTGCCACCATGCTGAATCTGCTTTCTCTTACGCGATTTTCTCTTAGTTATTACTGCTAATTGCTCTTTAAGCTCTTGCACGCGGGCCTTAATAAGGACGTTTTTGTGTAGTATCTCTTTAGCCCCTTTTATAAGCTTTAAGAACCCCTCTTGTGCTATACTTAGTAATTGTTAGAAGGAGTTGCTTATAAGCTTAGATTAAGACCTAAACTTGTGTGTATTGCTTAGCGTCTTAGATTATTACAGTATTTTAGGTAGAGGTACTGCTAATAGGGTATGTAGCTGCACTTTAAGGCAATCTTACACTACCTGCATGTTAGTAGGAATAAGCCCTAATACCTTAAAGGCCTTTTAGTAGTTAACCTTTATAAATATATTAAGGAACACGTCCCTAAAGGCTAATAGGAAGCCTTCCTTATTAATATAGAAGATATATTAGCATGCTAAGTCTTAAATATATTAGGAGTACTTACGCTTTAATAGCAAGAAATAGACTATATTAAGTAGCTAGAGGATGTGTAATAAGTAAGGTAGTATATAGAGAGTAAGGATTTAGTTCTCTAGGTAATAGTCCTTAAACTCCTAGTTAAGATAGCTCTTATAGCTGTCTAAGATAAGTAACCTATATACTCCTACCTAACACGTCTTTATATATGTGTTAAAGTGCTTTAACTACTTAAGGCTAAGTATGTTATTTATCTAACTATTCTTAGAGACTAAGAGCTTCTAATTATAGGGTATATCTGTCTCCTTATACTAGGCAGAGATGTGGACGCGTCCTTTGTAGATGATAAAAGGCGGGGTTGCATACCTAGCAGCGCAGATGCTCTGGATAACGGTAACCCACTCGCGATCACCTGGCTGAACAAGCTCTGGCTGAGCACGTCTCTCTAAGCCTGTTACAACCTTTAAAGACAAAGCAACACCTATCTAGAACCTAGTTTTATTAAAGTTATGTATATTATTATTGCAAACACTATACTTAACTTAAGTATCCTCTACTAGCTTAAACTATATGCTAATTATCTTAGGATCTTCCTATAGTATCCTCTATCTATCCTTAGCTTAATTAAAGGCTATTTTAAGCTTGTCTAAACGTGTCACAAGCCTGCTAGCCTATAGTTTACTAACAGGCTCTTCACTACGCACACTAAATATCTTATTAGCTATATCTACCACCTTACATAGCTAGGGCGCAAATCCTTGCGAATTAAGGTTAAGTATATACTAGACAATTGTCTGCTCCTCTAGTATAGTAAGTTTCTAGCAATTAGCGTGTATATCTAGTTAAAACGTAATATTGCAAAGGTAATTAGAGACCTACTAATAAGGTACATTCAACGCTCTAGCAGCGCTGTAGATACTGCGATATTAGCTAGCATAGAAGGCCTAGATAGCAAGGATAACTCTGCCTTCTCTAGTAGTATTCTAAAGTTGTTGTTATTAAGGCATGTTGTGTTAGGGTAAAAGGTGGTTGTGCTAAGAGAAAGTGGCTAGTTTAGTGATATGGCTGGCTCGGTGATAATCTACGTTAGTAGAACTAAGGGTAGCTATGCAACAACATTGCAACGTTGTTTTAAGTTCATTAAATATAGGCACTTAGCGTTTTAGCTGTTAGCAATGTTGGCGCGAAATTAGGGCTGTTGGGCGCAAATTAGGGCCGTTGGGGCTGTTGAACGGCCGTTGCACGACCATGCCACAACTGTCAGCAACGGCCAGTCTGGGCCAGATTTCGAAAAACTTTTCCCGATGTGCAAGCAAGATTACATAGGTGCATGTGTAATTGTATACGGCAGCATCTACAAAGTAGGCTACTCTATTTTTAAGTAGAGGATCTTGAACATTTCTAGTTACTAAAAATAGAGAATAGCATATCTTAAGAATAAGAGGAGATACAGGCTTCATAAGCACACGATTCTAATCCTCTCTTTTAGTAGATTATAATAACAATGCTTAGGTAAGCATAGCGCTATACCTAAGAAGGAAATACGCCAGAGAAAGATTATAAGAACAAAGTCTTATAACTTTACATTACACAAGGCCTGTGCCTCTAAACGCTGAGCAGATATTGTCTGGCGTAAACAACCGTGTAAAGGCTGCCTTAAACGCTGGCAGAAACTTAAGCTTAGTAATGTAGTTAATATAGTGGCAGATTAGGCTCTTAACCTCACAGCTGTACGCGCGCTTCAACAGCAAGAAGTAGCTAATATTAAGAGGCTAAAGTAGATAAGATAAGTAAGGCAGCATGTAGAGTGTGTAGATATTATTCTCCTTGCAGAGCTCTTAAACCTTAAGAGAGTAGTGGCTCTTATAGCTATTAAGGACAAGCAGGCAACACACACTAATAACACAAGTCTTTGTATAAGCGTTAAAGTGCTTTAGCTACTCTACTCCTAGCTTATTATTTGTCTAGCTATTTTTGCTAACTGCAATTACCTAGTTATGTAGGATCTCTACTTCCTTGTACTAGGCAGATAGATAATACTAGCTAGCAAAGATAAGGAATAGTGGTACTGACTAGCTAGCAGCGTTAATTGCAGCAATTAACATCACCTACTTGCAATTGCCTAGCTAAATAGCCTTTGGCTAACCTCTCCTCTCTAACCCTGTCACAACAAGCTAAGTTATGATCTTGCCTATTATAAAGCCTGCCTTGTTAAAGTTATAGACGTCATTATTATAGACGCTGTACCTAGCCTTTGTCTGCTCTACAAGCTTAAACTACTAACTAATTAGGGCTAGATCCTCGCATAGAGCTCTCTGTCTATTGTACACTTAATTAAAACGCGTTATGAGACTGTCTGTACGCTTAACAAAGGTAGATAGCTAGTTAACTCCTACGCGTCCTCTGCTGCGCGCAGCAAGCAGCTTATCAGCCATATCACGTACAGCTGCGTACGTAGGCGCAAATCCACGTTAGTCTAGATCCAATATATGGCGGATAATCACCTGCTCCTCTGGCTCAGTGAGCTTCTTTGAGTTGGGCTGGCAATCGCGTTGGGCAGGTATACCAGCGCGTCAGCGGTGGATTGTTCGTTCAGACACGCTAAAGATAGTAGCAGCCCTGCAATTGCTCTGTATTTGATGGGAACTGATAGAGGAGATAGCAAGCTGAACGTCTGCTTCATTTGAAGCTAATAGAGTAGCGCTGCGTTGAGCCATTGTACATTGAGATGAGAGAGGTGCGCAAGTTTGGTGGGGTGCGGCGCCCGCCTGTGGAATACGTTAGTAGAAGCAGAGAAGTCACGTAGTATTGATTTTAAGGGCAGGGTGCCTACTCTCTTACAACTCGCCTAGGCCAGCCACTTGCCTGTGAGGTACGTTAATCTTATAAACCCGCCAGTATTACTTTCTAGAAGCAAAAAATAAGGGACGCTGTTGACGAAGTGAAAGCTTCGTGCGCAGACAGCTGATGTTTGGTTACAAGAGCCGAACGATGGCAAAAACATACAACAGCGGGTATTCGCTAGTGGTCACCCACCTAACTACTAATCCGCCGGTACGTTGCTTAAATAGGGCTGAGCGAACGGGAAGCCTTGTTTTCAACGTCCTATGGTCGTATGTATTAGAATAGGCCCAAAGTGACTTATATATTGCAAGACATATTTGGAGTTGCTCGCTATGTTGACACATCTCTTGTTGGGGTCTTTGAGGACGATATGCATCGGTAATAGAAGCTGTGGTACGACGATGCAAGATAGTCGTATGTAAACAGTCCTGAAAAGCTAGGGGGTGACTCAAGGTCTAATACTGGTCGTCAGTCGTGCATTAGTTGGTAATGTCGTTATGGTCAGTGGACGGACTGTGAGTATCTCCGTGGGTCGAAGTTAGAGTAGAGGGATCAAACGAATACGAAAGACGAAAGAAGATGAATGTCGAGCGATTGCTGTTGGTAATGAAATGGGGTATAGTCTGTGATGCACCGTGCGTTCGTCCTCCGTCACTGAACCCGAGCGTTGCCTCACTTCAGGAGTTCGTCTTGCTCCTCCTTGGTGATGCCGAAGAGGTAGAGCAGATCCTGCATGCTCTTCGTGTTCAGCCTAGCGGGAGCCATGAGCTGAACCTTTGGCTTTGCGTGAAAAGCCACACCCAGGCCTGCAACGCCCATCATGGGCAGGTCGTTGGCGCCGTCGCCGACGCAGACCACCTGATCGAGTAGAATGCCTTCCTTCTGCGAGATCTCCAAGACGTGCTGGCGCTTCTTCTGCGCATGCACAATCTCGCCAGTAAGCTCGCCTGTCAGCGTCTGCCCATCCTCAGACACGACAAGGTGGTTCGCGTAAGCATAGTCTAGGCCAAGCTGCTGTCCCATCCACCCAGTCAGTGGTGTAAACCCACCACTCAGAACGGCAGTCTTAAAGCCCAGTCTCTTCAGCGCGGTGATCAGCTCTTTGACACCCCCGTTCATCGTTATCCTTGGCCTAAGGTCTTGGAACACTGTCGCAGGAACACCCTTGAGAAGCTTGCACCTCGCGCGCAGACTGGCCTCGAAGTCCAGCTCGCCGTTCATCGCTGCTGCTGTGATAGCGGCAACCTCCTTCTCTACACCAATAACTGCGGCGATCTCGTCGATGACCTCTTGCTGGATCAGCGTGCTGTCCATGTCGAAGATGGCGAGGCGCTTGTAGCGTCGATGTATTGTGTCGGCCTGGAAGACGCATTCGACGTTCCACTCGAGCTCGAAGCGCGAGATTGACTCATGGCGGCGAAAAGTTTCGAGGGAGCTGGTCGAGGCGCTTGGCAAAGGAAAAACGACCTCGACGACGCGGCAGTGCTTGCTTCGCTCGAGCTTACGATGTGTTATTGTCTCTGCTTCGAGACCGGGCAAAATGCTGGTCAGTGTGGTGGTGAAGTCATTCAGGCAGCTTTGGCTGATGTAGTTGCCATACAGGTTGTCGAGGGCATCGGGCCCCCCCGTGGGAGGCTCGAGAGGGTAGGCCTCGAGATTCTTAGTTGGCGAGGCGCCATCTCTCAAAGTCTCGAGAGATGCTGCAGGAATTGAATCCTGGGGTGTGTGCGGTACTTGGTCGGGGAGGAGAGCTTTGTGGGGCTTGTCGACTCTGTAGAACAGGGTCGCGACGATGTGGGCGTGCGAAACGTCGAGGGCGGGTGGTCTGGCAGCCATGGTTGAGTACCGTAGACAGTCGCTAGCGATTGGCTGGTCCTGTATGCTGTAAGTGGTCGAAGTCTGGTCTGAGTGAACGTAAGGCGGGGCTTCAGCCAAAAACTGCAGCAGGGTCCCACAGACTTCGACTGCGGCTGTCATCTTCACGGAGCTAGTGGCCCCGCCCGCCAGGCACTCCCGCGGCCTTCGCGGCCTCCACCACCGTGGCTTTCACATGGCGATGGCATAGCTCGTTAACGTTGCTGTTGCCCTAACACTTTTGTGGTCGAGAGTGCGAGGTGCTGTTTAGCCTGCGCGGGAGTTCAGCCGTCCGATGCACGAGCCGAGGCCTGGGTTTGTGTGACGGCCAAGACCTCCGAAGTAGCTCTGCCATCATATGCAGCTGGCAAACATAAGCTTCGTGTGGCTCTGTAGTATCCTTACCCACTCATTGATAATCTCCTTCACTGCTGAAATCGCAATGGCTGACTACAAGCCCGAAAGCATGGTTGCTCTCATTCGTCAGTCTCCTCCCATCGACGTAACCACCGCATACGATGCTGCCTGGGTCAAGGACAAGGTCATACTGATAACAGGAGGAGCGAGCGGCTTTGGTGCTGGCTTCGTGCGACTGTGGGCAAAGAATGGCGCAACCGTTGTCGTTGGAGACATCAATGTCAAGATGGGCGACACACTCGTGCGCGACGTGCGCAAGGAAGCAGGCCACGCCCGCGTGCACTTTGTGCATTGCGATGTCACCGACTGGCAGTCGCAGGTCAACCTGTTCAAAGAGGCGGTAAAGCTGAGTCCACATGGTGGAATTGATACAGTCGTTGCAAACGCCGGCATCGCAGGCATGGATGTCCTGCCAGAGGGCAAGAATCTTGATGCTGCAGAACCCCCTCCGCCGAACTTCAAAATTATGGACGTGAACTGTACTGGTGTCCTGTACACGACACATCTCGCATACTTCTGGCTCCCAAAGAACCCGGGCTCGAAGCCATGTAGCATAGACTCAAAGCCCTCTACCACATCGCCGCGCGACCGACATCTGCTTCTGCTTGGGTCCATAGCGTCACTCGCACCTATCGCGTTACAGCCGCAGTACAATACAGCGAAGCATGCCGTACTGGGTCTCTTCAGGAGCTTGAGGTGTACAAGCTCGCTGCAGGGAATACGAGTGAACTGCCTGTTCCCTTACTTCATCGACACACCAATCATCCCTACGTTCGGCCGACTTCTATTGGCAGGTGGTGCGATGGGTCAAGTTGAAGACGTAGTCGCTGCTGGGACACGCTTTGTGTCTGATCGCCGTCTTCTCGGTCGCTCTTTGGTGGTTGGGCCAAAGGTGCATGTGCGCCAGAAGGACAATGGCGAGTGGGAACTCGTGACGCCAGGATCACCGGGCAGTATCGAGACCGCAGTGTTCGAGCCATACGCAGACGACTGGGAAGATGTGGATACGTGGGACCGCAACATTATCAAAATTCTCAATCTGGTGCAAATAGGTCGCGGATGGGTGGGGTGGGGTCACGACATCGTCAAGGCTGTCTTCTACGGATTTGGATTTGGGCGCAAGTGATCGAGCATGGTCACGCGCCCAGGCCTGCCTTTGCGCCGATTCTATGGGTGCGCCGGATAGTTCGGCGCGTTTTGGGACTACAAAACCTCGTGACAACAGCGGGCGATCGGTGGGCTATCAATTATGCAAGAGCCTTCAATAACGCGTCTGTTATAGGCATTTAGAGAATGTATAGAAAGCGCAGAGCGGCAGAGTCGCAAACACACAATTGCATGGCACCAACCATGCGGAATTTCGATGCCGCAGGTAGATTGCAAGGAACGTAAGACTGACGGGGGGTGGGGAGACCCGATTGGGAAGAACGATGACGTAGCGTGCACGTTCAGAGAAGCTACGCCAACGCCAACGACGGCAGTTAACCTGCTTTGGCTAAAACCACCATCTTGATTCGAGCTCTGACTGCACGTTGCGGCGTCACTGCAGACGCCCAGGCACGAGCCTTCATGCTAAGAACCATTGTTGGCATGCGGTCAGTCTCGCCGCTGCTGCTTGTAGTCCTGACATCTCTCCGTTCACGCGCATGCACTAGGCGTCAGGCGCAGCCCCGTCACATTGTTCATTCCCGCCTTGCTCTCTGAGATTCACGACGCGTCTCACAAAAGACACTAATAACACAGCGACTGTCGCTGTGACGGAATCGCAAACGCCCTTCCACGATGGCTACTGAAGAGTCCATAGTTTCTCCTACAGGGATGGTGATCAACGAGCCTACATTTCCAAACGTCGCAGGCGACTCTGCACCGAAGAAGGGGAGCACAACAATCAACTTCCCCACATCAGCATCTTCTACGCCTACACACATCTCCGAACATGATCTTACACAGTCTGATGCAGCAGAAGCGCCTTCCAAGACAAAAACACAAGAAGTCTCGGCACCGCGACGTCTACAGGAACGCTCCGCGACTGAGCGACCGAAGCCCTCTACACAACATTCACTGCTCAGAAACCTACCAACTTCTCGCAGAGAACGCCCAGCGCCAGTCCAACGACAAACCACCATCACCTTCGATCACAGCTCATCCGACTCAGACTCCTCAGAGGATGAACAATACCCAGCGAAGAGCACGAGTCGCGACGAGACAGTGCAGAGACAAGAGTCTCAAACACACTCGCGAAGCGGGCGACGGTCATCGACAATGAATCCATTTGCTCGATTCAAAGTCTCCAATGAGCACTTCCAGACCAAGGGATCTGTTAAGAGCGATGGCCGTCTGAAGCTAAGCATACTGGAGGAGGACATGGGCAGCGGCTACATCGCGAAAGCTTTGGGTGCTATGATACATAAGCATGGCAAAGATGACGGCTCGCAAACGGTGCAGTCGTATGATGCATGGGGCGGGAACACCGGGAAGATTGCGCCAGACGAAGATGAGATGGAGCACGACCCGTCCCGGCGCCTGAGATTGAACATCGTGATCATCATAATCGGGTCTAGAGGAGACATCCAACCGTTCATTCGCATTGGCAAGATCCTAAAAGAGGATTACGGTCATCGTGTCCGCATCGCAACCCACCCAGCATTCAAAGACTTTGTGCAGAATGATTCTGGTTTGGAGTTCTTCTCTGTGGGAGGCAACCCAGCTGAGCTGATGGCCTTCATGGTGAAGAACCCAGGTCTGATCCCGAACATTGATACCATCAAGGGCGGAGAAATCGGTCGCCGCAGAGCGCAGATGTATGAGATGTTTCAGGGCATGTGGCGCGCATGTATCAATGCTACAGACGACGAGACCGATCACACGAATGCGAAGATGAGTACGTTCCGCTACGTGGAACTGTTAATGCTTGAGCTGACGACACGAAGTGGGAGATAAGGCTCCCTTCGTTGCGGACGCGATTATCGCAAACCCTCCCAGCTTCGCACCTGCCCACATTGCTGAGAAACTGGGTATACCACTTCACATGATGTTCACGTAAGACATCTTCTTGTCCTCCAGATTCAGTACATTAATTGACTACTTCAGATTCCCGTACACCCCTACAGTACAATTCCCGCATCCGCTTGCAAACATAAAGGTCAGCAACGTCGAGCCCTCGTACAGCAACTTCATGTCTTATCCCCTCGTCGAGATGATGATGTGGCAAGGCCTTGGAGATTTGATCAACCGCTTTCGAACCCAGGTCCTTCATTTGGAGGACATCAGTACGTTGTGGGCACCTGGACAGCTCTACCGATTGAAAGTGCCATACACGTACATGTGGTCCCCAGGGATCATTCCTAAGCCTAAAGATTGGGGACCAGAGATCGATGTCACTGGGTTCGTCTTCCTCGACCTTGCGTCAAACTTTACGCCGCCGGACGACCTAAAGAAGTTCCTCGATGAAGGCGATGCCCCAGTGTATATCGGTTTCGGTTCCATTGTGGTGGACGATCCTGACAAGTTCACAAACTTGATCTTCGAAGCCGTCAAGATGGCCGGTGTACGCGCATTGGTTTCTAAGGGTTGGGGTGGGTTTGGATCGAACTCAGACTGCCCGGATAACGTCTTTATGCTGGAAAATACTCCTCACGACTGGCTGTTTCCGAGATGCAAAGCAGTCGTGCATCATGGAGGTGCCGGTACTGCTGCTATCGGACTCAAGTGCGCGAAGCCGACCATGATCGTCCCTTTCTTTGGTGACCAGCCTTTTTGGGGTGCTATGGTAAGCAAAGCTAAAGCGGGGGCGCACGAGTGCATACCCTACAAGAACCTGACCGCGGAGCGACTGGCCGAAGGCATCAAACAGTGCCTCACAGAAGAAGCGCAAAAGAATGTACAGAAGATTGCAGACAGCATTGAGGCTGAGGGAGACGGTGCTTTGAACGCTGTGCGTTCGTTCCACCGAAGTTTACCACTGCATGGAGATGGCAGCATGCGCTGCGACTTTCTAGACAACCGCGCAGCAACGTGGAAGATCAAGAACACCAACGTCAAGCTCTCTGCCCTTGCAGCTGAGATTCTGGTCAACAAGAAGAAGCTTAAGTGGAACGAACTTCGACTGATCCGACACTACGAGTGGAACGACTTTGGCGGCCCAGGCGAACCAGTTACAGGACTTTGGGGCAGTATTTACACGACCTTAACAGACGCTGCACTGGGTGTGGGTTCTGTTCCCGTTGAGATGGGCAAGAGCCTGAAGAAGCGTGAAAGGCTATGGGAGAAGAAACGTCAGCACCAGAAGAAGAGGCAACAGAAGAAGGAGATTTTGGCAAGAGCGAATGCTGAGTTGGAAAAAGAGAAGAAGACCTCTGCCGAGCAGCATGTCGCAAAGAAAGAAGAAAAGCAGAGCGGTGGCAGACCCAAGCCGGAACGCGAAGAGTCCACCTGGTCGAAATTGACCGAACCGGAAGAGACGCTAAACGAAGAACTCGCACACAAAGCAGCCTTCGGATTCAGGAAGACTGGCCATGCGCTTGCACGATTCCCTATGAACGTTACCCTTGCGCTGACGCAAGGCTTTCACAACGCGCCACGACTGTATGGAGACGAGACCGTTCGACGTCCGCCAAGAGTCACAGGACTACACTCAGGTCTTCGCGCTGGTCGCGATGAGCTAGTCTATGGCGTCACAGATGGTATTAAGGGCATCGTCACACAGCCAATCCGTGGTGCGAAAGAGCGTGGGGTTATGGGTGCTGTACGGGGTGTGGGCTTCGGTATCGGTGGCTTTGTACTCAAAGACATCGCAGCCCTGCTTGGACCAGGAGCTTACCTCATGAAAGGCCTCGACGCTGAGTATATGAAGAAGTATCAGCCTACAGTCTTCATCCGCCGCGGCCGCATCCAACAAGGCCAATTGGAATTGCAGCAGCTCGAGCACAAGACCCGCGTCACCCACATCAGAGAAGCAGAGGGTAAGGACGTTAAGGTCAGAGAGAACCGCGACGAAGTCGAAGATAACGTTGCTATTCGATGGGCCGCCCTGAAACAAGCCATTGCGGAAGAAAAGAAGCATAACAAGAAAGGCATCATCGCCTCGCTCACCGGTACTGGCGAGAAAAAAGCAGGCACGATGGTCCCACGCAAGAGCACTTCTGTCAAGAAACCTTCAAACGCAAACAAACCACAGTCCAAGTCCGCCACCACGCCTGTCGCAAAGACAGAGACAGAATGCAAAGGCAGAAACAGCAAAGACTACGATCAGATCAAGAAGAGATTCGACACGCACCACCGACGCGGCGCTACGCTGAATCGCAGCAGTACAGAACCTCTCGCAATGCGCAGCTGGGACGACAGCAAAGTGTCAAGGCCCGCGAAAGCTGAGCAGAAGGACAAACCAAGGAGCACCCACGAAGAGCCGGAGTTCGAAGAAACGCATGTTCTGGGTAATGCGCATCTCGAAGGCGACGCCGAGAGCGATGAAGATGAGAACAGACACGACCCTGTGCCCAGCGCTCCTAGGGCTGAGGCTGAGCCTAAGCGTGCATCGACTGTGAAGGAGCAGAGTGGTCAGGCGCTGGGGCCTGGAGAGAGCACGTCTCCGGACTCGAGCTCGGAGCGCACCAAGGTTGGCACTGAGACGACAGATTGGGTGAAGATGAGGATGGATGCTGAGGAGAGGGAAGGGCTGAGGACTGCGCAGGTGTAACGCACTTCCACTCAATTACGTTGCTCTGGCATGGCGATGGCATATAGCGTATATTTATTAATTCTGAGATACCCACATACAAAACCACCACTCTGAACCCGTATCCTTTCATGTCTTATTATTACTGCATCATCTCATTAACGACCCTTCGTACCTCTCCTTGGCTCCATCACTCACACCCCATAATCACATCGCATCCATCCTCTCATCTCCTCCAACGCTATCCTTCTCACCACCCTTCCCAAAAGTAGACGGCGGAAGCCGCCTCGTCGATGCCGCTGAACGCACATGTTCTGACTGGGGAAAAGGGCGAGGCTTGGTCGGAAGCGTGAGGTTGAGCGGGTACATAAGATGCTCTGTCTGGTCGTATGTGCGTATATGCTACAGCCAGGATACTATAGCGGAAGTGCGGTGGTCTTTGTTCGCTCTGTCTTTGGATGTAGGAGAGTCGGGAGGCTTGGGGAGGTGGTCGGGAGTCCCGGGGTGCTGTGCTGGGATATTGGTCTCGCTTGCCGTGTTGGGTTTGGATACGGGGAGTGTGGATGCGTGATCGAGGCTGTTTGTTGTCGCAGTGTCGCCCTGAAGGTCTTCAGATGATACTGATTTCGTTGGGATTGCGGTGCGCTTGACGGTGTGGTTTTTCTTTCGTCTTGATGAAGCGGCCATTTGCTTTCCGAGGTTGTTGGCATCGCGTCTTCTCGCCAGGCGGTGTGCCTTGGCTGGCATCTTCTTCCCGAACATCCTCGCCAGAAGACGAAGAATGCCGGAGTTTGCGCGTCATGAATGTGGTTAAGTTGTCGGATAACCGCACGGCTTGGTGGTTGAGTGAAGCGAGGGATATCTGAAAGGCAGAAAGGAGGATCTTTGTAAACTCGACGTTTCGCTTCCAATATGTATGTCTGTCTCAGTGAAAGTTGTGATGCTGACCGTACGATGTGATCTCGGCTCTGGGAAAGTGTACCATCTCAATCTCGAATATGTTGACTTGGTCCAACATCGAGTCCTCAATAAGATGGAACTCCTCCTGGAATGTTGCGCTAGTAGCAAGCCAGCTGGAAGTATAGCACCCCGCAGATGCTGCGCAGTGGTGTCCTCATCCCTCCTCTCCATCTCACCGACCGTAACATTCTGGCACACTCCACAACCCAACCTTCCTCCTCTCCTCCGACCTGAACGCCCACCAGATATCCAGACACCACAAAAACTATAAACACGTTAAAACAAGATATAGCTTGGCTGCGATGTCTCAATGAGGCGCCTCACTTGCTGGATAACAATTATCTCAAGGCGGCGCAAGGTGCAAGAAGGACAAGATGCTGCATACGAGGAGTAAGGGGTAAAAAATGACGCAGCGACACACTAGTGTTGCTTCTACAATTGTGTATCAGCAATCGCGGCCGATCAATACAAATGAGCACACCGCCACGCTTAAACGCGCACTACTGCGCGTCCATATTCCCCTTGGCCCACTCCCTCAACACATTCTTCTTGATTTTTCCTGTACTCGTTTTCGGCAACTCCTTCACAACCACTACCTCCCGCGGCACCATGAACCTGCTGATATTGCTCTGCTCCTTGGCCCACTGGATCATTTCGTCACCCAGCGACTCGCTATTCGTGCCGTCTTTGGTGGTGACGAACGCTTTGGGTCGCTCGCCCCAGTGCGAGTCTGCGACGGCGCAGACGCCGACTTCGAGGACGGAGGGATGTGCTGCGAGCATGCCTTCGAGGGCTACGGAAGAGATGTTCTCGCCACCTGAGTGAAGTCGTTAGAACATCGAAAATGAAGAGGGCAGAGTAGTAGTACCTGAGATGATGATGTCTTTCGCGCGGTCCAGGATCTGAATCGCACCGTCTGGGTGCCAGACCGCTAAATCCCCCGTGTGGTTCACACCACCTGCCCATAACTTCTTCGTCGCTTCCGCGTCTTTGTAGTACCCCTTCGCGCAGATGTTGCCTTCGAACACGATCTCGCCAATCTCCTGGCCATTCTTCTCGACGTTGATGAGCACGCCTTCTTCCTGCTCTGTCTTGATGACTCTACAAGGCAGGCCGGTGACGAATCCGTGGCCCTGTCGAGCCATCTTCGCGTATTTATCTTTCTCGGGCAACTCCTCCCATTCGGGCATGTGGTAGCCCTTGGTGATAGGGCCGTAGGTCTCGGTGAGACCGTAGACGTGGACTGGGTGCAAGTTCAAATTGGTCATCTGCTCGAAGAGCCAGGCTGACGGCGGGCTTGCTGCGACTGTGACTCGGACTTGTTGAGGCAACTTCTCAGCTTCCTTCGCGGCACAGAGGAGCGTGTTGACGGTGGGCGCTGCGTTGAAATGGGTGACGCCTTCATCCTTGAGTAGGCGCCAGATCTCGGGGTAATCGATCTTGCGGAGGCAGTAGTGGGTTCCCCGTACTGCGGTCACGCTCCAGGGGAATGTCCAGCCTGTCGCATGGAACATCGGCAGAGTCCACAGGTATTTCGCGCGGCCTTTGTGGTAGTTGAGACCGGACTCGATGATGTTGCCCAACGCGGCAAGGTAGACGCCCCGATGTGTGTACTCGACACCCTTAGGTCGTGCGGTTGTACCAGACGTGTACGCCAAGGCAAAGACCTCCTCTTCATCTGGTGCTTGTGATTGCAGCTCTGCCCAGCCTTTGCTTCCGGTCGCGATATCGTACTTCAGTCCCTCCAGAACGGCGTCATCGAACGGCCCAGACAGCTCGCCTTCCGTCGCGTCCATATCTGTATCGACTAAGATCGGTACGTTCGGTCTCTCCTTCCTGTAGTCATCAAGGATTTTGACGAACTCGAAGTCGGCGATAATCATGTCGACATCTGCATGCTGAAAGATGTAGCTGATATCATCTGGCTTTAGACGATAATTGATCGCAACATTGACTGCCCCAGCAGCTGCGATACCAAAGATAGCCTCAAGGAAAGCCGGTGTATTTGTGGCTAGGATCCCCACTCTCTTGTAGCCATACTTGCGCAGATAGTATGCCAGTCCTCTCGCGCGATTAGCAGTTTCTTCGTAAGATCGTCTCAAGATCTTGCCGTTGGCAGTCTTGTGGTAGATGGCTGTCGCATGGGGTTCAATTTGCGCGGCTCGATAAAGGAAGGACGTGGGACTCAAGGTGTGGAAGTTATGGCGATGGTGGTACTCATGGCTGTCGCCGGGGTGAATTGGAGGTGGGCCAGGGACTGGCTTGGCCGATATGAACTGTGAAGCTAGTTGCTTGAGACGATCTGTCGGGCCCATGATCCTATATGCGCGTAACAATAAAGATGAGCAGGTACCAAATAGTTGAAGCGAGACGCGTAAATAAATCCGTAGAGACCGGGCAACAGCGGCGTAGGCTTTTTAAATTGTCGGTTACGAGAGCTGTAGCTATCGACGCCCAGGTGCGGAGTACCGGTGTCGGCAAGAAAGGCGGCGCTGGAGATGGACAAGAACCCCGATGATATGCAGAAACAACTGCAAGAATGGTAGCGACGAGTTTCCCGATATGTCAATTAAGCTGAGGTCTTGAAGGCTCAGTGAGCTCCCAACATCCGGGGTAGGGTATGGTACCGGTAGTGGGATGCGTGCGTCAAAGCCGAGGTTCTCCACAATTGGCCGTCTTGCTGGAGGTCAGCGGCACCGCCCATCTCGCCGGCAACTTCGAGCCGCAGCATGGAGGAGCCACGCAGAATCAGTGATCAATGCTGTCTGCACTCAGCAGACGTGTGGTCAAAAGTGAAGTACTCGTTGAAGATGATGGTGTCATGCGCGAGGTCATGTCAACATGCAACAGACGCAACGGAGCGAGCAGGTGAACATGAAATTGGGGATATATTTGCAGCAGAACTCCATCATATGCTTTGATAAGCCCTGGGTTTTTCAATTCGTATTTCTTCTAACCGTGAAGAGAGGTACCTGAGACCAGCGCTGCCGACGTTGAAGAGACCCATAAGCACGTGAGCATCCTGGTATCGGTATGCTCTTTTATCCTGGACACCTTTTCAATCGATCGAAGTATAAGGGATGAAAAGATCCCATGAGCCCATTGCATTCCGCGCCGAACAACACTATCGACACCGACGCGTTTCATCAGTCGTCGACATCTAGTAGCCGAGGGCGGTGAGCTGCTCCTTGGTCTTGCCGTCGACGTTGGCGGTCTTCTGGGCCTCAGCCAACTGCCTGCGAGCGGCCTTCTTGCGCTCGTAGTAAGCGGCGCCCTTGACTTTCCTGCGCTCCTCAAGGCTGCATTGGCTGTTAGCATTCGTTTCTGGGGAATCGATGTCGAGTGTACGTACCGAGAGACGACATCCTGGTACTTCCAGCCGAACTCGTGGCCGAGACGGCCAACGGTGCAGTACTTGCGGCCGGGCTTCAACCTCAGGACACGGAGGGCCTGGGGGACGACGACTCGCTTCTTCTTGTCGTAGGGAGGGGGGATACCCTCGAAGGTCTTGAGACGCTCCATGGCAGCGTTACCACGGGCAGTCTTGTGGGGAATCATGCCACGGACGGTGCGCCAGAACATCTTGGAGGGAGCGCGGAAGTGGAAGGGACCACCACGGGTAGGGTTGAACCTGGTCTGCTTGCGCATGAAAGCACTGTACTTTACTGAGCTGATGTCAGTCTCTGCTTTGATTTGCAGGAAATTCCTCTGAGCGCTCAATGAAGAGCGGAGGCACATGGCGTCGAGGACGGCCAATGTATGTGTATGAGCAACGCAACGAGTGCGTGCCATGTATGTGTATCCCATCACACGTCACCGTGTGCTCTGCTCTTCGTCGAACCGCTTCGATGGATCGGGGGAGACGTACGCTTTGCGCGGAAGAACTCGCCAGAGATGTTCAGGGCCTCGCATCGCACAACGACGATCTTCTGGCCGTTGAGCAGCTGCTTGGCGACCGTAGAGGCCAGGCGACCGAGAAGGTGACCCTTGCCGTCAATGACCTGCGCATAATGTTAGCTGGTGTTGCTTTCGCCGCTGCGTAGGCTCGCCGGGGAGCGAGATATGACAAGCGCCGCGGCGGCAGCAAGTGCCAGGGCATGTGCAGTTGAAAATTGTGCTCGTGTAGCAGGGGCGTACGTACAATGACCGGTTCGAATGTCGACATGGCTGCTGCTGGTGTGGTTAGTCTGCGGTCGAAGTCGTGAGACTGTTGAAGCGTTCAGAAAGAGAATGTGCGAGACTCGCTAAGGGTCGTGACTTCCCTCCTTTCCGGAAGGGGTTAGCCCCCACACCGATATCGATGCGCACATGGCCAACCACACCTCATCTACGCCGGAACATCAATCTGTGTGTGCATTGCACTGGTGAGGCTGTATCTGTTGATTTTCTACCTAATATGTAATCAAGGTGCAGAGTTCCACAAGACTACCGGGTCAGTCAATGCCTACATGTACACGTGCTTGTTTAATTGCCATGTGTATGCACCATTGTAGTGTACGGTGTTTGGACACTCACGAGCTATCAACTTCTGGGAACGATCGAATCCCACATAGCAGACCTTATCGGAAATGCTCATCCTATAGACCTTAAGAACGAATAGGAGTGCTCTGTACATTACTTTATTTGGTCGCGTCTTGTTTACGCATCTCAATCTTTCCAGCCATACCAACGAGCCATTCTTCCGATCACACGTCTGTTCTAGTTATTGCAGGGTGGGCTAGAGACGTGCTCAGCATTCGAGAGTACAGCTGGATTTCACTCGGAGTCGACTCTCAACGTCAAACAACCAGTCCAAGAGTCTGCACACTAGCTTGGAGTAGAAGCGTGAGACAAGCAAGGAGGTGGTTGGTGCAAGTCAACCTGTACCTAGAGCTTTGATTGAAGGACATCGTCTTATCTCCTGGTGTTCTACTATACTGCGCTTTTCTCTACACGCCAGACTGCTGTACATCCTATGCCTGGTGCGCGTAGGTTAACGATCTCGCGTTGCAGTGTCCATTGAATCCCGAGAACTGTAGTGTAAGCACGATATCTAAGCAATGTTGAGGATCACGACTCATGGGAGTCAGGAGGGCTTGCCAGTAACTTATCGTCTCAGCGCGATTGCTCGCATCGTCAGCCGGATGCTCTTGCACTTAGCTGTCCACTCGCTGCGCTCATCCTTTATGTCGATTCGCCCTTTCACACTCCCTTATCAAGAATTGGACCTCCGTCTTTATTTTCCACTCGCGCATGCATGTCTCTGTTGCGATGGACGCTGATCGGCCGAGCATCATTCAGTAATGCCCTCCTTCCAACTTCGACTGGTCTCTACTTACGGTTCTCATGAGTACTGGAGAGGCCATTCGTGTACGATCGTATTACTTGGCAGACATTATTTTGTACTATTCGACACACTCACGAAATACCTTGCCTTGCTACGATGGCGCCGACATTTTGATCAGCCGGCCACGTTTACCGCGCGAGCTCAATGGTTCGAGAGCAGCTAGAGCATCTCAGGAGCTCCACGCATCTTTGGATGAGGCGAACCGCAATCGCCGTCACTGAAGATGTGATCGCCTCAGTGGCTGTCATCATCCTCGATATTACAACCCCACGCTCACCGGTGGAACGAATGCTTGTCAAGGAAATCGCGCAGCTTCCCTATAGCTAACATTGGACCAGATGTTGCTGACAAGACGGTCTCTACGAAAACGGCAACTAGAGCATGCATCAAGTCGAGAAATGACGTCTGACATGGAAGAGAAGCTCGATACGAGCTGACTAAAGGCTCCTTAGAAACGCGATGCCATCCAGCAACGGGGCAAGTCTCGGTGTGAGTCTCGGCCACATGGTCGATACTGGGCTTCGTAAACCAAGGAATCGTGTCGTCGAGATGTGACCCTGGTCAACACGAGTGATTGCATTCTTCCGATGCCTGCGGGGGTTCTACGGTGTTCCAACGGCGTTATTTTCAATGCTCGATCTGCGTACCTGGCTAAACGTCATCGTGACATGACAAGATGCGGCAAGGTCTCATGTGGATCGTTTGTGGCTGTTGCTTGACTGTAGCGGTCTGGATGTGCCTGTGGTGATCAGGGAGAAAACCATCACCGCCACAGGTCGAGTCCTTACCCTTAAACGCTAGAAGCCGTTCCGCTCTCGTGGCTGTGCAAGACTTGGGGACTCAAACAAAAGGCTGCTGAGCCACCTAGACCTCTTGTGTCGAATTTCTCCAGCCTCAACTTCCTTATTCCAAGCTGCACACTACACAATCACTCACCATCTCAGACACCTTCGAAACGCTTGGCCAACAGTTTTGAGCTTCTACCGCACCTCTTCCCATCCACTTTTCGACTCGTTACATAACAGGAGTTTCTCCAGTCGCATGCGCCACAAATACCCCCGATCACGCAGCGAGTTTCCAGAGATCGTGACTTGGCCGTCATGCACCGAACCTGTTGATTCCCATGTTCGCTCGGGAGAAGACGGCACCTCCGCGGTGAAAGCCACACTTCGACAGGCATACTGCATCGCGGCAACATGTATCCGGAGCTGTAAACGCCGCCAAGTGTGGCTAATACACGGCGATTCGGTGACCAATATGGTAGGGTGACGAAGCCACAGACCATGGCGTCAAGCACCTGAGTCAAGCGCCAGCGAAAAACACCGGTCAGCCACAAGCTTAGGCGAACAACTACTTGGATAATCAGAGGCTAGAAGTTCCATGCAGCACTCTAACCACACTTGCCGATTTCCCCGAGCAGGGAGTCTCCGTTTCGCACGGTTCATGCCTTGGTGCAATAGATTGTTGCGTGCAGAGCGTCCGAAAGGTAAGTGACATCAGTGTGACAAAAGCAAAGATTACGATCAGAGAAGAACTGGTAGAGTATGCTCCATCCGATCGTTCGGCTCACCTTCTCAGTAGCGATCCTGCTCGCTTCTTTATGTAAAAATTGGCGACAGAGTCTCCGGAGGAACGCGTACGGGCACACGTCGCAGCCAATACTTTCGGCCTGCCAACTGGGGCATAAAATATTGAGCTGACGCCCAAGCGGACAAGCGGGCCCACCGCATATTTCTGAATGCTCGGCGTCATTACCATCTCTCCCAGCTCCCAGATCACGCTCAGAGGACGGGCAGCCATTAACAGCGCACATTGCGTCGAAATGTTGGCAACTTCCACGTTTTTGTCATGACTTGGCACGCAGACTGCGTCGCCGCGAGGTACCAAGACATTGGCGGGAATGGCAGAATTGTGGGACGTTCGACCTCGGAGGGCGACCAATTGTGTGAGGTAAGGTCCACCAGCCTCAGGTCAAGCCACGCTGTCACAAATTGTGTCCGGCGCTACGACGCGAGGGCTGGTGAAAGTGGATGTGCACAGGTCGGACCTCGCCTTGAATCATACCCCGAGACATGCCCACGTCTGGGGGAGGAATTCACAGCCTCTTCTTGGCTACATGACGTTGTGTGCTGTACCCACAGTAAGAGACGGTTTCTTTATCTGATTCGCAGATCGATGCTGCAAACACAGGCCTTGGAGCGCGCGAGGAATCATGGGACGAGCAAACGCTGCATTGGTGCCAATCAGGCCCGTTAAGGACGCCTTATTGACCCGACAGCGTCTGCATGATCCGCTGCGCACCGATAACTCCAAGGATAAAGGGTCTCCTCACTGGTCTTGGAGTGGCGTGGGTGGCGCCTTGTTTTGGAGACGTTCCCATCGTCTCACCCTATGGGCTTGTACGCTGCCAGCAATCCAATGACGCCACAGCTTGCAGATAAGCGAATGGCTGTGCTCTCTCACTTGGCGGTGTGGTGGTGCAGCTCCCGCTGTCCTGTGCTAGGCCGCTTCAGTCGTGCAAATGAACGATGCCGGAGCCAGCGGAGGACAGACGAAGACACGAAGATTGCGCCTGGAACAACGAGCGAGCTGGCCAGTAGTCTTTCAACAAGATTTCGAGGCTGCTCGGCGAAACGGTCGTATGCTGCTCACGTCCCACAATAGCAGCTGCAAACCTTGGCCTACTGCCTCGTGGTGACAAGCGAATTGCTCGGCGGGAATAACGCGATTCGATTCCGGTGCCCAAGGGCGGGACGACTGCCATGGAACGGCGCTAAGGCCCTCTCCATCAGAATCCTATTCCTTGGACCCACCTCTCCGCCGCTGACTGACCCTGTCCTGGCACACAAGCCATTTACTCTTAGGCGCAGCACCCCCCAGCCACAGTCATGCTCCCCAACTGTCGCCATGGCCTCCCCCAAGCTCACAACAGCTGATGGCCAGAACACAGGCTCCGGCCTCTCTGGTCAGTATGATAACAACTCATCACACTCAGACAGCCCCGAAATTGCAGAGGATCAATCGCCGAACAACGATGTCGCCGACGACCAGGGGCCAAAGCCACAGCCTCTGCAAAAGAGGCGGCGTGTAACCCGCGCATGCGACGAGTGTCGACGCAAGAAAATCAAGTGTGATGGAAAACAACCATGCACTCATTGCACAGTCTACAGCTATGGTAAGCGTCCTGAGTCTCCTTTTTGTTGTTTATTTTGCTTGAACTATTGCTGATCTCTAGTGTAGAATGGTAAACACGCCCAACTGCCTGTTCGCATTCCCGATTACTGACAGCCCTAGCACGTACGATCAACCATCCAACCGTAGGCGAAATGCGACACCACAATACATTGAGGCCCTTGAGAGCCAACTGAAGCGTGCCAAAGCTCTATTGCACGTTGTATTTCCCACCATAGACCTGAACGACCCCAGTATTGACGCCCACCTTCAAAATGGACTACTGCCGCAAATGTCTGTAGCAGCGCCGCGACCTTCGGTGATGCCTACTGACCCACGTTTGTCGCATCACCACGCCAATCTACAACCCGAACCGGCAGATGACTCCCACCTGGAAGCAATGGTGAAAGCTACCGGCCAGTTGGACCTGGATGAAGAAGGTAACTGGGACTACCACGGCCACTCTTCAGGGCTCAGCTTCATGAGAGGATTGCGACAATTCGGAGATATGTTCCAAGTGCCGCCGGATTCCTCACCTTCTCTCAAGCACCGTAACATGTCTGTAGACCCTCCCTCACCCTCTTCGACACGATCGCCTGCTGCATCGTCGACTGCGCTACCATCAGGAACAGAGTTGCCAACCAAGAAGGAAGCCATCAGCCTGTGCGAGAAAGCTATAATCGATGCAAGTGCAATGCAACGGGTCGTTCACATGCCAACCTTCTACAAGCAGCTGGATCGCATGTACGAGACCCCTACCGAGAGCTACACTAATGCGGAGAACAACTTCTTGCCGTTGCTGTACGCTGTGCTGGCCTTGGGCAAGCTGTTCTCGCAAGGCGAACACGAGGTGGACAAGACCAACTATGAGTCGGTGGCCGATGAAGGGTAAGTTTCACATATGCGTAACACTGGTCATTACTAACAATCACAAGCTTCCGCTACTTCAAGGCTTCGCGCCAACTGCTCGACATCACCGACTGCCGCGACCTGACGTCACTACAAGCGATCGTTTTCATGATACAATTCCTTCAGTCCTCGGCAAAGCTCAGCACCTGCTATGCTTATATTGGTGTTGCGCTCCGATCAGCTCTGCGCATGGGTCTGCACCGCTCATTCAACAGCAGCTTCAATCCTATTGAGGCCGAAACTCGCAAGCGCCTCTTCTGGGTTATTCGACGAATGGATACATACGTGGGCGCGATGCTCGGTCTTCCGCGATTCTTGGAAGATGAGGACATCGACCAAGAGTTTCCTGTCGAGGTGGACGACGAATACATCACCGAAACTCAGATCTTGCCCATGCCCGAGGGAAGCATCTCTGTGATGTCGGCTTTCAATGCACACACGAGAATCGTGCAAGTGCTCAGCAAGATCTGCAGATATGTTTACCCCATCAAGGGCACTCAGTTTGGCGGCAAGAACTCGGTCACATACACAGTCAAATATTCCAAGATCCGCGAACTCGAACAAGACCTAGCACAGTGGCTCGACGAGCTGCCTATGGCTCTCAAGCCTGGTGGTGAAGCACCACACATCATCATCCGGTATGTTTCTCCGTCATTCTCTACATTTGACCGCCACTCACCGACCCACAGAGTGCAACAACTACTCCGTATGGCCTTCGGGCATGCACAACTCCTTCTCTACCGCCCGTTCCTGCACTACGTATCATCGACATACAAAGACAGTACGACCGACCAGCGAGCCTTCGCTTGCGCCTCGGCATGCGTGAGCGTGTCTCGCAACATTATTCACATCACTTCCGAGATGAGGCGACGTGGCTTACTAGCTGGAGCGTACTGGTTCTCTATGTACACAACGTTCTTCGCCATTGTTTCGATCCTTTACTTTGTCCTCGAGAACCCGAACAGTCCCACAAGCCTTGAACTACTGCGCGATGCAGCGGAGGGAAAGGAGGTACTGGCCTACTTCGCAAAGACAAGCATGGCAGCAGACAGGTGCAGCTCAGCTCTCAACGTGGGTCCCTCCAGGGTCAAGTTGCACATGACATACTTACAAGTCCTCCAGAGCATGTTCGAGAGGCTACCTGAAGCGGTCAAGCAAGGAAGGGAGATCCAGGAATCGAGGAAGCGCCGCCAGGACAGCTCACCACAATTGATCGGGTCACGACCGCAGTTCTCTGAGAGTGATTTGACAATACCACGCCGCGCCAGCACCTTCCCCGAGAGCCATCCAGATTCTAAGCGCACCGCTCACGGCCCAGCACTGCCAATATCTCAGACGCATTACGCTAGCCTTGGATTGGACCCTTCGTTCAACTCACCGTCACCGTCGAATGCGGATTTCTTCGAGGCAGTACCTGGGCTCACCCCCACGTCTTCTAACGCAAGCCTAGGACAATTCGGTGCTTTGCCAAACCGCGCTTCATTTCCGCCTACGCCGTTATCGAACGCCTTCGCAGATCCTTCCGGCCTGAGCGTTCCAATCTCGGACATCTCGACAATGATGTTCACTTCCGCCGATCCCCTAGCCTACCCGAATCCACCCATGACTACATTCGAGAACAAGCATCCTCAAGCTTTCGACCGCAGACTTGAGACGTCCTCTGTGATTGGTTCCACATCCGGTATCGATATGAAGGCGTATCCCGCGATGTTCGCTCCAAGCAGTGTGCCTGCCACGCGACGCCACGAAAGTGAGGCTCAACTCTTCGGTTCCATGCCCATGTATCTGATGCAGGCTGCGCAAGCTCAAAGAGTCCACCCGCTACACTCTGGCAGCCCAAGTATGCAACATATTACTGGACAGAACATGCAATTCGACGAACTACTCAATCAGGAAGAGTGGGCACAGACCTTCATGGACCCCGGCATGGGTATATCTAGCTCGAGGACGCCGTTTGGTGGAAATGCACAATTTCAGCCGCCTGGTCAAGGATTAGGTAGCTGGCGATGAGGTCGTTTACTGATCGTAATCGCTGAGGTCATTGTTGTGGCTGTTGGTCGGATTTGCGCACAATTGACGAGCAGAGACCTCGAATGGCGACCTGGATCTACACGTTCTCGACGATCATACGCAGATGATGCGGCTTTCTGCATTGGAATCTCATTACAGCATCGACTTGACTGGAATCTCATCAACACCGAACAACTCTTCACAGCGCGCGGGGAATCTGCGAATATCGCTTTGTCAGCGTACCTTACCCCCCGAGATATTGCGACCCTCGAAACCTTCAGCCCCCTAAGACCACCAGACGGCCGGCCCCACACGACTTGCATTAACCGCCTGAAAGGCAGACAGCCTTTCTTCATCATAGCATCACCTCATCCTGACGATATACGGATATCGGTTTGCTTCATAGCACGATACCCACGGTCGACGACGGCTGGTACCGGATTTTCAGTTCTTTGCCAGCGCTTCTTCTGTGTCAGTCTTCCGTCTTCGCATCATCCTGGCGCTCCGGGCGCCTCATCACACAACATCATAGTCTTTGAGCGGCATTTAGCGGATTCACGGCGTTGGAGTTTACTAGTCATGTTTCTTTAATTGATGTTTGGTTTGGAGTTCATACTCTATACCCGGTGAGGAGGGTGGAATGGAGCAAACAGACGGACACAAATTTTTGAGTGGTAGCTGTATCGAGAGAAACAATTAGCTGTCAGTCTTTCGATACGTCAATCTCGAACGTAGCAATAGACAAAAGAAAGCAATACTTCAAACCGTGTCAGAGCATGATTGTCGGTGATTTGTACGTCAAGCATGCCATGAGTCTGAAACGACATATCTGAAGACCCCCAGAATTGCGTAAAATCGCTGATATTTGAGGTCTATGTCTTGTTGCACGATTCACAATATAGAATTGCGCATGCTGCAGTCGTGGAAAGAAGTAGGTCAACTTGTCCAGTCTGGAGGTAGCGAGACTACTGAAACCACGGAGGCACGTGGGCCTCTACCACGGTGGCCTCAGGCAGATCTGAGAAACCTCTGAAGATATCAGATCTGTCATTAGATGATAATAGAAGACAGACGAAGCGGGAGACTAGAGTAGCGTGCCGTAAGCGGCTAGCAGCACCAGCCACAGTTGGCAGGTGCGAACTTCGAAATTCAGACGTCATCAGTCTCGTCAACTCCAGCGCATGCAGACCAAGGTTACTACTTTTCTCACAACCGCACTTGAGTCGTCCTTCTCGCATTACGACGTATGTCTTAGTCGTCAAGAGACTACCTCTCATTTATCCACCTCTCTGGGCTCCATCCCTGGCTCTCCCACCACCACCTCCATCAACCCACGATAATGGCCGCCCGTCGCAAACACACCTACACTGGCGTCTCCGAAAACGGCTCCGCACCCAAAACCGCGGGCATACCATCTGGTACCGTCAAATACAGCACCATGAAGTCGCTGACCGCCAGCGCGCGCCGCTCGCCCTTCCTCCCCACCCGCCTCGAAGCGCTCCTAATCTCCATCTATCCCGCAACCCTGCTCGTGGGCAGCATAATCAGCATGCTCTCGCCTGCGTCGCGCGCCGCACCGTACAGCGCGGATTCGCAGAGTCATATCCCCGAGTTTGCGCCTAGCTACTTCGCGCTCAAGAAGAATGTGTTTAATGTATATTTTGTTAAGGTGGGGTGGTTTTGGACGACACTTGCGTTCAGTATGTTCGTGCTCATGCATCCAGGCTTTGGCCGTGGGCTATCTGCAAGGAGAGTCAGGGCGGTGCTGAGATATGGACTTATAACGACGTGGTGGGTGTTCGTTACACAGTGGTTCTTTGGCCCACCGCTTATTGATCGCGGATTCAAGCTTACAGGCGGCGCGTGTGAGTTGGCGAGAGACCCCAATGCGATGGCGGAGATGAGCGACACGAAGGAGTTCATCACGGCGGCGACGTGCAAGGCTGTCGGCGGCAGTTGGAAGGGCGGACACGATATTTCTGGGCACGTCTTTCTGTTGATCCTGGGCTCTTCGCTGCTCTGGTTTGAGTTCTTGCCTGCATTGACGCGTATGGAAGGCCTGCGCGATGGCCGCCTCATTGCTCTCTCGGACGGCAAGGTAGCGAGTGTCACGGTCGAAAAGGAGGATCAGAAAGCCGAGGGCGAGGCCACGGCCAGAGGTGTTAAGTTCGCGCTTGGTGTAGCGGCACTGATGTGGTGGATGCTGTTGATGACAGCTGCATACTTCCACACATGGTTCGAGAAGTTCACGGGCTTGGTCGTTGCTTTTGCTGGGCTTTACACAGTGTACTTTGCGCCAAGAGGTGTACCGGCGTTGAGAGCGTATATGGGAATGCCTGGAGTATAACAGCATGTGCACGTTGTTTAGATTCACGATTATAATGCAAGAGCGGCATGAGGCAACCACTCGGGCGTTTTGTACCTATATCAGACGATCAGATTTTAGCATTATACTTTACGATGGGTCTTCTGTATATTGACCAGAACAGCCATTCTCGGGCTGGATTCTAGAACGTGAACGGCCTGCATCCTATAATTACCACTTACCTCCGTAGATGCACGGCCGAAAGTCATGCCAACGCTTCGCCAGCCAGGTCACCTCTGGCACTGCTTCCGGTCGCACGCAACGAAAACACGCTCTCTTATTAAAGAATGACATGTTAAGTCGCCTTCTAAGCACCTCCCGAAAGTGTTTTGATATCGCCTTCCTCCAGGATTGAAGCTCACCTAATCAGGACTAGTGTACGCTTACAGCGATTGAGCACTTAGCCGGCTGCCTACAGCAGCTCCCCCTCACTACTCCTCCTTGACCTCCCACTACTTCACTTGTTTTCAACAAGTTTTGCCTTAGCACGAGATCGTTCTGTATTTGACCACCATTCTACTTACACACGGACTACACGTGATGGACAGACTGGGCCCCACTCCATGTCGCAATTGCGTGGATCTTAATTGCCTCTGGGCAAGTAAGAAATTGAAATATATAAAAGGGGGCTCTCAACAGGGATGCTCTTTGTGCGCGGCTATCTCCAATACATTCGATGACTTTGCCACATCAGCCGGATACAAGGGCTCGAGGCCGACGCTCACGTTCAAATCATAGCTTTACTGCCACAGCTCCGTCTTCGTTTCAAAGAATCAACACTGGTCTCTAGTTCACAGATGGAAGTTTATGTGTCATTAAACACAGGTAGAGTCGATATACCTTGACTGTGCCCTATGATGTTGATCACTGATAATGCGTATGAAGTTCTCTTCACTATTTCACCTCAGCCGACCGGCTGCACAAGATCTGTAGCGCAGGCGAAGCAATGGTTCAATGACTGCTTGTCCAGCCACGAGCATTGTACAAAAGGGCGAAACTATTCGTTTCTTCCCACACGACTCTTCGACGTGCATGCGAGTAAGCTTGTGGATACGACACGGCTTACGGTGGAAGGTGGAAGGACTGATGGAATATGCTTGCCTAAGTCATTGCTGAGGTGGTCAACAATCTGATTGCATAACGACGCTGAAGGCTTTGTCGAGCAACCTGCAGGGCATATCAAGCGATCTGGCCCCTAAAACATTTCCCCACGCTTTCCAAATCACACGCTTCCTCGGTCTGCGATATATCTGGATCGATTCCCTGTGTAGCATCCCGGATTCGGGAAAGGACAGGAATCAAGAGTTCACCGCAATGGCTGACATATATTCGAACGCAATAATCACCACAGCAGCCACCAGTGCTGCGTCGCCAGACTCAGGGCTTTACTCTATTCCAGCCGAGCTTTATCGAATGCGTAGACATCCCCAAGATGATGACAACTCTGTCTTATGGTTCCGCTTCTCTATGCCACACCCAGTAGCTTTTGATGTAGTGAGGCATTCCTTTGGAACTACGTACAACACTTTCTCCTCGGAATACTTTCTGTATGGTCAGAGGATGTGGGGCCAGAAAGCTTTGGTCAGACCCAAGGACAACTTACTTTATCGCCAGCATGATATACGCCTACTGAAACGTGCATGGGTACTATAGGAGAGATTGCTCAGCACACGCGTTCTCCATTTCACTCCCCATGAGTTGATGTTTGAGTGTCTGCACGAAATAAAGTGTCAGTGCGGAAGACTAGACACATGGTGGGATTCGGAATGGGCTCGCGGTGGTTTCAAACAGACTGTGAGTACATTGCTTTTCGGAATCAATCGTGCATTCAGCTCAGGGCAACTCCAAGGGCGTCCTATGGACTATCAAAGGGAGACAGTTGTCCAAACATACTCTCGGCTCAGTTTAACGAGGCCCGATGATGTACTTCCGGCGCTCTCTGGTGCAGCGAAGCCTACAAACATGTTCAGAGGCGGAGACCAGCATTGTGCTGGTCACTTCAAGAGTATACTGCCACTTTAAATGGCTTGGCGTGTGATAGGACTGCGAGTGGGTGGGGCCCGGCACGGCCCAACATGGTCGTGGCTTTCAGTGATACCTGGGCCGAGGGTTGGGATTGACACCTACAATAGAATCTGTATTGCGCAACTAGTTAATGTAAGCTGTCGATTGGCTGGGAAGGATCCTACCGGGCGTGTCGAATCTGGCAGCATCCGCTTAGCTTCACAACTGCATCGGGTCACGGTTGAAGCCAATCACGAATAAAAGAGGGGAAAGAAGTTGCATCTCTCGATTCTCGACGACATTTACTGAAGGAAGTAACTGGAGTCCTCCACAAATACTTCTATCCCGATTCTATACCCTCAAGCGACTACGAGGGCACAATGGTGTCTAGAACTGCAAGCAGAACCAAGGCTCGATTTGGCCATTGGTACTTTTACAAAATTTCACATGGCCCTTGTACTTGCTCAGGTTGGAGATCATAGCTCCAAAATTTTCGAAAGAGTTGGGTTGGTCGCGAATCGGCACTTCGAGCCAATGCCGGTTGATGTAAAGGGCGATAACTGGCAGGAGGTCGAGATCATTTGAACATTAGTCAAAGCTGTGGTATGTCGATCCCCTACCATAACAGAATAACCGCTGACTTTTTCAGATTATAATCAGACGCACTACATTTAGAGATAGGAGTCTAAAGACATGTCATGTTACTGATAAGAGCACTATACACGGTTAAAGATCAATACCCAGCCCCCGAATATTAAGAAATCGCGAAGATATGCTCACTTTGGCACACAACGATGAACAAAAAGAAATGAAGATTCCTCGTGCGTCATTAGTCCGCTATCAATAGTCTCAGTATATACCGCCGAGATATCAGAGGGAACCATAACTCCGTCACCTAGCAGCCACGAGGAGTTTGCTTCCCGAACTCCCTGACGAATCACTTCTTCTCCTCGGCCGTCATGACCCGGTCTTTGACGCTCGCTCGTGTCTTCGCCAGACAAGCCTGACGCATCGCGCTCTCATGCGCGACACGCTTCTCCTCCTCAGCCCGGCGCTCAGCGTTGTGCTTCTTGCGCTCAACATTCTGCTCGTGGAGATCAGCCTGTCCTGCACCCAGCGGAGCTTGTCTTGCTCGCGCTGGATCCGCTTCTGCTCGCGACGCGCAAGCCACTCCTTTCGGCGATCGGCGGCCTCCTTTGCACAATTCGCCTTCTCGAGCTTGGCAGATGCCAGTTCATCTTCACGATGATGGCAGTGTTCAAAGGTGGATGCGCGAAGCAGAACTTCGTAAACACGCCGGGGTCTGACACAGTCTCCTCACGCACGTAGACTGCCAAACGGTCGGCCATGCGGTTATAGAGACGCAGGTACGAAGCACCGAAGTGCATCACGGCGTCAATCTCGTGGTATGGGAGCTGGGTATCAGAGATGTAGGCTTCCATCTTGCGGAACACGTGGCACGTGTGCTTGGTAATGCCGAGACGGAAGGCAGCTTGGCAGACTGCGAGGGATTGATAGACGGACACGGTGTTTTGTAGACGGGCTGGCTCAGCAAACTTGGTGCGGCAGACGTTGATCAAGTGTTGGACGAGAATCACGACGCTGTCGGCAGCAGTGTCTGCTAGAAGTTTGATCACACCGGCGTAGAGAAGGTCGGAGACGCGTGTGGATGAGACCTGTAGGAGATCTAGCCGAACGGTACCGATATGGTAAACGTTGACCACGATGATAACGAGAGGGCTACGAAGCAGATTTTTACGCGCAGGCTGAGACTGCCGGCGAATGTCGATCTCAGCAGGGTCTGAGCTGTTAGCGGTAGCGTGGGTGGTCACACTGGGCTGAAATTTCGTGACCTTGCGAGCATAGTACGGGTTACAGCAGCCGGGATGATAGGCGCAGCAGGAATTTGTCCCTAGGGAGTTTATTCGCAATTAGTAGCGTGTGCAGACATCTCTGGGTAGTGTTGATGATAGTGTATTTTGATAGTAGATGTGGTTGTGTGGTTAAAAAGCTGTGGATAAAAGAGTATAGAAAGGCTGGGATGAAAGTAGTATTTATACCGTTTAGATACCACGTTCATCCCAATCTCTTCTGAATTACACGAAGCGGGGCACACCATGCTGTGTCTGTATTCGTGAAAATGAAGGGAGGTGACAACACTTCACTTATACCCTGAATGAGAAGCTTTCCCGCGCAAATTCCACGAGCGGCTGACAGATCCACAAACGGCAACGCGTTTCGCAATTGATATAGGTTGCACTTAGGCTGTTTTCCGACTGCCTCAGAAGAGACCTACCAGCAAAAGGGCTCCTTGAGAATAAAGAACCTCTTATTCTATTCTATGGCACTATTGGTATTCAAATATGATGAGTAGATCTGAAGAGGGTGCAAAAAAGCGTTGACGGGCGCTGATATTATGCGATCTAAGTCAAGGATCCCTATGTTATTTGTCAAAGGGGTTTGAAAGAAATCGTGATTCTTGCCAGAAGGTGAACCAGTGTTCCTTTCCTGACACGCCTTCTCTGTGCTCTGGCCCTGTTGCAGGAGGCGGGGGTTATTCTGTGGCATTTGGCATGATTTCAACCATGCAGTCTCAAACAGTACCACATGGATACAGTGCATCCCGTATATTGACAGGGTCTCGGTTTTAGTAAAAGGTGCTGTGATATACCTACATGTGTCTCTGAGCTTGGACTCGTGATCGTTTCAGAATCAAGACAAGATTTCTGTCAAGCCTCAGGACAAAGAGCACCCCCGTTCGTACAAAAGATGTGTGTCTTTCCACTCCCATCTAATACACAAAGCTTGCGGGTTACTTAACAGCACATAGGGGCTAAGAGCCGAGAGCCGCGGTACATAGACAGGCTTTGCTCGCTGCTATATCATGTTAGCCTTTAAAAATCAACGGATGAACGACCTGATCATCTGAGCATACGATCCTACGGCCGTAGACTTTCTTCTACTAATCATCATGATCAATGAGTAACCTGAACTCTTACTACAGTGAACAGTAAAAGGTTCGATGACACTGATCGCTAGGCACTGTTCGATCATGACTCCTTCCTCGCTCATATACATTCAGTCCATTCACATTGCTATATGCCCGCCATCAGCATCCTGCACTCAATCAAACCATCAACAAGTTCACCAGGAAATCGCTACTTAAGTCTTCGCCCACAAATAGTGTGTCGGTCGGCACCAAAATTCTCACGACTGCGTTCGTAACCAGCCAAGCAGAGTTGTGCCCTCAGGATATCGCCCATCGCAACGAGTTCCCCAACATTCGAGCTGAGCTCAAGGGCAAGTCAATTCCCGTCATATCTACGGTGAGCACTTCTACGACATCGCTGAGCCCTTTTTAAGGTCACATCTGTATACGCAAACTGCTTCATTAAGAACGGCGCTGTGTCTCTTTCCGACAGGGTTAACCCAGACATCGATCCTCGCGGTATCGGCGTCTTCCTCAACTACTTGGATTCTCGCACGAAGGTCAATAAGGCGTCAGCGCTTCAAATGCGAGACTCTAACGCTGATATGATGACCCAATTGGGTGTTTGTCTGGCGGCGCAGGCTCTTGACATGGACAAGTACGTTGACTATTTCATTCATCGCGTCGATGCCATCTTCCACAGCCTTCCCTCCTACGAGGACCTGAACACCCTGGTCGTCCAAAAGGATCTCTACCCTCGCATGTACGCGATCGTAGTGCGCAGCTTTGCTCGCAAGACTCGTGAGGGTAAGATCCCAGATCAGACCGACTTTGACCAGTACCTCAAGTCCCGCTCTGACTTCGCGCAGGACATCGAAGAGGCCCTAACCAAGAACAACAGCTGGGTCGAGTCTCAAGCCAAGTATGAGCAGCATGTCAAGATCGAGAATGAAGCCAAGGCCAAGGCTATTGAGCTCGATAAGCTCGAGAAGGAGCGTGCGGTTCGCAAGAAGCAGTCCTGGAACGCGAAGAAGACCAACGACACCAAGATGCGCAAGTCGACAGAAGCGAAGTCGCGTGCGTCTGGTAATGCGCGCAAGTTCACGCCCGAAGAGCGCGCTTGGTACGTCAAGGTCCAGGGCAAGCAGCCTCCCAAAGGCCGCTAGCATTCGCAATAATCTCGAAGTGATTCACAAGATTTTAAGGAGGGACACCTTCTAGCGTTGAGGTATTTCCATCACGGGTTTTGGGACTGGTTGCAGGACCATAATGAAAATTAATTGCAAAAGCTTCTTGATTTCCTATGTCGATGTGAGGTGCTTTGCATGTCGTGGTGGGGAAGATGGAGAGATGCATCGCTGTTTTGTAACCGAGCTCCGTGTCCAAAAGGGCAGCACAAGCGCATCGGCTCTCGCTTGCGACCGTCCCCGTCTAGCCTTTGCGCTAGCGAAGCACCTCAAGCTTCTTGCGGCCGCACGTTTTCCGACCCCATCCCAATCTCCTCGCAGGTCCTCCACATCCAAGTAGCGGGGATGTCTTGAGGACGCCGGTCGGTTCTCGATGACTGTCGTCAGCCACGACTCCAATCCCAAAATGCATCGCTCCACAACGACGGCCAGGGTGCAATGTCACGGTACTCTCTCAGCATGGCAGAGCATCTCACGAAGTGTGACGACCTCTGTCATGGCTTCTGCAGCCAAGTGCTGACGTGGAGTGATACATGTACAACGGCACGACAGACATGTCGTTTAACGTCTGAGCCTGCCTCTCCGCTGGATGAACTTCACGAGTCACGCACGCCATGCCTGCAGTCACGTTACTCTAGCTTCCTGTAGAAGTGCAACCGCCTATTTAGCCAATACACAAAACTTCCGGGAAGTTGCACTCGCCAGTGACCCTGATTGACCCCGGGTTTCCCCACTGCTACCCCTCACACGACCGGCGAAATGGCGAATCCTTGCAGTGCGATCCGCGGTAGGAAAACTGACTACAAAATAGAGGTACCTCGCCAGTTGATACACTGTACCTCTACCTTGTAGTCAAATTAGCTACCGCGGAAGTATATAAGATGGTTGTTGCAAAGCTGGTCGTCACAGCCTCACTGGTTTGTGCAGTCGTCGCTCAAGATGGTAGTCCATTTCAATCATACGCAGCCAACCACACCATGCTAACCATCAGCAGCAATTACCGCTAACGGAGGCAACTTCACGCTCACAGGCGATGATGTTTCCTACCTGTTCCATGTCAACACAGCGAGTGGCGACTTGGTCTCGGATCACTTTGGAGCACCGGTCACGGACTTTGTGCCACCTGCATTCATTCTCCCATGGGGCTGGCATGACGGAAAGGTTAACGACAGGCGCGAGTTTCCCGATATCGGTCGAGGTGATGTTCGTCTGCCTGCAATTCACATCGAGCACTCGAACGGGGACACGGTGTCAGCCTTCCTCTACCAATCTCACGAAATCGTCCCTGGCAAGCCTTCTATTCCTGGTTTCCCAGCGACATACGGGAACGAATCCGATGTAACCACCCTTCAAGTTCAGCTCTATGACAACGTCTCTGACGTCGGCGCTGTGCTTTCCTACAGCATCTTTCCCAAGTACAACGCCATCGCCAGGAGCTTCAAGATCACCAACAACGGAACTAGCGATATCGTCATAGAGAGAGCCGCAAGCTTCTCCTTTGACTTCCCCAACCTGGACTTCGAAGTCATCGAGCCCCATGGCGACTGGTATCACGAGATGAATACTGTCAGGCGCAAGGTGGATTATGGCGAGACGAGCTTTCGGTCTACTGAAGGCTACGCTGGACACACTCACAACCCGTTCTACATGCTCACATCTCCTTCCACAACTGAGAATAGCGGCGAAGCTTGGGGCTTCAACCTAGTCTGGTCCGGCTCGTTTGAGGCAGCTCTCCATAAGTTTTCTAATGGATACGTGCGGGCGCTCCTTGGCCTGAACCCGCTGCACGCCAGTATTCGTGTCGCTCCTGGCGATAGCTTCCAAGCTCCGGAGGCTGTTTCAGTCTACAGCTCTGCTGGTATCGGTGGGGTGTCTCGCTCGTACCACGACTTGTATAGGAACCACTTGTCTAGGCACAAGGCGACGCACGAAACCCGTCCGATACTTCTTAACAGCTGGGAAGGATTGGGGTTTAACATTAACGACACCGCTGTTGTCAATCTTGCTGGCGAATCAGCTGATCTTGGTATCGAGCTCTTGGTCCAAGACGATGGTGAGACACAAAAGCACCCCAAAACGAATACAGCTGACGCTATCAGGTTGGTTTGGCGTCGAGTATCCCCGTAACAACGACAGTCTCGGACTAGGTGATTGGACAGTGAGTGGCTGCATCTACAACCAAGAGCACCTAATGCTGATGACAATAGCCCAACCCTGCCAAATTTCCCAACGGTCTCAAGCCCTACATCGATCAAATTGTCAAGATTGACGTCGTCAACGCAAGTACCAATGACAGCACCAACACTGCTATCAAGTTTGGCATTTGGGTCGAACCCGAGATGACCAACCTCAACTCGACATTGTACAACGAGCACCCCGACTGGATCCTGCATTCCGGAAAGCACGCGCGAACGATGGTCCGAAACCAATTTGTCTTGAACGTCGGACTACCAGAAGTGCAAGATTTCATCATCGACACCGTCTCCCGCATCGCTGACTCGGCGCCCATCTCTTACTTCAAGTGGGACAACAACAGAGGTCTATGTTCCCCCCAAACATCCCGACTCCCCACTGACGTCCTCCAGGCATGCACGAACTCGCCCGCCCATCAGACTCCTACAACTACATTCTCGGCCTCTACCGCGTACTCGACACGCTGACCACAAAATACCCGGACATCCTCTGGGAAGGCTGCGCCAGCGGCGGCGGCCGCTTCGACCCGGGGCTCCTGCACTACTGGCCGCAGCACTGGACGTCAGACAACACCGACGCAGCCGACAGACTGCAGATCCAGCTGGGCACGTCGCTGGTCTACCCGCCCTCTGCCATGGGCTGCCACATCTCCAAGTCGCCCAACGGCATAACAGGGCGCGAAGCGAGCTTCACCTACCGCGGGCACGTGGCGATGATGTGCGGCAGCTTCGGGCTGGAGCTGAACCCGCACGAGCTCAGCGCCGACGAGATCGCACAGCTGCCCTCCATCATGGCAGACGCGCACCGCGTGAACCCTATCGTCATCTCGGGCCAGTTCTACCGCCTCGCGGGCCCGCAGGACAGCAACTGGCCCGCGGTGCAGTTTGTGAGCGCGGACGGCGCCGAGGCCGTTGTGTTTGCGTTCCAGCAACAGTACACGACGAAGCCTGCGGCGCCGCCGCTGCGGCTGCAAGGCTTGGACCCGAAGGCGCGGTACTTCAACAGCCTGGACAATGGCACGTACAGCGGAGCCACGTATGCGAACGCGGGGATCAACGCCGGGTGGGATCGGGGGATTTACCAGAGCAAGTTGATTTTCCTGGAGAAGCGTTGAAGTCGGTGGTCTTTGTGGGTGGCCATAACTGATAAGTCGAGAAAACGCAGAGCAATAGCAACTTCATATATACGTCAAGCAACTTCATATATACGTCAAGCAATTTCATATATACGTCAAGCAACCTCTGAGACGACCACACCAGAGAGCCTCAAACGTGATAGCATACACTGACGCAGGCCTGATCTTCTCCGTTCTCAAAAGGCCCCAAACGAGTAGAACAAGCCCTAATCGCATCGATACAAGTACCGCTCTCAGTCCAATCCAAACAGTGTTAGACACTCCATTGGACACGCCACTGCTCACACACCACACGACACTCCTCAGGCGCCACGGCCCAAGGAACACAGTAGCACCACGACCGCGCCACCTGCAGACCAGCACGGCAATTCCAGAGCACAACCTCAACAGGACCGTCCCTGCCATCAAAGCCGCCCATCACCACAGGAGCCCCAGAACTTTCCCACGCTCAGCGCCACGCGGATGAATCGCTCAGCAATCGAACCCTGGCGCAGGAAGCAGGCAGACAGACCACTCACGGGTCGGCAACAAAGGGTCTTGCATCCCGGGCACTCAACCGCCACCCTCCGCGGCATCGATGCGTGCTCTGCCATTGACATCATACGAGTCCCAGCTCCCAGCTCGGAGGCATGGCACCTGCTCGCGGGCCCGGCGTCGCTAGGTACACACCACACCACACCACACCACACCACCTTCATAAGAACTGACAAGCTAGGTAGTTGGCGTAAAAATTTGCATTTCGCTAGATATCAGCGCCTCGGCCCGGAAGCGCGGGTGCTTGTATACGCTGTACATGCGCGCCTCGCGCGAAGCCATGCGCAGCCGCTGAACGCCAAGATCAAATCAAGATCAAATCAAGAGCGCACCCTTCCTTATGCCAGTCCCTTCGAAACCAGAAGAAAAAAACGCCGAATGTGCACAACCACTCTTCGGCCCGCCGGACGCGAAGCTCAGATAGTGGATGGTGACGGGGAGGGCATGTGCAAGTGAGCGAGTGAGTTCGTGTATGGCACGGCAACAGCAGCGAATGTACATGTACAAGTAGACAAGATATGGACGCGAGCAGAACTAGACGGCTAAACTAGGACATTGCTCGAAGCAACGCGACGTGATCCGCCGTCGGGGGCCGTGGGGTATGATGGCCGAACAAAGGAGAGGTGAGCAAGGAAATAGTAGGTACTTGCACGGGGCTTGACGGTGTCAGGCCGGCCCCGTGGACGGGTCTTGGGGACGATGCGCGCTTTGACGCGTCGTTCGGGCTAGCGGGCCTCGGAGATTTGTGGTTCTAGCGACCAAACTCTAACGCCTGGTGTCTTTCCTTCTCCGAAGAGCTCCGAGGGCGTGTGGTTGGAGTGGAGCGGAGTCTGCTCCTCGGCTGCTGCTGGGCGCACAGACCGGCGCGGCCTCGCAGCTTGGTCAGCGCTGACCAAGACCGGGTCTGTGGGCGAGTCGTTCTTCGTATCTGTGGAGAAGCCAACTCGAGGCCGTGCGTTTGTTGCCGATCATAACACATCCCAGATGTTTCGTACAATGGGACTGCTGCCGAGTTGTGCTGGACTTCGAGGGTCGACTGTGAGTTTCTCCGGTGTCCACTGCCGCAATGGCTCGCTCCAACTGTGACTGTTCTTTTCATCTTTGATGGTCTCGTCCGACGAGGCTGGGCTGATGCCGTCAGTCGGCGAGGTCAGGTCGAGGTGGAATGGATTCCTTGTGAACTCTTCTGCGCGAGGCGACATCAACGCATCCAGGTCGTCCATCGCTTGCTGGGGCCTCTCGGGTCTGTTCGCGAGCTTGGACTCCATCTCGGACTGGAGCTTTGACAACTGCCTTTGCGCTTTAATGTTTGGTGAGGAGAATCGTGTGCGGATCGATTTCGCAGGCGTCGCTAGAAATTCCTTCATTCGCGGCGTCTCGGGTCTCGATGGCGGTGACACGTCGCTGGTCGCTTGCGTTGGTGTCGCAGCGATTACGTTTGTTTCCGGAGACGTGCTCAGATGTTCGATGCGCGAGTCAATGTTGAGCTTCCGCCTCGGTGGAGGTGCTTGCATTGGAGCCTGCTCCAGCGTGTGTGTTGATGGCGTGCGTGCATGGCCATCGAGCGAAGCAAAGCCACTAAAGTTCTGGTGCGCAGGGGGAAGAATGGCTTGAAAGGCCGGGCGTTGGTTGTCGCTGGAGTGCAGAGAGCTCGAGGCGCTTGCCAGCTTGTCGAATGAGTTGCCTGACGAGAAGTCCCTCCTGGTGGGTGATGTGAGACCAAACGGATCTTCGTCGTCGGTCCTGGGCCTGAGCGGAGCCATGTGGAACTCTGCAGCTCTGGGCGACTTCAGCTCTGGTTCTGCAACAGCTCTGGGCGACTTCAGCTCTGGTTCTGCAACAGCGCTAGAGCCAAATGCATTCTCGGGGAAAGCACCAAACGTGGGAGAAGCAAAGTCGGTCGAAGTCGCTGCAGCGTCTGAGCCGTCAGTCGTAGCGAAAGATGCAAGGTGTGACGGCTGACTGGACGCCTCGGCAGCACGGAAGGGTAGGAAGTTGCGAGGCTTGTCGCTGCGATCGCTTCGTGTCTTTGGCAATGTCATGCGCGGTGGAGCAAACATGGGTGACTTGGGCGGCACCCCCAGCTGGAACGAGTCCTGAGATGTGGGCACCGACAGCGATGGCGCAAACATGGGCGACTTGGGTGGGGCACCGAGCCGGAACGAATTCTGGGCTCTAGGCACGGAGAGCGATGGGGCGGGTTCGTCGTACTCGGAAGGCCACGGCAGGTCAAACGACGTCTTCACTGGAGACTTGATCTCGTAGTCATCGTCCTGGTCTTGCTGCGTGCTGTACGATGCAATGTTGAAAGTCAGAGCGGCAGGAGACTTCAGAGGCGCAAAGCCCATGGGCTCCAACGGCGCCAGGTGTGTGCTCTTCGTCTCAATCGACCGCTCTACAGGAGCATCCGAGTAGGATCGCAGTGATAGCTGACGCGAGAAATTGGGGACCGAGAGCGCCTTCAGCACAGGCTCTGGCGCAGGTTGCACGACTTTAGGGACGGATGGTGACGCCAAGGCGGAACCGTTGACCTGGACTTGGACAACAGGCACGACGTGACCCTTGGGGTCGACATAGGGCGTCGTAGTGGGCGTGGAGTTGGCAGGAAGGTCCAAGCTGGACTGGCTCGAATCCCAAGAGTTGCGGAATCGCGCTGCGAACGCACCGCTCGGCGCAGAGAGCGGCCCTGGAGAAATGGCCATCATGTTGCCCGTACTCGCGCGCTGCATCGTAAAGTCATTGTCTGGTGGTAAGGGTGCGGTCTGGGGCGTGCGGGATCCAGAAGCATCGTCCCTTTCCGGGTTCGGACATGAGAACCTGTTGTTTGCATTGGACGACGAGGGGAAGCCGTTTCTTCGCCCGCCACCGTAGTTTTGTGTGCGGCTGTTCTGGTTCTGCCTGACGAGGCCGTTGCGGAACTCTTGAAGCTGCATGATGAGGTTCATGTTAGGCCCGATCCACTTGCTTCGCTTCTTGGCCTTGTCGTAGGCTTCCTGGACGCTGATCTCAGGCTCCTTGTACAAACCGTAGGCGACGACGAGACTGGCAGAGCGGCTGACACCGCACTGGCAATGCACGAGAACGCGCTTCCCCTGCTTGACTCGGTCGTCCATGATCTTGACGAGCTTGTACAGATCCGGGACGATGTCGGTGTTGTGCTCCCAAGGCATGTGGATGTACTCGGGTGTGCGGTGGGTCCTGCCATCGATTACCATCTCGCCAGGCTGTATCGTCTGCAGGACTGGTGGTGTAGCCTTGGGTGTGGTCGGCGAGTCGCTGCCAAAGCCAAACGTAGACTTTGGCTGCTGCGACAGGGCGGCAAAGTCAACATTCTCCGCAGCCGGGCCGTCCACTCTCCTGGCATTGAGGTCCTTCTGCGACTCAGAGGGCTGCGCTGTAAAGGGGTTCTGGACTTCGCTAGCGACGTTGACAATGACGTCAAAAGACGCAGCTTGCTCGGCGGTCGGTTCAAAGTAGAGGTAGACTCCAGCGGGGTATATGCAGATGGGTCCGTTGGGGTATGCAGCAGGCTTCTCCTCCTTTGATTGCGGGATGTCGAAATTGGGCTCCTCCTCTTCCTCTTCCGTCATCTCAAAGGGCACTTCGGACAAGCCGCTGCTCTTGGTCACGAGTGGGCGCAGGGCAGGGAACTTCATGCCACCGGCTGGTGCAACGCTCGGCGAACAGAGCGGCAGCGAAGGCGACGACTGGAAGTGGCGTAGCGCGGGGCGGCTGAGGGAGGGCGTCGAAGGAATGACGAGTCTTGTGGGCTTGTTGTCGTTGATGCCTGGGGTTGCTATTGTCAAGCTCAAGTTGGACGGCCGCCTCCGTGGTGGGGTGGGCGGCTTGATGAAGAGGGGCGAAGGCGGCGCAGAGCTGTTCTTGTCGTTGCTGGGCTGCACTGCAGGCGCAGCGGGTGCGTGAGCGCGCAGGTTGGTGAGCGAAGTGGTTGTGTTGATGCCGAGGTTCTTCAGGTTCCGCGCCTTTTTCGCAGGCGTGGACGGCCGTGCCAGTTCGAAGAAGTTGTGGCCGGTCGACACGCCGTCGGACGTCTCTGGCCGCCGTGCCCGGAAGTCGGCGGCGAAGGAGTGGTTCGCAATCTTGGCCATGGGCGACTCGGGCGAGGGCCCGGGCGAGGGATCGGTGACAGAGGACGAGTCCATGGTGGAGATGGTGGTGGTGGGCGAGTTGTCCGAGGAGGCGGTCGAGTTGGAGTCGCGGGAGTCGTGGTGGTTGTGGAAGGACGAGAAGGGGGCGCCGTGTGCTGTGTTTGCGGTCGAGGTGCGGTGGGCTACATTGTTGCCATGTGCGGTCGTGGCGGTGTCGCGGTCTGTCGCCCCGAAGACGGCGCCGAACGAGGGCAAGGGCGTGTAGGTGCGCGACGTGGTTGTCGGCATGCTGGGGAGCGGCGCGGACGAGGCAGCGCGGGGCGGGCGGGCGCACGAGGAGGTGCAGCAGCGGCGGCGGCGGCAGTGGGCGAAAGCGAGTCCAGGCTCGTTGGACGCGGAGGCGGACGCGGGAGTGGGCGCGGGCGAGGGTCTTTGGAGGGCAGTCATGTCAGCGGGTGTCGGACAGTCATGTCAGCGGACGGGGCAGTCTGGCAGTGGACGAGGCAGTCTGGCAGTGGACGAGGCAGTCTGGCAGCGGGCGAGAGAGCGAGGGAGCGACGGGGCACGGCAGCAGAGAGGCAGAGGCAGAGGCGAGAGGCAGAGGCAGAGGCGAGAGGCAGAGGCAGAAGCGAGAGGCAGTCTACGCACCGGGGGGCCTCAGCAGAGGGTCGCGCAGACAGGCGACAGTGTGGGCGAGTGGGCGAGTGGGCGTGCGGCGGCCAGGCGAAGGACTCCAGCGCGCGGGTGGGCGAGTGGGTGAGGATGCCGGCTCCTCGAAGCGCTGAGGGAGTGATTGGCGACGGGGCGGATGCGCGTTGGCGGCGGTCAAGGTCGTGGGCGACTGCCGGCGGAGAGCATGAGGGAGGGGATCGTGGGCGGCCGGCGTCGAGCGTGCATGCAGCGTAGAGTGCACAGAGACAGAGGACGCGGGTGTGCTGCAAAGGCCAACTGCTGAGGTCGAGGCGCCGCTGCATCGTCGTGCGGCCGGGCGCTTAGGCTGAGCTATTTTGGGGGCTGGGGTTAGACTGGTAGACGGCCGTCCACACCCTGCGTTCGTCGGCCACTCAGCGCCCGCGCACTGCTGCGCCGCGTCGCTGGCGCGGGAGAGCAATCACAGCGCGCAGCGCGCAGCGAGTCTGCCAGTTCTGCCCGTCTGCCGTTTGGCGGTGTTTGTGTGCACTTGGCTGTGGCGATTCAGACCCTGGGCCCGTCCATTCAGCATCCGCTGCTGGTCGTTGCAAAGCTTTGCCTTGCCCCTGAGCACGCACGCACGCACGCACACACACAACTGCTGCGAACACGCACCGCACTGGCACTGCGCTACTCCACAGTGTCCACACCACTGAGCACTGAGCACTGAGCACTGAGCACTGAGCACTGAGCATTGAGCACTGAGCATTGCGCACCGGACACGAGCCCTCGTCCGTTCGCATCGCCGCCGTCAATAGCAGCCTGCATTGTGAACAGTGAACAACCCACCCACTCCTCGCACTCGCACTCCCAAACCGCTGTTCTCTGTGCCACCACTCATGAGACAGCCTGACGTTTTGATGCTGGCAACCCTCACGGCTCGGCCCACGCTTGTGTTTCGCAGCCGCTCCTCGACACCCCACCGCGTCTGGCAACACCACCCACACCCAGCCCCGCGCCTTGCAAACACGCCCATCCAAGGCACCAGCGCCGTCTACGCGCGTCGCTGCACCGTCCACGCGCGTCGCTGCACCGTCCTGGAATGCAATGTAGTGCAATGACAGCAACGACAGCACCGGCAGCAACCCCCACACGGCCACGCCGTCTCAGCGACCGCGTCAGCCAGCGCGGCGTGTGTGAGGATGATGCCTGAGGTTTCACCGTGAGCTGCGCCAGCACGCCTTGGCGCGGCTTCGTTTCGCATCTGACTTTTGCGCGCCCGTCGTGTACAAAGTAGCTATCCCGCTCCTAGCCCTCTCTCCCGCGGACCCTCTGCAAACAGCACCACGTGCGCGTCTGAAGTTCAAACTGGCCTGAAATGGCGCAAAGTCGACCGTCTGCGTTTCACGTGCTCCGTCTGGCTGGACAACGGCGGTGGATGCTGAATAGCTGCATGTGCGAGTGCAAGAGTCCGCAGACGGGGAGACGTGCTTTGCTATGCACGACCATTCCAATCACTCTGTAGACGTCGATGCGAAAGAGCTAAACGAGAAGATGAACAGTACTATTTCATCATCTCCCAGTGCTGTATTCATCGTGTTTCATCTCCATTCTGACGGGGCCAACTGGCACCGTGATGAAGATGCCGCGGACCTAGACACCGTTCCCCAACGCCTTCGCTATGCATAACCATCCACGTTCACCGAAACAGCCTCTTCCCGCCCGTCCTCGCTGCCGTCCTCTCCACCCCCTCCAGACTCATCCCCGCAAACCCCGCGCCCCCGCCATCGCGGTCCTTCTTGTACCGCCTCAGCGCCTCCCGGAGATGTCCAGGCGTCAGCGGGCCCTTGTCGCACTGCCTCAGCCGCTCCTGCAAGCCCGCGTCCTTTGCGATTTCCGTCCAGATCGGCTCTGCCCGGTCGACCTGGTTGAAGTACAGGCCCGCGCTTTGAATGTCCGCGTTGGTCGGCTTGTTGCGCGCGTCTTTGATGTGCGCTGACGGCCGCCCGAGCGACTGCGCGAGCACGGGTGGCGGCAGCGCCGCGTTGGGCAAGTGCGTGCGCGACGCCGCCCACTCGTCGCGCACCGTGAGCGCCCGGTCAATCATCTCGCCCATGAACGACTTGGTGTACGATGTGACTGCGATGATGACGGGCTGGGGCACCGACTGCGAGAGCGTCTGGTTGACGAGCTTGCGGACCGTCTCGCGCTTGAGGCGGATGCGGCGGTATGTTGCGTAGCGGTCGGCTTGCGAGGGCGTCATGTACTCCATGAGGACGCGCTCGTGCTCTTTCTCGAGGTTCTTGCGGTCCGCCATCGACTGCCCGCCTTCGAGCGCCGTGTCCATGTCGTCGTCCATCATGTCGTCGTCGTCTTCCTCCTCGTCCTGTGCGTTGCCGTCTGCGTCGCCGTCCCCGTTCAGCGCGCTGCGCGTGTCGCCTTTGCCGCCGCGCATGCTGGACCCTGCGATGCTCGAATCGTCCGCGTTCTTCTTCCGCTTCTTCGTCTTGCCGCCTGCCCCGTTGACGACCGACGTGGTGGCGATGCTGTCGAGTGATGGCGAGCGCGAGAACCGCGCTGGCGACCCGACGCCTTCCGTCTCCGGCGAAAAAGCGTTGCGGAGCTGTGACGGCTTGCGCTTCTTGGTTTGCGCCGACGACAGCGACGAGATGCTGCCGCGCTTTTTGGGCATCGTGAACGACGGCATGTGCGGCGGAGAAGCCATGGCCGGTTGGGTGAGGCTGCGCAGCCCGGCAATTCTGGTGAGGGCGGGGTGGCGTTGAAGTTGTGTTGCTTGTGTTCCTGGAGCTTGTCAACGAACCGCGGAGTCGCGTTCCAAATGGCGCTAGTGTGCGCTTTCACCACTCGGCCGTGCGTCATCCCGCTCCAACGGTGGTTATGTCATCGACATTCCGATGCATTTTCAGGTACCAAGTTAGGGTGGACTGAACGTTTGAAGGGGCTCAAGTAGTACATATCTTACTAACTCTAGTCAATACAATACGTCTTGCAATCACACACGCTTCACACTCTACCATGGCCTCAGGAAATACATCCAACGGCGTCCCACCCACCGCAGAGGCAGTGAACCGCGCATCTACAAACAGCTCATCCACAACCAGCGCAGCCCCTACAAACGGCGCATCACAACCCCCCCAATCCGTCGCAGATCTACCCCCGGCCGCCCTCGACCTCGCCGCGAAACTTTTCGACCTAGCCCGCGAAGGCAACACCACCACTTTGCACCAATACATCACTGCCGGCGTCCCCAAGAACCTCACAAACGCCACCGGAGACACGCTCCTCATGCTGACCTCGTACCACGGACACGCTGAAACTGCGAAGATGTTGCTGGACGCCGGCGCGGATCCGAACGCGCTGAACGGGCGGGGCCAGAGTCCCATTGCGGGCGCCGTGTTCAAGGGGTACGATGATGTGGTCAAGATGCTGTATGAGGCTGGCGCGCATTTGGCAGCGGGGCATCCGAATGCTGTGGATTGTGCGATCATGTTCAAAAGGGATGCTGTCTTGGAGATGTTTGGGATCGAGAGGGGGGAGGGGACGGGGGGTAGATTTGATGGGCAGGCGTGAGAAGAGTTGAGTCTTGTGCGATTGCGGTGCAGAACGCAAATAGAACGATGAAGCGGTGGAGCGATGAAGCCATGAGCGATGAGTGATGAAGACGGTAAACGTAAAGCGCTAAGAATTGCATTGCAAGGGTAGATAATGGGTATAATTGCATCACGACATGACACAGTGGAAGAAAAGATTGGAAGAGTAAACCCCGTAGGGTATTTTCAGACAGCTACACTAGCCGCCCGCCCCATGATTCATTTCCGTGAGTGACCTAAGAAACTGTTCCCGCTAACAGCGCGCTTAGTTCTCAGCCAACAGGTTGGCGAAAGACTCGCCGGACCTCTCCTTGGTCTTCTCAACCTTGGCCTGGCCGAGCTTCTGCTTCGAGAAAGCGGCGGCGTAGGGGTTGAGGCGAAGCTGGACCTGGAAGTTCTTGAGAGGGTTCTTCTTCTGTACAACGCCACGCTTGGAGATGGCACCGCCACGGACGGGGCGGAGGACCTTCTGGACATCGCTGGAGTTGATGATCTTGGACAGATCGGGCTGCTTCATGATGGTGGAGGGCAGGAGGAAGTCCTTCTTGAGAGCAGAGGCCTCGGTGGTGGAGCCGTAGATCTTGTCGAGGGCAGAGAAAGCAGACGACGACCAGACGACGAAGCGACCGAGGTGGCCACCAGGGGCGAGCTGGAGGAGGTTGAGCGAGTAGACGGAGCTGGTCTCGACACCGGGGATGTTGCGGAAAGCAAGGACGAGGTCCTTGCCATCCTCCTCGGGGTTGTAGATGACAAGAGGACCACGGCGCTGCTTGTGGCGGCGACCCCTCATCTTACCCTTACCAGCGCGGACCTTGCGAGAGTTCTTGGCCTTCTCGATGTCGGCACCGGCACCGACGGCCTTGAGAAGGGCAACGGCGGCGGAGGTCTTCTTGATGGCGCCATCAGCGAAGGCGGTCGAGGAGACGACGAGGGGAACCTCGGGGACGGTGGAGATGGCGTGACCGCGGGCGAGGAGAAGAGCAGGGCTGCCAGAGGCGGCGAGCGCGGAGGCGGTCGCGAAACGCTTCTGGTTGAGGTTGATCTTCTGGTGCCACTTGCGCCAGACCTTGGTGGGCGCAAACATGCGGCCAGAGCGGCACATGTTACCGAAGGCGGCCTGACCAGCACGGCTGAAGAATCGTTAGCAAATTCGAGCACTGAGATCGCTTGCACTACTCACTGAGTTCCACCACCAGAGACACGGGGGATACGGGCAACAGCGCGACCGGTACCCCATGACTCAGCAGATGTCTGGTGACCAGCCTTCTCAGAGACAGCGTAGGGCTGGCGACGGTTCTTGTTCATTCCGGTGTGCACGGTGTGAACGATGTCGGGGCGGATGGGCGCCTGCAATTTCGTTAGCCACCAGCTCTGCTGTCGAAAATGCTCACTCTTGCAGCTCGCAGTGCCTTGCGAATATCGAGACCGGGAGACTCGAGATTTTGTTTTTGAATGCAGGTTCTGCACCCTCATTCTCTCGCTCCCAGTTCCACGTATTTGCAGCGCGTGCGGTCATTGCGTGCTCGAGCGGTCGGCGGGTCGCATACCTTGAAGACATTGGGCACAGCGATGCTCTCGGAAGAGCTCTCGCCCTTAGGGCTGATGACGGATACTGTAGGCCTCGACATGGCTGCTGCTGGCTGTGTGGTTAGTCTGCGGTCGAAGTCGAAGTTTTCGCTGAGATCGAACATGTCGAAAATACCTAAGCGAGGTGGGCCCAATGAAGGAGGCACGTGCACGGGAGACCCTTGTCACGCTGAACACCACACCTGCAAAGTTCAAACAACAACCACCAATCTCATGTTCCCCACGCGCTTCAAGTAGATGATGCGTTGATATTCTTGCTATTCTCAGGATTAATTGATGCTCATATCGAGATAACTTGCGCACTCCGCGCGCCACACTTGCGTCTGCAGCTTAACTGCTTGCACCTCCGTCAAATTAGCGCGACTAATCGCCCTCAATCACAGCATCTCGACTTCTTCAACACATGCGACCTCCGTCCATCTACAGTCCGCCGGTCTTTCTCTCCGTGTACAGTGATCTACCGAATTGTACATGCGTCACATGACAGAGCCTGCAATATACGGCTGAGGACTCTCGCTGAGTCACGACTCCACCAAAGCTAGCATGGTCCCGTCAGCCACATGTTTGCCTTGAACTCCCAACCAGATGCTTCAAGTACTTAAACCACACGGCCGCACCATCTTGTAGCAGACTATACGCGCCTTAAACATCACTATTGAGCTTGCAATAGCATGGCGAATACAAGATGCCAACAGCATCGACCAATTGCTGGACGTGCAAGCGTAGGCCACGCCATAGTGATCCTGAAAGTACATGGTCTTGCTGACATCTCTACAGAGCGGAAGGTTGGGTGTGATCGAGCATTGCCATATTGTCTCAATTGCCAAAAAGGTCAACGGACATGTCAGGGTTATGGCATCCGCCTGGCCTGGCCGGATAAGCAAGACGGCCGGCGCAAGCAAAAGAGATATGAAGTGAAAGAACAGAAGGTAATTACCAGATACCTGAAGCAGCAAGACGGCTGTCTAGCCTTCCTGAATACAGTCGTCGAAGACCTGAACGGCTCCAAGCTGGCTGTACAGGATCTTATCAAGCACGGGTTGATGGCCACCATGTCGACCATGGTCCCGATGCCCATGGGGCATGTTCAAATTTGTGAGCAAGATGGCATGCTACTCAATCACTGTATGGCCCCAGAGTCTGTCCTGTAGAGACATTGTGACTGATTACGCACAGACGACATGCAGATAGCGCGCATGACAACTACGATCGATGACGAGTCCAACGGCTTCCGTTTAGCATTGATCCCCATGGCCCTTTCGTCACCCGACTTGTCTGCGCGAAGCATATTGCATACAACCTTGGCGATAGCATGCTATCACTTAGGTCGCCCACAACAGGCGCTAAAGCATAAGTTTCAAGCAATCAAGGACTTGAGCGACAGCCTTGCCACCTTGTCAATTCAACACGTGGATTATGCGACCAGAACCCGCCATTTTGCAGCTTCGATGATGTTGTGCGTGTACGGTGTAAGCGCATTGATCACAACCCAACACTTTGAAGTTGCTGACTTTCACAGGTCTTCGATGAGTCAGACACAGCCTGGCACATGCACCTTGAAGGTGCCAAGTTGTTGCTCGATACTATCCCGGAGAAGGTGAAGTCCGCCGCTGGTTTCGAGTTTCTGAAGCCCTGGTTTCGGTACCACTACATATTCAGCCAGTATACGTACCCACCGCACACGACGGACCTAGAAATCAAACTGCCAGACGACACGCCTGAAAATAGCAAGGTATGCATGGCCATCGGGGCTTAGATTCACAACAAGATCTTGTGACTGATTCTTGTCAGATCATCGGTGTGCTAGGCTGCTCCACTGAAGTACTCGAACTGATCGGATGTATCAACCAGTTGCGCGGCGTTCAGCCTCGTGCAGATACTTCCGTGTGTCACACCGCCAATCCTTTTGTCAGCCACCCTACGATACTAGCTCGAATAGAAAATCGTCTCCTGGACCTGCAGCAAGTACTAGTAACTCATCCTGGCTCAACGTCTGGTACTATTGATAACGCACGTATCATCTCCACAGCAGAGCTGTACCGTATCGCTGCAGTACTTTATTTCTATCAAATCATCCCTGCGACGATAACGCCTGTAGTCGACCCTCATTATCTTCTTTGCAAAGGTCTCAACATACTCTGGGAAATGAATATCTGCAGTAGTCCTTGGCCATTATTCATTCTGGCTTGCAGTGTCTCTGACGACGTAGATCGCATTCGGATATTGGATCTTATGGAGACAAGCGGGTCAAGCAGGCGCATCGGGAACTACAGCATCATCATTGCGCTAGTAGAGGTTGTGTGGAAGAGACAGGATCTCATGATTGAGGAGAAGGCGAAAAAGAAAATTGATTGGAGAGACCTCGTTGAGGAGAGTGGATACATGCCTTCCTTTATCTGATACTAGCTCGCGCGGGACCACTCCGCAGTGTTCCCTGTGGGAAATGTTGAATGTTTGCTTTAATCTTCTTCCGTCCGACTTCTCCCTGTGTACGAGTCCCTAGATTCCCCAAAGTGTGTTTTCGAATACGTGAAGGTCGTAGGTAGTGGTTGCCAGAGACATGCGGACGCATGAGGCCAAGGTGGATTTCTTGTACGATCCACACTCTGAACCAATGAGACTTCTTAAGCAGGGCTGGCAGCCAGCCGGCTATTGATTCGGAAAGCAAGGCCCTACCGATATTGAACTCATCGATGATTTCCCAAAAGTAAGAGGAAGTGTAGACAGATGCTTGGGCTTCATGCTCAGGAGCCGGGTCAAGATTTCCCACTCCAGGCGGCAATTGGTCAAGTGTTGGCATCTTCTCAGGCCATACGAGCGTCATCTTTGCCTTCGAATACAGTATTACCATCTGGGTGACTTGGTGGCATCGCTCTTGATGGTTTGACTGATCGATGCAGACCTGGTCGATCCAGATCTACTCGGAAGTCCACGCTTCGTCGAGTCTGCGAGCTGCGAGAACGAACTCGTAAAGGTTCTTATGCACTGTGAAATTACCGGAGATCCCCTTCCCATCGCGAATTTCAGCGTTGAATGTCCCTGCTGCTTCGTCCCAGGCATGAGACAGTGCATTGTACTGAGAAGTGTTTTTGTCAAACTTAGTATGTCGCATCGTCAGAAGGACTAGGGCAGACTCGTTCTCATCCTTTTCGATGCGCGGGAGACGCAATATATTTTTTCGCAGTCCTGGTGGTCGGTGCTTGACGCTTGGTGAAATAAACAATGATGTAATGCTGCGACAGACGTAGCCGCTGTATGTATCGATGGAAAGCTGCGTTGAGTTGCTTGCTAGCTAGGAGGCGACCATATAGACATGCCCTGAGACGTACTAGTCCAAGGTAGTCAACAGAGGTGACGATAAGGCCTATAGGACCGACTTGCAACGCAACATGTAATACCACAGGTATTTCACACACTTAATGCTGTAAAGGCAGACCAAAAATAAAAGCAAGAGCCGCACTTCTCTAACTAACACTAAATTTGCCGTAGTACTGCAGTACTACGGCTTTATCTACTGCTACTTATTGCTACGGCTACGGCTTACTACAATTGCCATTAGTTACTGTTGCCTACTGCCATACACTGTAGCCGTAGAATCCGGTACAACGTCCAGTTGTCAACGCTGCTTGAAAGGAGACATGTCGTTGCACATATGTGCGGTTTGTGGTGAAGGAATGACGCTGACGAGATGGGATGCGAGGTGGATGGAGAAGGTGTCGAGGCTGTAGTGTTGCACCGTCTGATGGCTGTGCCAAGGCAACCATTCCTCAGCCTCGTGACCGAACGAATAGCTGCTGTGCAAGACATTGACACTGCAAGAATTCCATGTAAAGCGACAAATTATAACAGGTGTGAGGTCGACTTAATGAAAGCCCCAAGGGGCAAGGCTTGATTGAAGAGGCGACTTCCTAATCGTGTACGCTAGAAGGGATTGCGCAGAGCAGGTGAATATGAGCGGTGAGCTGAAGAGGAAGCGCCGACAAAGCACGAGTAGAAAGAGCGAGGAAAGTGATCAGACAGTAAAACTTGTCCTCTGAATGAACCATGAAGACGTGTAATGTTACATTGTGGTGTACAAAAGATGCCGGAAACGCCATGCCATGCTTGATGCTCTTGATCCAAACAGTCGGTGATCAGAATTTCTCGCTCTCCTTGTCGGAGGTATCCTTGGTGTCCTTCTCTTCCGCTGTCGACTCTTCATCTAGCTCATCGCCAAAGAGGTCATCGAGAAGCGCTTTGGCTTCCTGTTCTTGTACCTTGCTCTTTACCGTTCTCTTTTGTTTATCGGCCTCGTCTCGTGCTTCGTCGATAGCAGTATCTCGCTCGACATCTGCGATGTCGTTGTCAAGGCGCGATGCGAGACGAGCACCAGCAGCCTGTTCGTCAAAAGAAGCTTCGGACTCCTCGTACTCGTCAAGATCATCCGACTCCCGAGCACCCCCGAGAGTCGCATGCGCGTCCTGCAGAGTTTCGTTCGCGCTCAGAGTCTCGCCTCCTGCCGCTTGCAATTCAGCACGACGCTGTTTCCTTGCGCTGTATTCGTTTCTGGGAAGTACGACCTGCCTCAGCGGTTGTGTCTGCGCGCCAGCCTGGCTGATGTAGTCCACCACCTGCATGCACTTGGTGGCAAAGTCGCGAATCTGTGTTTCAGCTTGGCTACCCTTCAGATCCTCGGAATATGCACTCAGCGCGCCGCCCTTCGCCCCCAGTTTGCCGGATTGCACAGTGCTGTAAGAGACCTGCGTATCTAGGAGTCTACCCGAGACACTCTGTCGGAACTGGATGCCGGAGAAGAGGTACTTGATTGGCAGCATGCCCGTTTCATCCGAGGGGAAACCTGGAACCGTCCATTTGGGGATATCGATGGTTAGTGACGGTGCGGAGAGACGTCCACCACTTTCAATATTCTGACGCACAGCTTCGGTCCACTCCTCGACATTTTTGTCATGGTGACTCTTGCTGCTGAATCTTAAGCGTCCGTATCGGTGGAAGCGGATGTCAGCGGCCTGGTCAGGGAGAAGCACATCATGAACGCGTTCTTGAAAACCAAGACTAAGCTTGTGAATAGTAGGTTGGTTGCCGTCGCGACCAGTGCGAACTTGGATGAAGAGCCTTGGGAAGGTCGGTCCAACTTTAACATCAGGATCTTTCTGATCGGGCGCAGGAACGAAGTCGTAAAGAAGAGCGGGGGTTTCCGTCCTGGAAATGTTCTGAAGCTCCGACGAAGCAAGCAAGCTTCCAAGACCAGGTATGGCAGGATGAAATGGTGAGCGTGAGGAATCTGAAGCAGCCTCGATGACCTTGTTAGGGTCTGACATTTCTAGTGGAAATAGAGCTTGGCCGAAATCAGCAGAGACTTTGTACTCTGGCTCCATCGCCCAGTACCCAGTCTGTCTGTTTCGAGGTTTCGACTCTGGGCCTGTGAAGGCAGCGTCGGCGGGTGGTTTTAGCAGAGACGCAACCCGGTTCACGATACTGTGCAAGCTTTGCTCAGAATTCGACGTCGGCTCAGACGCTACTTGATGGTTTTCTTCGGCGCGAGTAACGGGCAAGGCCCATCGACCCACGCTTAGACCTCGAAGATTAAAGTCTACAGAGCTCGCGTCGTGATGGACGGGCGATAGATAAGTCCCTTGTTTTGCTGCGTCCAGCTTTTGTGTATCGATTGTGCGTGGTGCAGACTCCTTGAAAGGTAAGAGTCTGATAAGTGTTCGTTTCGCTTCTGCAATGGAGGCTTCGTCCAGTCCATGTATTTTCAACTATATCAGTCAGCGGCTGTAGCACTCAGATCTCGATTAAACATGCCGTGTGATGGTTCGACGCAAAGATGGTTGTACCCGTCAAAGATGACACATACTCAGCCGGAAGAGACGCAGCCAGATTCGGATATGTCGCTACTCTGACCTCATTGAGCTGCCCAACCCAAAGCTTCAAGTCGAGCGATGTGGTTCGCGCCTTGCTGAGGGCGGCCTCAACGTCATCCGCCATATACTCGGCCGTGGTCTTGTCTGCTGTGATGCGGAGGACGTTTGTAGGCCAGTGTATCTCAGCTTTGGCGTTCCTGATCCTTGCGATTCGAGCGAGAGCGCTGTCGTTGGCTGCGACAGAGTCAGTCTTCGATCTCTGCTTGCCAGCGCATACACATACCCCCATTCTGCAAGAGTTTGAGCTCCCACTCCTTCAATTTGAGCTCCAGCTCACCAGGGGCCTCAATTTCTTCCAGAAGTTCCAGCTTCCAAGCATCTCGAAGGATCTTGTCCACCAGCGTTGCCTTGCGTATGCCCTTGGGCTTCTGCTTCTTCCCGGGCTTGACGGCCTCAACACCTGGTAATCGTTTCTTGATATCCGTTGTGGTTGGATGCCATTCGCTTCGTTTGGTTGCCTTCACGGTCGCCTTCACGACCTTGTACACCGTCTCTTTCTTGATGCTTTTCGCCGTCGAGTAGTAGTCTGACAGTTGTGTCGTGGTGAAGCCGCGGGTCAAGGCGGCAACGAGCTTTACAAAGTCGGCGGTCGTGACGTATTGTGGCTCGTTCGGGTTGCCTCGCAAAGGACGCAAGCCTTCGAGCTGCTTCACTACATCCTCCTGAGTTGCCGGCGCGCTGTCTCGCGTCAAAGAGGAGAGGATGTCTGGGACTGAAATGGGCTCAGACACTTCAGGTTCCTTCGTCTTGAGCTCCTCCGGTATAGGCGCTTCGTTCATGACTAGGACATCGGCATCTTCGTCCATACGCGTCATGCCCAGCTTAGCCTTTCTGTGCCTGACAATCTTGCCCTGTCGCAAGTACTCTCTTGAGATTCGCAACGACTCCTTCGGAGAGTCCGTGTCAGCAGGCTCTTGGCCTGGTGCGACCGCCTGGCGTTCGTCTGCAGCATCGTGGCGGCGTGTGGAGGTCGAAAAGTCGGACTTCGAGGATTGGCGCGCGAGCGAAGACGTTCGATAGCGCGTAAGCTGGAGCTCACATCGGAGGCATACAAATGCGCTGGAAGCACGGGGCGCAAGCATAAGGAACGGAGGGATGAAGCCAACAATTACAATGACGATGGATGCTGGCGCGCGGTTTCGTTGCTTCAGTGAACTTTTGGTGCCACACCGCCCGATTCTGCCGCTACATCGCGACTTCACGTGCGAGGCGCGTCATCATGCAATAACCTCTACTCCGTCGATAAACCATCTTAGAATAGTCCCAGTTCAAAATTGTGATCAGCTTTTCTCTGGAAAGGTGCATAAGGAAGGATTTGTGTGCGATAATGTTCTGGATGGCATATCCACACTAGCCCCGTTCCATCTCTACAGTACCCGACTATGCTCCAGAGGATGTTCCTCGTCCTCGAGCTACTTATCAACCCAATGCTCGAGCCGCGGATGATCCACCAGGTACCTCTGCAACTATGAAAACACCTGCTCCGCATCTCCAGAAAGCACCAGCGCACTTAGCCTGGTCCCCACCGATCTCTAGAGAGCATCGTCCCCCTTCAGCGCAAGCCGCACAACATCATTCACATCCTCGAACCTGATAGCGTCCCTCTTGGCATGATTGGTATGGAGGAGGGCCATCGGTGACCGGGGCGGATCCTGGCTCTTTGGGCCATGGTGCCTAAATGTGGAAGTTCCAAATCGGACTCAGCCTTCTTCGTGCACCGTGCTACAACAGGGCTATCATGTATGACCACTGCACAACACCAACAACACGTAGACATGGCCTTGTGACCAGAGCAAGTAGCGTAGATCGAAGAACATGCTTGAGACGAAGGCAATAACATGTTCCGCGATTCCCTTCTCAGGAGTTTCGGTCCATTAGCAACGAAGGTCACAAAACTGAAATTCCCTACAACATCATCCCCTCCCACACTCACGGCGCAGGATACTTCCTCAACCACTCCATGGTCGCCTTCTCAAATCCCTCTCTTGTGGAATCATCTATCTCCATCAAGCGCTGCTGCTCAAACATCATCTCCCAATACGCTTCGTCGCGCGCCTTACGCATCCTGTGCGTCCTACTGTAGTCGGCTGCGACTTCGGCTGCTGTCTCTTGCTTCCTGGGTAGAGGTTTAGCCAGCAGAGGCGCTGGATGTGTCGCTGTTTTGAGCGCTGCGGTTATGGGTTTGGCAATGAACGACATCGTGGAGTGATGCGGGTTTGTTAGTGGAAGATGTGGGTGGATATTACCTGAGGTCGTTACTTGAACGTTGTGGCTCTAATGCGTAATGTTTGACGTGAGTTTTCGAGAGGACGCAAGACGGCTGTTCTATGCAGGTGCTTGAGAGCCAGCTGACAAACAGCGCTGTGGGTGCTCTGTCTATCGCACAGGAGATGCAGTAGGGAACGCACTGTGTAAGACACATGAGAAAACACAATGCGATGGGAGGCCCAAACGAACAAAGAAAGTATCATATGCGTGTATTGTTCAAGTCCCAACTCCTATAATGCTATCTAATTACATGTTTCTATATGCCGAGATTGTCTTACTCTTACATCTATGCCGCCCAGCGCTTCTTCAGCCTACCGATGACCATGCTCATATACTGAGCATCGGTGACACTGGGTATCTGGCCCAGCGATTCACTATCCTTGCCCGTCTCTTCTGTGATGTACTCCAGCGGGCCCTTTGGCTTTGTAGAAGCAGCGCTGCCGTACTTGCCCTCAAACCAATCAAGCAGCTTGATCGGTGGGTTTGTCTTCGGATCGCGGTCGGAGTTGCGTAGCCTGTCCATCCACTGGTCTGTGGGCAGTGATTCAAACTCAAGACCAGCCTCGGACAGTGCGGGTAGCATGTCTCGCGTCCAGTGGAAGCGTGCAGGGTTCAGGACGTGATAGACGAGATCGGGATTAGATGCACGTGCTGCAGCGCGTTCGGGTTTGCAGACATCGAGGATAATGCGGGCCGCGTAGTCGACAGGAAGCCAGTTCATCTCCTAGATAGGGTTAGTTAGTGCGAAAGGAGGCTGTGGGGTAAGAACTTACTTCGTCAAGCTGAGGCAGTGCGCCGAGAGTCACAGCCGTCTGGATCATGAGGGGGATTCCCTCAGTAGTGTTCCACTCCCCGACCTTGCTGTCTCCAACAAGTTGACCGATCCTGAGTACGCGGGCCTGGGCACCAACATCTTTCATCGCATTGCGAACGATCTGCTCTGCGACATACTTGGATCTGGCGTAGCCTGTGCCTTGAACGTGAGCGATGTCCCGAACAGGTGTCTCGGGGACTGAGCCAGGGCGTGGTGTACCTCCGGTGGAGGAAACCGAAGAACAGAAGTAGAACCGCGCTGGTGAGCCATGTGTGGTCGATTGACAGAGGTTGATGAAGTTCGGGACGGCCTTGATGTGTTGGTCTTCGAAGCTCTCGACAGAGATGTTGAAGTTGACTGCCCACGCACTGTGGATGACGAGAGTAAGACTCGAGCGTAGTTGCTCAAATCTCTCGGCACCAAGGCCAAAGTCCGGCTTACTGAGGTCGGATGGTACCGCGACAATCTTGTGGATCTCTTTCAGCGACAGAGAGATGCCTCGTGAGGTGAGGCTTTGCAGTGTCCTCTCAAGCGCAGCATGTTCTGATGATGCACGAACAAGCGCCCACACTGTAGATACAGTCGGATCACGGACAAGCTGAGCGAGGAGGTGTGCGCCGAGACCTCCAGTAACACCAGTCAAAACGACAGTCTCTGAAGTAGGAGCGACGCGATTGGCCTCTTCGTAAGTCTTGAAGGATGAGTGCTTTGCGACAAGGTCTTGCATGACTTGGTAAGCGTCTTTGGCTTCCTCTGTATTTCCGGTGCGTAAAGCATCGATATGGCGAGCGAGAGCTTGGATGTTGCCAGTCTCGTACAAGACGTTCTGACCAAGTTGAGACTGTCGTCCACCAAGGTCGAGCTCCTTCTTCATCAAGCTCCACATCTTCATGCACTGCAGACTGTCGATGCCCAAGGCGAAGAAGTCATCCGTAGCTGAAAGCTCAACACCAAGGCTTTCTTGGAACCTTTGAAGGAGGTAAGCCTCGAGCTCCGGCAGGGGTAGTGCAACGGTGCCGGCTTCGTCATTGCCATTTTCAAAGTTGGCGTATGCTGACTCGATCAAGTCCTTGAACTGCATGTAGACTTGCGCACGGATGAAAGTACCCTTATCGGTCTTCGCGTATTCGGTGTCTGCTGGCAGAATGATGACGAGGTCCTCTGGTATGCGTGAGAAACTTTCGGCACGAGAGTTCGCATCTTGCACAGCCGGCCAGATCTCGAAGAAGAAGTCGTCGTCCGACATGTGATTAGCAGCGTCAGACTTGATGACAAGGACTCCAGGAAGACTCTTGCCATCACCGAACACAACTGCCTCCTTCACAAGACCTTCTTGTCGTATCCTACCCTCAATGGGGATTGGGAGGACCTTCTCGCCATTGACCAAGGTAAGTCTGTCATCAAGTCTTGACACAAACCTCCAGAAGTCTGGGTTCGTAGGGTGCTGCATGAACAGGTCCCTTGTTCGGAAGGATCGAGGTGGGTCGTCTGAGTTGTTGGTGTTCTTTGAGCGCAGACCGTCAAGTGCGACACACTCGAAGATGCCTGGGGTGATCTCGTCCATGAGCACGTACTGCTTCACTTCGGGTAGAAGTCGAAGGTAGTTCCACGCGAGATCTCCCTTAGGACGGACTGAGGTTGACAACCTTCCTGTCTCGGTTGCGCCATAGTTTGCGACCAGGTTGACACCGTTCTTGACCAGCATATCTCCAAGATCGTCAGGGCATGCACTACCGCCATACATGACAATTTCGATGTCTGCAAGGGCTTTGATGCCCTCTTCTGACTCTCCAAGGAGCTTAAGGACATATGGCACACAGAAGAGCAGGTCAGGTTTGACAGCTGCGAGTGTCGCCGTGATGTTCTGCTTCGTCAACGGGAAGGCATAGTTGAAGTAGTACATCGGCTTTCCTGAGTATATCGATCGGAAGGTCTCATAGAAGCCGAAGCTGTGGAAGAGAGGCTGTGTCATCAAAGCTTTCCTGTCCAGGTTTGTCGAGAAAGCTGCGATACAGGTGCGATTGGTAAGGTAGATGGGCTTAGGCAGACCGGTCGAGCCCGAAGAGTGAATGATGACAATGTTCTTGGTGGTCTCCTTGAGCGGATCGTACGTACGGTGGAAGCTAGGTGCATCCACGCCATAGTACTCATCATGCTTCAACAGCTGGAGCACAGTCGTGCCACGCTCGCTCTTGACCTCTTCCAAGACAGGATAGAAGTTCGGCGTGCTCAGGAGAATATCACAATCGGTCAGTTCGAGTAGGCGAGCCAAGGCCGGTGCAGCCAGGCGGGTGGATAATAACAAGCTAGTATAGCCAAGCCTGCTCAGACCCAGGAGTGTGATGATAAAGGGCAGGCCGGAGTGGGCGAGTATGCCTACAACAGGGGCCTTGTCAAGGGAAGCGTCCTATGGGATTGTGTCAGGGTTTGCTCCGGCTGGGCATTTTCTGTACTCACCACTTGCTTGAGGCCCCTCCGCTGCAACGCTTCTGCAGCTGCATCGGCGTATTTGTTCACCGCTAACGCCGAGTGATCCTCGTAATCCGTCACACCCTCGTTCGGGTATCCAATGAGCGGTGCATCTGCCAACTCAGCAGCTCTCCGACGAATGAGCTCGTCAATTGTGGAGATCTCAGCATCGCTTGTTGGGATGAGTGTTCGCGTAGGGCGCTCGTCGGTCGCTGTGTATGTGCGCGACATTGTGATTTCAGCTCCTTCCAAGGAATACTCAGAAGACTCAGGAGATGTAGAGCGCGACATTGTGACCCGTGGCTCGCTTTATGCGGAGGTGGCTTGCATATTGTGGGGGAGGAACGGAGAAGGTATCCACGATGTTGGCGCTAACAACAACTAACGTGACAGGAAACTCACGGACTCGTTTTCCAGAGCCGCATGACAGTATCCGGGGGCGGTAGATTTCGCACCAATGTCGAGCTCCCAAAACCATCTGGACAATGCATCCGACTCAAGGCTTCCTTGCCAAGCAGGGCTTGGCGCTCACCTCGTCTGGGCATCCACTTTGCGACCGTATCAAGCGCGACGTTTGCATGGGATGCTCGTCTTTCTTGCCTGCCCCGCGAAGCGAAGGGATTGATCGTCTTGGCCAAGCTGCATACTGCTAGTACGCCGCAGGTGGCGCCACACCCCACGGGGTGTGCTATACCCCGCATGTACGTTACTCTACAAACCACAGTTGAGATCAAGCTTGGCGAGGCTGGTATAAAGACAGATCAGATGGCGGGACCTCTGAAGAACACAGCGCCTCGAGCCCTGAGCCCTCCGTCACGTCTCAGCCATCATGACTGATCCCATAAAAACCAAGAACTCGACCGAGCGTATCGACGCTATCAGTGTCAACGACCAGCCTCTCAAGCCCCAGTATGAAGAGCTTGACAAGTTCGGCTCCACTGTGGTGAAGAATCCTGCTGAAGTTGCTCTGGTGAAGAAGCTCGATCGGTGGATGATGGTGCGTATGTCAATGACGTGGGCCATTCATCAGCTAACGCCAGCAGCCCATTCTTTGGCTGATGTACTTCCTCAACTTCCTCGACCGCAATGCTATCGTCAATGGCAAGATCGATAACATGGACAAAGATCTTGGACTTACTGGCGTCCAATACAACACTTGTGTTTCCATCTTCTTCGTTGGGTCAGTCACCCCCTATACTTTCCATCAGAGCATATGATCTGACACATCCAAGCTACCTGCTAGGACAAATTCCATCTAACATGCTTCTCAATCGAATCAAGCCCTCCTGGTACATGTCCGGTTGGATGATGGCCTGGGCTATCGTGTCTACTCTCATGGCAGTGGTGAAGGACTACAAGGGCATGCTGGCGTGCCGCTTCGTCCTCGGTATTACGGAAGCTCCGTTCTATCCTGGCGGTGTCTATCTGATTTCCATGTTCTACACGCGTAAGGAGAGTGCTACAAGGATGTCCATCTTCTACACTGGCAATCTCCTTGCCTCTGCGTTTTCTGGCCTCATCGCAGCTCCAATCTTCTCCGGTTTAGAGGGCAAGCATGGCCTCGAGGGATGGCGATGGCTATTTATTATCCAGGGTGTCGTTACTGGTACGTTGCTTGGAGATCCTCACATGTACACGACTGATATTATTATAGTGGGCGTCGCTGTCCTCGCTTTCTTCATGCTCCCCAATGCACCCCTGCAGACACGCTGGCTCACACAAGAGGAGCGCGAACTCGCTCACAGCCGGATTGCCTTCGATACTACCGAGAAGGAAGGTAAAGTGAGCGTTTGGAAGGGTCTCCGCGAAGCGTGCACCGATTATCGGATGTGGGTGTTTGCGCTCATGCAGAACCTCCATCTATCCGCCAACGGTGAGTGAAATTTGCCGTTCCAAGACGACGACTAACGAATTACCAGGGTTCAAGAACTTCCTACCCAGCGTCGTGCATGTATGTGTCCTCGACCCTCACCCCCTTGCACATGTACTGACCATAATCCAGACTCTTGGCTTCAACCGCACCATCACCCTTGTGCTCACTTGCCCGCCATACCTACTCTCTGCCTTTGTCTCCGTAGCTGTTTCATGGTCATCCGGTCGCTTCAACGAGCGAACCTGGCACATCACGCTCTCCAAAGGGGTCGCGATCATCGGCTTCATGATCGGAACGCTGACTCTCAACGTCGGCGCACGCTACTTCGCCATGGTTCTCTTCGTCGGCGCCACTTATGGTGTGAACAACATCAACCTTTCGTGGACAGCTGCCATCCTTGGTCAGACTGATGAGAAGAAGGCCGTGGCCATTGCGATTGCAAACACTCTGGGCAACTTGTCTTTCGTCTACACTCCTTACCTGTGGCCCGATACGAGCAAGCCTCGCTACTCGATGGCCATGTGGGCCAGTGTTGGATTCTCTACTGGCGTGATCGCCTGCGCTTGGGCGTTGAGATTCATTCTGATGAGGGACAATAAGAAGATCAGGGCTGCGAACAGCGAGGCTATCAACTTCTACGTTTACTAACGGCTTGCTGTAAAGAGGAGATGATGAGGGTTGCTCGGATTTGGTCTGGACCACAATTTGCAGCTGATCGGAGATTTGTGGCGATAGGCGGCGTGTTCATAGCCTCTTATAATAACAGATTCGATGGTCGATGGCTTTGCTTTGGTCTTACACATCAAGAGTGCTCGTGTGGTGATACGTGCTACATCCGGAAGCGACCATGAGTGAAAGTGAAAGCGCTACCTCGCTTGCGCCTGACACTAAATGATGCCGGCTGACCACAACAAGCGACCTCTGTTACTTGAACTACTCGACGCGCATACAGGTATTCCGGGACTTTACCACGACCCGCGTAAGGCGTGCGATGCGTTGAACAAACAGCTAGCAAAAAACTCGCAAACCCGTTTGCTGTCATGGGTTCTGTGATAAACGATGAAGAGCTGTAGCGTCGACAATTGACTTTGGAACATCAGGATCCACTGAACATGCCCGCGACACCTGAAAACACACCCATGGACGCCATGAGCGACTCAGCAGGCGGGCACATGGATATGGATGACGAAACAAGCGCCCAAGGTCCATCCAGCTCTCGACTCGAACACCACGAGCCAGCCGCTCGCCACATCGAGGTAGACGAAAACTACTCGGATGGAGGAGGCGACGACAAAGACTCGGGCGAAGATCCGTATGTCTGTCTGGACCACATGATCACCCTTGCAATACCCGTTACAAACCCTTCCGCCTTTCCCGTTGAGCGATTCCGAGAGGTCCAAGAAGGTCGTCAGCCCAGTACACGCATCGTGGATATGCTAGTCTACAAAGCGTCTTCGGGCCCCATCACAAAAGTGACCGCAGACATCCAAGACGGCTCAATCAACCATCTCTTCATCCGCGATCCTCGCGTCATCGACGCGCTCGGTTTCGCAGCACCGTATTTCGATACGATCAATCTCGACACAAACAAATTGCGACTCGGCGAGACGTTTACGATTAGGATCTTTTCTGGCCAAAGGCCAAAAAGGCTGGACAACTGGATCATGGGAGAGCTGGGAAGCGGGCGCCATGCGTACTTGGAGTGGCTGGATGAGCGAGGAAATGCGGACCCCAGGGCGCCACCGTTCGCAGCGGAGGCAAGGGCGATCGCGAGGAAGACGGGTCGGCGATGGCCAGATGTCATGAGCGAGATTGAGAGCGTGTGGAGGCTGGAGCGAAATAGTGGCGGGAATGAGTTCAGACACAACAGAGTCAAGTATTTGGGAGAGGACCCAGCATATGCGGAGGCTGCAGAGAGGGGGAGGGTGATGAGGAGCATGTTCGGGTAGGATTTTAGATGTACGGGAGAAGATGATGATTGCTATATCGAATGGGCAGATTTCCGGAGTCAGTCAGTCGGCTCAGAGTCTGGTTGCAACTCGCCGAGAAATTAGAATCCCTGATGACTCTTCCGCAGCGCTCAGTCGGCGACATTGCGTAATCGCGAAGGTACGGCGGATTAATATCTTCATGACTGGACTGCTATCGGGCACCGCTACAGCGCGCTCACCCATGGCTTCCCCGCAGCCTCACCCTGCTTCTGATCACCACTCTTCTCCTCGTGACCTTGCGTGCCGGCACGACCATCCTTCCTGCCGACATCCTTCTTGCCAACATCCTTCTTGCCATCATCCTTCTTGTTAGCGGTGACGCTGGGGGTGTAGCTGAACACCATGGTCTTGGTGACGAAGCTGAATAGCATGGGTGAACTACTCTTGTTCGAGATTTGGGGTCGTTGTGTGGATAGCTCGTGGAGGTTGGTGGATGGGTTGGCGGGCTGCAGGGGGTTATATGGGTGAAAGAGAGAGGGGAAAGGGCTGTGAAAGGGAGGGGGAAAGGGAGGGGGAAAGGGCTGTGAAAGGCTGTGGTGGAACGGGAGACGACTCGCGGAGGTGAGTGACGGTGTCGGGCCAGATCGCTGAGGCAGACTTGAGACCACGCTGAATGAGTTTTGCAGGACAGCTGCTTTTTTTTGTACGGTTCCAGTATGCTATGCAATTACGTATGACATCGACGGTATTGTGTTCATCCACACCGCGCATCCCATACAGGGACCGAATTTCAAACCCTATCCCCATCCATAACCACCCCACCCATCTCATCCTCGGTCTCCTCGTCGATGACATACAGCATCCACGCCAAAGGGTCGATGTCGAAGATTACACATCCCCCCTCGTCCGCCTGCACAATCAGCGGCGGCGTCGTGTCGCACTCCTTCAGTGAGTCGTCGTCATCGTCGCCATCAAAGGTATAGACTGGAATCGCGGAGTAAACAGGCGCCGCAGTGACGGCACAGCGGGGATGCATATCAGCGGTGAGCAGGCCGAATGGCATATCGTATCAATCGAAGTGAGGATCGAGTTGTCTGACTGCTCGATTTGCAATTTGCAATCAGAAGGAGTCCTCGAGGGACATGCTGTGCGCTGCTCAGCACCAGAGGCGAGCAGTGTGTAGCAATAGTGCCGGCAGAGGTGAGACGTGCGAGGTGAGACGTGCGAGGTGAGACGTGCGAGGTGAGATACACTGGGGGCTGGCACTGTGCGGCCGTTGTGCGTCGTGTGAATACGGCTGTGAATGATGCTGGGTTAGAGATGTCTCGGACACTGTCAAGGCGCGCCCGCCGTTGCACGGTAGGCCATGGCCCAAACACTCAGCTCGTACGCCGGGCCGCGCCCCCCATGGATCTGTACACGACAGCTGCGTAGTTGATGCGCAGCGGGATCGTCGCGCTGATCAGAGCCCTGTTGTTCTGGCACGCAAAGACGAACTGGTACCATCCCACGCCCAGCGCACCGAGACCTGGGACGCCAGCTCAACACCGTCAAATGAAGGGTAGCGAGTGAGCGAGGCACCGGCTGGTACGTGAAAAGATGTTCCTCTTTAGAGCAGTGTCTCGTCCCTCTTTAGAGCAGTGTCTCGTCCCTCTTTAGAGCAGTGTCTCGTCCCTCTCCAGAGCACCGCTCGCTCCTCTCTTGCAGGGAAATGTAAAGAGACCAAAACACCGCATAACAACAACCTGGACAGCCTCAGTTGGCGTCTCCTCAAACGGCGCGGGGGACAAGCCGTCTCCAGGCACAAGGGCGCAGCAGGCAGTAGAAGCCCTGTGCGACATTGAGCAGGCCGTGGAGGATCAAGAGGGCGCGGGCGGTGCGCGACACGATTGTGCTGCGGGACGCGAGCGTGCAGAGACCGCCGAGTGCGAGGATGAGGATGTAGGGGAGAAGCGTGTTTGGGTTCGGAGAACGGACGTCCATGGCTGTAGGTGCTGTGGGTTGTGAGGAGAGATTGTTATATGGAGTTTGTGATGGTGAGGCTGCGAGGAGAGCGTGTTATACAGAGTTTGTGATAGTGAGGCTGTGAGGTTGTGAGGAGAGATTGTTATATAGAGTTTATGATGGCGAGGCTGTGAGGTTGTGAGGAGAGGGTGTTATACAGAGTTTGTGATGGTGAGGCTGCGAGGAGAGCGTGTTATATAGAGTTTGTGATGGTGAGGCTGTGAGGCTGTGATGGTGAGGCTGCGAGGAGAGCGTGTTATACAGAGTTTGTGATGGTGAGGCTGTGAGGTTGTGAGGAGAGATTGTTATATGGAGTTTATGATGGCGAGGCTGTGAGGTTGTGAGGAGAGATTGTTATATGGAGTTTGTGATGGTGAGGCTGTGAGGATAGCGTGTTATACAGAGTTTATGATGGCGAGGCTGTGAGGTTGTGAGGAGAGGGTGTTATACAGAGTTTATGATGATGAGGCTGTGAGGTTGTGAGGAGAGATTGTTATATGGAGTTTGTGATGGTGAGGCTGCGAGGATAGCGTGTTATACAGATTTTGTGATGGTGAGGCTGCGAGGAGAGCGTGTTATACAGATTTTGTGATGGCGAGGCTGCGAGGAGAGCGTGTTATACAGAGTTTGTGATGGCGAGGCTGTGGGCACGTGACGTCAGCATGGCACCTTCATGTGCAGCACAGCAAAGTGGCTCGATGACGGCGAGCAGTAACGGGGGACGGCGAGCAGTAACGGGGGACGGCGAGCGTGACAACAGATCAATGGATAGGATCGAGTTTGCTGTTGTGGTTCAAACAATCCGCATGTTGTACAGCTCATGGCTTGTAAGCTCATGCCAATCTACGCTTATTCACACACGTGCGCCCATGTTGTACATGCAGTCCTACAGCCAGCTACCACAGGCAGTACTGTCGCTGCGCCGTTACAGGCCGATCGGGCAGAGCGACCCAGAGCTTGCGGTTGGCGCGCTTCTTCCTGATCTCGTCCGAGATGCGCATCCGTGTCTTCTCTTCCTTGAGGAGGAACGTGAAGCCTAACATGGTCAGCAGCATTCACCAGCATTCACCAGCATTCACCAGCATTCGAGCTGATTGGACGTACTCGTTGTCCGGTGCGTCAGCATGTTGACTCTTCCTCTCGCCCTGAACTCGGGAGACTTCCAGGCCTCGCCCCTGCCGCACCAGGCCTGGTCGATGTACACCTCAGTCGGGTCCCTGACCAGCTTCTTCCTTCCGTCCTTGAGCTCGATGACCTGGGTCGCGCCCTTTGTCCTGGCTGTGGTCTCGTCGAGGTCGGCCAGGGTGGAGGCAACCTCGTTGCGCTGCTCGACCCACTTCTTCAGGGCGTGCTTGTCGCCCAGCCCCATACCCCGCCCGGCAATGGCCTCGTCCTGGGCGACGATCAGGCCCTTTAGGATGTCGCGTGCCACCTTCTTCGGCGAGAAGCGCAGCTGCACGAGTGCCTCGGAGACGGTCTTGCCGGCGATCTGCCGCAGGATCTTCTGTATCTTCTTGACCGAGGTCGGGAGGAAGTGCGACTTGTACAGCGACGTGCGCTCGGTGCGGGCAATCTTGGCGGCCTTGGTCATGCGGCCGTGCCGGGTGACGCTCTTGATGACGAGCTTGCGCTCGAGGCTGCGGCGTGCGGCCGGGTCGGGGTCGATGTTGACGCTCAGCAGCCTCTTTTCCTCCTCGCTCTGCACGGCCAGCCTCCTCTGCTCGGCCCGTGCCTGGAGCGCTGCCTTTTCCGTCTCGGGCGCGTTGTCGCGGAAGCCTGGGATGAGGCGCTCGGGGCTGAACAGCGGCGAGGGCACCGAGTATGTGGCGCCGTCGCGCACCGAGGTGCTGGGCTTCTTCGGGGCCGCGCCGTCCGGAACGGGCTGGGCGGCCTCGGTGGCGGCGCGCTCGGCCTCCTTCTGCTGCAGATACTTTTCGAGCAGCGGGTTCGAGAGGTCTCTGTCGGCCGGCGCGCCGGTCGAGGCGTTGCGCTGGGCGACGGTCGGCACCGCCGTCCATGGCGTGCATCGGGGGCGGAAGGCGAGGGCTGTGGACTGTCAGAGACTGGACGGCGCCATGGAGAGCAGGAAGAGGTGCTGACCCGACTGCCCGAGCCGCCGGGCGGGTATTCGTGCGCTCATTTGTGATGCTCGACCCCGAGTTGCGCGGCGTTGATGGCCGTCGTCGACGTGCAGTCGAGAAATTCGGCCGCGGCGCGCCTCCGTCCAGGTCACGTGCGCACACCGGCCGCATCCATGGCAGAGGGCGACAAAGTGCGGCAATGATCATCTCGTCGCAACCAGGACCAGCCGCGTCGTGTCTGTCGCGCGCCCGTGATTCCCGCCATCCGTCGCTGCGTCCGCCCGCCCGTCTGCAGCATCTCGTGAGCGCCCGCGTCGCCCTCTGGCCGTCACATCTCCCGCCGCCCGGCCATTGCTCGTCGCCCGGCCATTGCTTGTCGCCATCGCTCGTCGCCATCGCTCGTCGCCATCGCCCGTCGCCCTCGCCCGTCGCCCTCGCTGGTCCCCCTTGCTCGTCGCCACTGCTCGTCGCCATCCAACCACTCGCGACGCCGGCGCAACCGACTGCGGTCCGCCACACGCGCCTTTCAACAGCCCGTCTGCGGCCCCGAGCCCTTCGCTGCGGCCTCCTCCCGTCGCCCTCGCGGTTCCATGCCGCTCGTTACCAGGACCTCGCGCCCACACAGTCCCCGCCGCAGTTGCGCCTGCACTTGACCGCCCGACGCATTCGCCATGGACATCAACTCGCTGCTGTCGCCGTCCGACTCGCCCGCGCAAACGCCGCCGCCGCCGCCGCCGCCGCCGCCGCCGCCGCCGGCGCCCACCCATGCCTCGCCGTCCGCCCTGGCAGCCCACTCGCCGGGCAAGCGCGCCGTCCGCCAGCAAGTGCCGTCGAGAAGCTCGTCGGGACTGAGCCAGCAGATCACGTCGTCGCCGCAAGTCCACCTCGGACACCAGAACATGTCCTCGCCCGGGTACGGCCACCTCGCGAACGGCGCACGGCCAGTCCACAGTGCCACAGGCACCCCACAGCCGCTGGGGTCGCCGCACGATGCGCGCATGACCCCGCCGTCCCACCTGTACCGCCAAGCGTCGACGCCCGGCATGGATGCACTGGCAGACCTCGCAAGCATGCAGCAACAGCAGCAAGCTGCACGGCAAAACTCGCTCGGCCACCAGCGGCCCGTCACGTAAGTGCAGACGCACGCTCTTGGACGGTGCTGTGCATGTCACAAGACCCCGCTAACAAATTTGCAGGCTGCAGCACCTCGGACAACACCTTTCAGGCGACTCTGTGGCCAGCACTGCCATGTCGGAGCACCACTCGCCGAGGCCGCGCAGCTTTGCAGCAACGTCGCTAGACCAGCAGCACACGGACTACCTCGAACAGCTGGACCGCGATCTCACCGAAAACCCATTCAACTACTACAGCCATCTTGCCATGGTCACAACACTGCACCAAGGCTTCCAAACACATCTCGAGTCGATCGAGGCCAGCGCGCACGACTACGAGCTCGTCCACATCCTGCGTGACGCCTACCGCGTAATGTCGGAAAAGTATCCTCTCGGAGAGACGCTGTGGCACTACCGCCTCAACGACGAGAAGATCCTGGCCAGGAATTCAGAGGAGCGCATGGGCGTACTCGAGCTGCACAAGCAAGCGACACACGAGGAGCCCTACAGCGCGAAGCTCTGGGCTGCGTACGGCGAGTACGTCAGCTACCTCGTCGCCTGCGCCTGGGAGCAGATACCACCCGAGGCGTGGACCGAGGAGGACCGGCTCATTGGCCGTGAGCTTTTCCAGCCACAGCTGTTGGTGGAAGCACTCCAGCAGGGCGCCGAGAGGGTCAAGTACAACCTGCAAGAGAGCAATCTGGTCTGGGATCGCTATCTGCAGGTGCTCGAAGAGGATCTCGAACGCACCGGCCTGAGCCAAGACAAGGTGACGAGGATCGCATCCATATACAACGAGCGACTGGGCCTTCCACACGCCACGTGGTCTCACACACGATCGAGATACATCTCCTTCATCCAGCGCTACCACCTCGGCGACCCCGAGCAGGTCAACGAGCAAGTCACCCAGAAGAACACGCACATCCTGCAGCAGTGTGCCAACCGCGAGGACTACGAGTTCAAGGTCCTCCAGGCCATTCAGAAAGGAGACCAGAATGCAGAGTACCACGCCATCACTCGCTACCTCAAGTGGGAGAAGAGGACCATGGGCATCTACAGTTTTCCTCTTGTCAACGCCCTGTACGAGCGTGCGACGTTGCGCTTCCCAGTCGACCCGGCACTGTGGGAAGACCACGTCGAGTTCCTCATCTGGCAGAATGACCGGTCCGTCGACCTCTTGAACGTCCTGGAGCGCGCCACAAGACACTGTCCTTGGTCCGGATCGCTGTGGTCCCACCGCATACTGACGCTCGAGGTCGAGAACAAGGCGTTTGAGGAGATTGAGCACGTCAAGCATACGGCCACTGGAACTGGGTTGCTGGAGCACTCTGACATTGAGGAGATCATCAAGGTTCAGATTGCATGGTGTGGATACCTCCGACGAAGAGCATTCGACGACCCCAAGGCCACCGATGACGATGCCGACATTGCTGAAGTCGGCATACGATCCGCACTGGAGTTTGTGCGCGAAGTTGGCATGAAGAAGCACGGACGCGATTGGGCAGGCGACACAAAGTATCGCCTTGAGCGCATCCACATAAAGTACTGGCTCCAGCGCCGAAACGTCGACGAGGCCCGGAACATCTGGGAGTCTCTTATCAAGCGCCGGGGCGATTCGTACGATTTCTGGTATCGCTGGTACATGTTCGAGATGGTCTTTTGGTCACAGGACGCAGTGCCGACTGAGCAGAATTCCGTGCAGCACTTGTTCACGCCAACCCGAGCCACCGCTGTCCTGGAGCGTGCTATGGAACGTGTCCAGACCATGGACCTTCCGGAGCTCATCATTGAAATGTACACGAACCATTGCGAGCAGCATGAGAATGTCTTGAAGGTCCGGAGCGCTGCCATTGAGAAGAGACGGGCCGAGCGGATGGTCTCGATTCGACACGAGAAGGACAAGGCAGCTGTCGAGGCGGCAGCAGCAGCGGCTCGGCCCCAGCCGCCCGACTACTTCACCGAGGGGTCTGCAAAGAGGAAGAGAGAGCATGTCGGCGTCGATCCCGATGCCGCAGCGAAGAGGAGCCGGCAGGTTGACTCGGCAGATAGCTCACCTGCTGCCGTTCCCGTCAACGAAGAGCCTGTGCGCGCTAGCGAGGCGCCCTCGGACGCTCAGCCCGCTGGACCGAAGCGCGACCGGGAGCACACCACTGTCATTGTCAAGAAGCTGCCGGCGGAAACGACGCAAACGCAGATCAGACAGTTCTTCACAGAGGTAGGCACGGTCCGCAATCTCACGCTCAAGCCCGAGCAGGACAGCGTGACGGCCATGGTCGAGTTTGAGACGTCCGAAGAGGCCGAGTATGCTCTGAGCAAAGAAGCAAAGGGCTTCAAAGGCCACAACATCTCGATTGAACGTGGAGCGAGCACGACGCTCTACGTCACAAACTACCCGGCGCACGCCGATGAAGCGTACCTTCGCCAGCATTTTGAGCCTTTTGGAGAGATTATCGGCTTCAGGTTTCCGTCGCTCAAGTTTGACACACACCGTCGCTTCTGCTACGTACAGTTTGCCAATGCTGCGCAAGCCGTCGCCGCGACGCGGCTCGACGGCACAGATGTGGAAGGGCTCAAGCTGAGCGTCAAGATTTCGAATCCGCAGGCCAAGAAGAAGCGAGACGGCGCGACTGCCGAAGGGCGCGAAGTCTATGTCTGGCACCTCAACTTCAAGATCAAGAAGCAAGAGGTCCAGGAGACGTTTGCACAGTTTGGCCACATCGATCGCATCAACTTTCCAACGCTCAAGACCGGCAACAACAAGGGGTTCTGTTTTGTGGTGTACGATGCCAAGGAGAGCGCCCGTGCTGCAGTCGCCGAGATGGACAAGAAGAACTTCTGGGGCCTCGAGCTGCACGTGGAGATCGCCAACGACAAGAACGAGACAAAGCCAAAGATCAAGTCGACTCTTGAGAACCCGGAACATGCAGCGGCCCGCGACGGCTCACGCACGGCGACACAGACAGCCCGCGACGGCTCACACACGGCGACACAGACAGCCCGCGACGGCTCACGCACGGCGACACAGACAGCCCGCGACGGCTCACGCACGGCGACACAGACAGCCCCCGCCGCGGCGCCGGCCGCAGCATTCAAAGCCGCGCCGTTCAACGAGCGCTCCCTCGCCATCCTCAACCTCCCCGACACCGTCCCAGACGTGCGCCTCAAGCCGCTCGTCGAACCCTACGGCTTCAAGAAAATCACCCTCGAGCCCCAGCACGGCGGCGCAGTCATCGAATTCACCACGGTCGAGGGCGCAGGCAAAGCCGAGATTGCACTGCAGAGCCTCGACTTTGAGGGCAGGAAACTGCGCATCGGATCTGTCAGGGAGCTGCGCCAGCAAAAGGGCGAGTGGAAGGCGGCAACCAGCTTCGTGCAGCCGAACCGCGTGCAGAGGCCCGCTGCGCGCGGCGGTAGCGGCGGCAGCGGCGGCAGGGGTAGAGCGAGGGGCCGGACGGGATTCGGCGCCCGGCCCGCGGTGCCGAGGGTGGCGGCTAGCACCAACGGTGAGGCGAAGAGTAATAGCGATTTCCGCGCCATGCTGCTCAAGGGCCGCGAGGGCGGGAACGATACCATGGAGGAGTAATGGCAGCAGCGGGGATTCACGAATGCATCATGGCGTCACCACTTTGTTTTCATCCGGCTGGACGGACAGTATCCGGCATGCATCACTGGCGTTTTGGGGACTTTGCTGCATTGATGGGGGAGGTGAGGATGAGGTAATCTTGGTGGGGTGGAAGATGATGTCGGGCTATGTAGTGTCTATCTAACAAGAGCCGCTCACGTCGGCCATGCCCGCTTTTATCTCGCAGCCTCTCAGCACTGAATGATATTGGTAAAGTCAAGCGACGGTGTCGTTTGTTGGAAGCCAGCGTCGGAGATGGCCATTCTCTCATCACATGCAGAGCAGAGCAGAGCAGAGCAGAGCAGAGCAGAGCAGGCTAGCACCGACACTCGACGCCCTTCCGCGACACGCACAGATACTTGACGCCCTTGTACGGTGTCACGCCGCCGCCCAGGCCGCGGCTCTTTCTCACATCGAGATTCAGACTCTCGACCTTGAGCCCGCTTGGCAGCCATCCCTTGACGCTGAACGACACCGTGGCCGCGGACGGCATGAGCATCTTGTTCGCCGTCCGCCTCTTCTCGTCCAGCGCGTCGCTGTTCCGCGGTGAAGCCATAGTCGCAGGACCCGCAGCAGCAGCGGACTGGTACGAACCCGCGCCGTCGTCGTCGTTGTAGTCGTAGGTAGTCGTCGATACCACGGCGTCGTCGTACCCCGTCACTCCCTCCTCGTCTGTGGTGGAACCCACCACGGTCCCGGACAGGAGCGCGTGGCACCCCACGCCGCCGCCGCGGTCCTGCGCCATCAACACAGCCACCTCGCGCGCCGAGATGCGCCACTCTATCCCCGCCGCGCCGGGCGCGTACGAAGCGTCGCCCATGCCGCGCGCGACGCGCAGGTCGAGGATGTTTGCCACTGACGCCGGGAGCGGGATGTGCACTGTCATGTCCTCGATGGCGGGCGCGGTGCTTGTCCCCGCTGCTCCTGCACCTGCGGCTATGCGCGAGCCGAAACCGCCTCGGGCGGGGGCGGGAGGTGCCGAGGATTTGCCCGTGAAGCGCGGGTTCAGCTGCAGTCGGACCTGGAAGGCGTCGCCGCGTGGGCCGAGCGAGGCTGTCACGGATACGGTGGCGGGGATGTTGAGGGCCGGAAGGGTCTGCTTCGCGGCGGTTGTGAAGGCGTCGAGGGCCGCGGGGCCGAGCAGATCGACCTCGTAGGCGGCCAGCACGAAGCGGCCGTCTGGCGGCACAAAGGAGAGCTCGCCGGGCCGCGCGGTCCAGCGGCCGAGGCGCACGCAGGGGTGGAACACGGGGAGCGAGATGGCGGACGAGACGCCGCCCGGACAGGCCAGGTGCAGCAGCAGGTCGGGCACGCCGGAGACCTTGGCGGTGAAGGCGATGGTCCCGCTTGCGATGGCCGAGAGGGGGCGGCCCGAGGGCGAGAGCGTGACGGCCAGCGTTTCCACAATATCGACGTACATTTCGTTGCTTGTGTGGCGCACGTTGGCGCGCCGCCAGGGCACGGGCGAGGTGCTCGGTGCCGTGTTGGACGGCCCCAGGCGCGGACTCGGTCCTCCTCCCCCTCCCCCTCCCCCTCCCCGTCCCAGCGAGAACGGCGTGCTCGAAGGCGCGAGGGAGCTCGGCGTCGTGCTGGGCAGTCCAACGTTCCCGAGCAGACTCTTGATCAGGGAGGGCGCGTCGACCAGGTCGCGCAGTGCATCAGGCTCGGTGCAGCTGATGATGCCGCCGTCGACCATCTCGTTCAGCAGCTGGGCGACGACATGGTAGTTGGCCTCGATCTTGCTCGCGAGCAGCGGCGCGCCGAGGTAGTCCTCCAGCACGTCGGCCAGGCGGTGCAGGAACTCAAGCACCTGGAGCGGGTCAGTGTCCGACGAGCATGGCGCCAGGAAGAGCAGCTGGTCCTGGGCGAGCGAGTAGAGCAGCGTCGCGGGGTTGGTGGACGGGAGATATATCAGCGACGGTCGCGGAGCCGGGTGTGCGAGGTACAGAGGCAGGAGGGTGCTGCTCGAGGCCGGGCGGCCGTTGCAGATGTGCTCGAGGAGAGGAGTGCTGCGCCGTGTCAGCCGGCTGCGGGCGTGTCCACTGTTGGCGGGGTGATTTACTTGTGCTCATCAAAGATGAACAGAGCTTCAATGGTGCTCATGCTTTTGCTCCGTCGCTGCTCGTCATTGGGACCGGGACGTGAGGTTCGACAAGGCGTGGGGCTGTCCGCGGGGGTCTCGAGCGTGATGATGCAAGCGCGCGGTTGGACCCTGCATGGGTACGGGACCGGTAGATTGCCGCAGTCGCATCCATGGCATCGGACATGCGCCGCGAATCTCGACGTTTGGCTTGACCAACCTCACACCATGGCAACCGACGTCCAACCGCCGACCTTCAAAGAGGCCCTGAAGCAGGACAGGGCGCAGTTCGACGACTGCACGCCCTGCCGCGTAGTGGGTATGCTCGCTCAACGCCATGCTGCTTGGGTCGTCGACTGACATCTCGCCCAGGCAGCGCTACCTTTGTCGGCCTCGGCGCCTTCACGTACGTGTCCGGCCACTCGCAGTTGAAAGCACAAGAGGCTGTCATCAGACAGAGCAAGAGCGTCTTCGGCATGGGCAGCAGGAGGGCGGCCATCACCACGACGAGCGCCGTGTTTGTCGGCCTGGGTGTGTACAGGTGGTTTGCCTGAGGTTGGGACTCGGCACTGCTGCATTTGACGGCGTTGGGGAGATACACAGCGTACGAAATACATACTTTCGAGGGAGCAGAGTGCATGTGTGCTGCTCAAGCAATATCTCGTGTGCTGCTCAAGCAATATCTCGTGTGCTGCTCAAGCAATATCTCGTGGTATTAACACCTCATTCCACCCGCCTTGCCCTGTTCAGGTGCATTCGGGTCCCCCAACGCTTAAAAGTCCTTTGCCATCTCTGCTGCTACCAAGTAACACTAATGGAATATCCCGTGGTATATAGTAAACTCCGCACAATGCCAGATGAGCAACTCCGTACAATGCCAGATGAGCAACTCCTGCCCATGCATAATGAAATCCCCTGCCCAATGCGCCTATCATGTGTGCTCTCCTTCTCGTCCATGACCACATCGTCGTGCTGTCTTCATCCTTTGTCTAGTCATGCTCTGATGTCCCCCGGCTGTGGTGATCCAGTTCATGTCATACGCCCCCTCTTGGGTCCTCCTCCTCCTCCTCCTCCTCCCCCGGCGCCGTCACGCCTGTCGTTGGATCCGTCGCCATGGAACGAGTCCATCATCCGCCGCTTCTGGCCCGCGCCCTGGCCCAGCTGGAAGAGATTCTGCGTCGCGGTCCGCTGGAGGTTCCGTGACGAAGATCGGTTCGAGTGTCGTTCGCGTCGGGGTGTAGGAAACGCTCGTCTGGCCGCAGCACCAAAGTCACCGAATACGTTGTCCGTGTTCACACCTGATGGGTATGCCTGTGGCGCAGAGAACTGGAACACTTGGTGCAGTGGCGACATGTCCGGCTCGCTGAGGGACGCCTCCAACTGCACGGGTGGCGCGGCATCAGGCCTCTGAGCAGCGTCGGCGTGGAGGTCCGGCGTGCGGGTTGCCTCGGGGCTGATGTTGCGTTCCATGATAGGCGAAGAACTGCGGGCGCGCTTGTCGTCCATGTCGTTCTCGTCATCCTCGTCGCTGTTTGCGTGCCGTGACCCGTCGAAGCGCTCTGTAGCCCACTGCCGTATCCGCCAGCCTTCGCCGTCTCCAACGCCCAGGTTTTCCTTATCCAGAAAGCTGAGGAGGTCGTCCAGGGCTTCTTGGTACCCGTCGTTGCGGGCGCGGTCGACGTCTGCCAGCGCCGACTTGTACAGATTGGTCAGCTGCAGGGCAGCGTTTTTGAACGACTGATGGACGTCTGGCTGCTGTTTTGTCTTCGGCAGCGACTTGTTGAGGCTCCGCATCGAGTCCATGGTGTTGTGTGGGTGCAGGTAGGTGCCTGTGTACACGTCAGTGGTGCTTCGGGAGAGGCCGATCCCGATCGTACCTGCTAAAACGTGAAGGTGCTCTAATGAGTGTTGTGTGCCTGATGAGGCGGCGAATGCGTGAGTGAAGACAAGAAAGCAAAGCTGACGTCTCGTGGAGGGGCAAGTGGAATGTGGTGAGGTACATGGTGGGGAACTTCTTCTCGCGGTGGAGACACTCTTTCCGCACAGACGACCTCGTGGCCCTGGACCCTGGCCACCAGTGACCACATTGACATCCAACGCTAAGACGCACCAGGAACCAACATTGGACGCCAGCATGAGTTGCGACAACAATCAGTGAACCTTCAACATTGAGACACCTGTCTTAGCAACAGCGCATCCAGAAACGATGGACAACTCCTGGACATGACCTCCCCGTTTGAGCGCCTCCCAGCCGAGCTCTTCGACATCATCGCAGCCCACTTGGACCTACCAGGATATCAAACGGTCCGCTTGAGTTCACAGCGACTCCATTTGCTAAGCCTGTCAACCTTCACCAAAAAGTACTTCACGAAAGTCATCACCACACTCGGTTCCCCGTCGCTGGATCGTCTCGTGCACGTGGCGAACCACAGTCATCTGTCGAGACTGGTGACGACATTGGAGATCAGGCTGCTCAACCACCGCAACTACAAGGACTTGATCAAGATTGCGCGGGTCGGCCTCTTCCCGCCGCCAAAGCGCTTCCCCAAAGTCTCCTGCGTCCGGAACCAAGACATCGTACAAGAATCCACCTTGTATGATGACGTGCACGCAAACAGGCAGGCAAAATGCATCACTGAGCGCCTCACGCGAGCAATGCGGGGCCTCTCCAACCTCACATCGATCTGTTTCCGCGCGCACGATATCGAGCCGCTGGAATGGAAAACCATCGACGTGCCTGAAGGTGACGAAGTGTTCCGCTCACGCTGTCTGCGCGCTGTGCTTGACGCGATACTGCAAAGCGCCATCTCCCTCTCCACCTTCACCATGGGCAAAGAGAAAGGCGTCACGTTCAGCAAATGCGCGAACGTCCCGTACCCGGCGCTGCAGCTCCCGCCCGAGTATCTCCAGAGACTGCGCCCAAACTTTGAAGCGCTGACGCACTTGACGCTCTCCATTGTGGCAGCGCACAACGGACACCACCGCCTCCCCGGCTGGGAAAACGGGCTTTCGCGCTTCGTTTCCAGCGCACCGCGTCTGACGTCGCTCGCGCTGTCGCTCGATCGCAAAGCTCAAGTCTCCCAGTACGGAGCGCGCATCATGCGCTCGCTCTCCGACACAATACAGCTCGAGCGTCTCTCGAGCTTGCAAATCTTCAATACGACGGTGCACGAGTCAGACCTCACCAAATTCATAAAGACGCACGCTGAAACCTTGCAAGCCATCAACTTGACTAATCTGTGTCTGTTGACGGGGAACTGGCTGGCTTTGCTGTCTGCGTTCAAACGTGTAGAGAGCTTGCAGACGCTGAGATTGTCGTCCATCAACGGCGTAGGGAGCCCCGTGCAGTTCCGACACCGCGACCGGGAGCGGCGAAAGATCACGCTCGACACTGCGCGGTCCGGGCAGACTATGGGAGCGATGCTGGACCAACTGGTCGCGGACTGTCAGGTCGGCGCGAGTGTGGCGGCCATATATGCACTGAGTAGTGTATCGTAGATGTTTCGAGTAGTGTGTCGTAGATGTCTCTTGTGTCCAACTGGAGCCGCCGTCATATCCTGGGGTTTGCATGGTGGCTTTGTTAAGAAGAGGAAAGCTTGGTGTTGCTGGTGCGGGACGGCACGAGATCCGGCTTTTGACGTGTCTAGAGGGGTGTTTGGGAACCGGATATGCGGGACGTTTCTTCCAAGATGCGGTGTAGATGGCGGAATCTTGAAATGCGACTCACGTATGCAGCCATCACGCTTAGTCCGGATCTCTCCTGCGACCACCGCTGTGGACCAGGCAGTTGCACCAGAGTGTCACAGTCCTCATGCGCAGCAGAGCAGACTGCAGTGCAGGTGCGTGTAACTTTTGACATTCGCTCAAAGCCTCTTGCACGAACCCATATCTACATAGACCCGGAATGGTCCCTAGATCCTTCGCATGCGTAACAAGCGTAGCGGCCGTATGCACAAGCGCGCTTCCTGTCTCTCTCAAGAACATCGATCCGCGACCGAGGCCTATTTACACGCTCCAACAATCCAAACAAACAAACGTCGGGAAACACCCGGGGTATGAAGAACGCCGGCCACCAATGTGGCCGTAGAACAGTATTGACAAGACGAGATGCGGGCAATAGATACATTACGCGGAATGCCGTTTTGCGGCCTGATTAATGACAGTGAGCAACGAAGGTATGGCGCGGCGGCGCCCGTGATGGACAAATGGGGCCGTTGGCCGGTGCTGGCGCGAAGCAGATACAGAGAAGCTGTAAACACATGCATGCCTCGTGATATGTGGATTGCGGGTAGCGACAGTAAGAAGTGAAGGACGGTAGGAAATTCATCAGACGTTTTCGGTGAAGCGCGAGCTTCGAGAGCCATCAGCAGAGTGTAGGCTCCTACCGAGTGCGGCTCGAGGTGACAGATCGGCGGGGGACGAGAAGGGGTTTGGTGACATTGGTGGGCTGAGAGTCCGATTTGTGTCGTCGAAGGGGTTTTCGGTGGGGTGGTGGATGACTGGTGTCCTTGCGGGACTTGGTCGGACGTTCATCAAGGCTGCACCACCAGCAAAGGACGTCTCGCCGACCTCCTTGCCGAATCCCCCTCCATACTCTTTGTTCAGCCCAGGTCCGCCGTATGTGCCGTGATCGTCTTGGTAGAAAGAAGAGTCGGTCATGCCGGACATATGACCGCCGCGTGCGAACTGGTCTGAGGTCATACCCTCACTGAAAGCAGACGGTAGCTTGCGTCCAGACACTCGTTGAAAGCTGCGTTCCGTGGGCGAACTGGTCTCGGCGGTCGACCTAGAGAGACCAGAAAAGCGATTGAGGAACGCGGAAGGCACGAGGCTGGCCCTTGCTGCGGGTGCTGGCGCCTGTACTTGGCGCGTTGCCTGTTGCTCATTCTCTCTAGGGTGACTGTTAGTGAGCTGGAGTGCTCCACCCTTCCCGCGCTTGTGGCGACGGAGCAACATTAGGATGATAGCCAAGATAAGAGCAGCGCCAGCGAGACTGCCTACTACGCTACCCACAACTTGCGGGGTGTCAAGAGGCGCAGTGCTACCAGTGTCAGAGTCGCCAGCAGCAGCGGCGCTAGTATCAGCAGGGGATGCCGCTGTCGCAGATCCGCTGACGCCATTCGAACTGGAGCTGCTACTTCCATGAAAAGATGAAGACACGGCGGAATCTAAAGATTCTGTGGGCGTGGCGCGGTTGGAGGATGCGGTGGTCGACAGCGAAGAGCCGGATTGTAAGGATCCTGATGCAGCTCTAGATGAGATAGCAGTTGCTGATACCATGTTGACGACAGTGGGTGACGAGTATGTGAAATCGCTCGTTGTCGAAAGTAAGGTGGACGAAGGGGATAGTATCAAAGAAGTGATCGAAGACGTGCTAGTGGAGATGCTGGATGTTGTCGACTTGGTCGTGCCCGCTGCGGTAAGTGCAGCAACAATAGATGGCTCACTGCTAGCCGTAACGCTTGATACGTACGATGCAGCGTCCGCATCGGCAGAGACTGTACTGACGCTTAATGTAGCATAGGGATATGCGGGTACTGTCAGATCGCTTGGAAATGCAGGGACAGACGGGACGGATGGAAGTGAAACACTCGGTACGGCCGGGACAGATGGTACAGAAGGCAGCGCGGCGGCGGCAGCCACAATTGGCGTGGTTGATACGGACGACACTGATGCTCGCGAAGCTTCGGTCGGTGTCGAAAGCACTGCTGACTGGGTCTCTGACGGTAGAGATGCTGTCGAAGGGACCGCAGGAGTCGATGCTGCCGCATCTGACGATTCAGAGGGCGCTGAGACATCACTAGCGTTTGTGACGGGTAGTACCTGGCTTGCTCCCGTTGAAACAGTCGAGTCTGGCTTCGTTACGGTGGTTTTGGCAACCACGTTTCCAGCGGTGTCCACGGTAGCGATGACCTCGACGTTGACGGTTTTGACGTTGGAGCCGGTGCCTTCGACCTGGGGCGCCCTTCGATGAAATCTCCGGTGAGAGTTGCTCATTATAGTCCGTCTCTTGTGTTCCCTGAACAGTGGCCTGTCGGCGGGATCCTCCTCTTGCTCGTTCAGTTTTGCTCCCCTCGGCAGTCCTCTTTCTGTTAATGTGTACTGCTGGTGGCGGTGGTTGCGCGAATCGACTCTTGATCTAAAGGGTGCGATGATATGGTCCATGGATAAACGCTACTTGCGCGCAGACGATGCTTCCAGAGGAATAGTGATGATAATTTGTCTGTGTTCGCGGAACATGAGCTCCGAATGATTGGATCCAGTTGATGGTAGTCGCAAGCGATGCTAGGCCGTGCTAATGAGGGGACGTATGGGCGTTGGCCGATGCAGTAGTCCAGTCAATGGATGCAGTAGATGGGGCGCGTGGTGCGTAGTGCGTGGAGCGTGAGTGAATGTCGAGAAGCGAGCGGCTGCCAAGATCTGGCTGGGGTGAAGGAACGACTGATAGGGGCAATGATTAGAGTGCCCAGCGCATCACGATGCGGTATAACTACACACCTAGGCGCGGTCAATGGGCCAGCATGAACTGCGCGATGAGGTTGCCTGCGCGAGCAGGTGGACGGGGGCCGCGACTATGAGGCAGCAAGGCTCGCTATGGCGGGTGGGTTTGCTACAGCCGGTGCGCTGTGTATTGTGGATGGTGCAACAGACGGACAGGGCGGGGCTAGCGATGTGTGCGACGGCGGACTAAAGGTTGCAGTCTGAATCGAAAGGGGCCTGGGCGTGGAGTCCTGCGCTCAGACAAAGACACTGGCTCTTTCAGGGTCTCTCTGTGTCCTCCTCCTTTGCCGGGCGCACTGCGAGCGGGGCTTGTCGACGTCGCAGCGGAAGGCTGGTGAGAGGAAGAAGCTCGAGGGCGCTGGGACAAGCACACAGTGCAGTGGAAAGAGCAGCAAGCAGCGGCGAGTGAGCCGCGAAGCCTGGGCGGTTGTTGTGGGGCGGACTGCTGGGATTATTGGGTAAAGGCGAAATTGGCTCGTCCGTGTGCTGTCTATTTCGGTACCTCCCACGATGACGCGCAGAGCTCACCACAAATGGACGGGTTGGAGAAGCTTAAAACGCTTGGAGGGGAATGTTGAGCTTCTTTCATGTTGCCTCGCTCAATCAAAGCAGCAGATCGATTAGCCGCTTGCGAGCGCGACAAGAGTGGAGAGCACAGTGATTCGAAGTCACGCACGGCAGAACAAGTTGGTTAGTGCAGCCAAGCTCGCCCTGCAGACGCCAGGAACGCGCCTTCCACTTTGCCAGACTGCTGGGGCCTTGCTGGAGCTTCAATCTCTTTAGGCGCCACCATCCTTTAAGGGCTACTGTCTGTCGTAGCCTGTGACCCTTTGCGCAACGGACACCACCAGCGAGCACCAGCCTGCTGTTCCTCCAGAAAAGCCATGCTGTTTCTAGCCTTGCGTGGCTTTAGACATCTACTGCCAAGCCATGCTGGCCGTCTGGCTAACCCCCTCGTTGATTGCCGACGATTGACTGGGGGCTATTGGAGTTGCTTCAGAAATCTAGCACGTCTGTCTAGAGGAGGGATGGCTGCGTGACTGCACGGCCAAATTTCCTTTTGGTCATCTCATCCGTCAGAATTCGTCTTCATCCACGCGTCGCAGCTCACATGAAGGACAAGTGCATTTCACGTGGAGATGAGGCTCTGCTCTCGATTTTCGGCAAGTCTGCATCGCCTGTCGCGGCTACTTTCTGATTTGCGGTCGTAATCTATCGTCCTTCGTACTGAACATCAGGGCTGGCCAGCTGCCGGATTCTCAACGTTCAAGGACCCCGCACATTCTGCACCGCCACTATCTATTGCGACTCCCAAGTCGACACCAGACTCGTCTTCCTTTGTAGCCAGCTAAATTGATAAACAATGCATCCTACCTGATTGTGCGCCAACTGAGTGGTGTGCGCAGCCCGTCACCGCTTACCAAATCTCAAAATGACGTCGCTATCGAATCTTGCAGATCAGGATGAAGCCAACAGCAACAGCAACAACAGAAGAGCCCCACCGCCGCTTCCCCCGCGAGCCTCACAACCAAACGAAATGAACTCACCTCCTAGCTATACATCGGTCATGGCCATGTCGTCACACGATCCGCGGTCTTCATCGACACAATCTTTGATTCCAGACCCTTCCCTGGAGAACACGGGCCGCCGCCGCATACTGCTTGTGTACGTCCATGGCTTCATGGGCAATGAGACAAGTTTCAGAAGCTTCCCAGCCCACGTGCATAATCTTGTCGCTGTGACACTTGCGGACACGCACGTGGTGCATACCAAGATTTATCCCAGATATCGCGCGCGTTACAGTCTGGAACAGGCCAGAGATCAATTCTCCGCATGGTAAGCCACACAAACTAGGGCCGTACTAGAGGCAGAACACTGACCTCTGTCAGGCTGGCGCCACATGAGGACCAATGGACGGACGTAATACTTCTCGGTCACTCCATGGGAGGGTTGCTTGCTGCAGATGTCACTTTGCTATTCCGTCATCGTATCATCGGCATCATCAACTTTGACGTACCATTCGTTGGCATGCACCCTGGTATCATCAAAGCAGGTCTTGGGAGCATCTTCACAAAAGCACCACCACCGGAAGACAAGATACTCACGTCGCCCGCAACAGGATCCAAGCCTAGCCGAATGAGTACAATCTTCAACCCAAAGCCTGCGGATCCCAACTACAACCCATCATTTGCCAACGATGTTCATCTGCCAGTGCGGAAGGGCTTGGACAATGCATTGCATTGGTTCAACAAGCATTCGAACAACATCAAGGAGGCTGGAAAGGGACTCGTCAAGTCTCACTTTGAATTTGGCAGCGCCATGGCCGACTACAAGGAATTGAAAGATCGATATGCGCGCGTGCGCGCTCTTGAAGAAGAAGAAGAGACGAAACGAAGGATGGGCAACCCAGATGTGCGATCGCCGCCTCGGATACGGTTTGTCAACTACTACACTGCAAGCACAGGCAGACCGAAGAAACCAAAATCACCCAAAAGCCCGTCGCCGTCTCGACCAGGAAGCTTGTCGCTACAGCATCAGGATAGCGATGCGAGCGGCCTGGTCACACAGCCGCAACAAGATCTCAACAGATTGAACTCCGAGCCTGGTACACCTTCACCTTTGTCGATTGACGTCAAAGAGCACCGTGGGTCTGATGTGGTTTCTGCTACACTGCCTGAAATTCTCTCTGGGACAAGTCCGTCAAAGAAGCTTCCAGACCAGGACAGCGGTCGACTGATACTACCAGAAATTCCACCCATACCACAGGAGCCACATTTTGTAGACACTGCGCAGATCGCCGACAAGACCCAACGTCGGGTGGCAGAAAGAGAATACGACGAAGCCCTTGAAGCGTACCAGAAAGCTGTGAAAGCTCGCAACAAAATCATCAACGAGCGTGAAGATATGGAGGAAGCATGGGAAGTGCAGCGGCAACAGCATATCACAGTGCCACTCCCACCTCAGTCCAAGGCAGAGCTTACTGGTGAAGAGCTCAGACTCGCGCAAGAGAAGGGAAGAATGGCAAGAGAGCAAGCGCGTTTGGAAGGCAGAGAGTACCATTCACCTGCCGAAGATATTACGGCGAGCGTCGAAGAAACTCCCAGCACAGCGACACCAGGTTTAGAGTCCGGCCTGCACACCATGCAACTTGGCGACGCAACCTCCCACAGTCCTTACTCCAACTACTCCTTCTCCCGCAGCGCTATCCTCAGCCAAACCTCACCCGACGATCAAGCCTCCGTCACCGACTCCAACTACACAAGCAACACCACCGAGGCCGCTGACAGCAGCGACACCAAGTCCGACAAGAAGAAGAAAGAGAAGAAACTCGGCAAATTCTGCATGTTACCGCCCAAAGATGGCGATGGACATAAAGACCCCACCTGGATCCGGGTATATATGGAGGACATGGATGAGGTTGCTGCACATACAAGTTTATTCTTCATGAACGAGACGTATGAGAGACTTGTCGGGGATGTTGGGGATCGGATCGAGGAGTGGGTCAGGGAGGCGGACAGTGTCAGAGTTGTGAGGGAGATGAGTGGGATGGCATGATCTTTGCCATCGTACCCGAGGGAGGTATTGTCTAGCATGTTATTGATCAGCACTCAAGCACGCTTCAAGGCTTTCAGTTTTCTCGCCTTATCTACATCTGCCCAAGCCTCCCCACATCCATGTCTCCCTTACCTCCACCCCGTTACAAAGCGACGTGCTGCAAGCTCAAACCCGCTCCAAGCACCGCCCCGTACCAGATCATCGCCCCTAACCCCACGAGATTCGTGATACTGCTAATCCCGTGCAAAATACTAAACTTCCTGTTCAACTTTTGCATCTCCTCACTGTGCGGGCCCTTGTCATACGCCGCCTTGCCATCCCTTGTCTCCTGATGCTTCCTAATCTTCATAATCTCCGTCGTCTTGGGGCCCACGTAGACCAAGTTAGCGACGGCAGTGACGAGCATGGTGCCGATCAGCCACACATTGAGGCGGTCGGTGGGGCTCTGCAGGACCGGGGTGGAGGACAGGTACGGCACAAGGCGCGATGCGCCGGAGGGGTAGGTCAGCAGCATCGCGAGCGGCGTGACCGTCTGCAGCGTGAAGTACACGGGGAATGTGTGTTTTTGAAGCGTGGAGAATTGCGGCCGCGGGAGCACTTTGAAGGCGACAACGCCGGCAATGAAGGATTGGAAGAGCGTGCTGCCGAGGAGGGTGCCATAGCTGATAGCGTCAATTTAGGTAAGGCTGTGCAGGTGAGGGTAGGCAAACCTGAGTAAATGGTATGTAGCCGGGTTCTTGAACGAGTACGAAGCCATGCTTGCGAAAGGCAGTGGGTGATGCTATTCGAGATGTGTGTATTTCCTAGATGTATTGGAGGTCCTTCTAGCACTGTACCCTGGGTGCTACAAATGGGTAAATGGTCTATAAAAGAGTGCGTATTGATACTCATCAGTGGCGCGACATCTCTATATACCTAGTCCATGCGTAGCCGCGATGGTCCGCAATCGATGATGATCTCACTCTATCTCCAACGCGTGATCCCTGTCACCGCCAACTCAATCCCTCCAAGCGCGAAGCCCCACCTACACCATCTTGAACTCACATTCGACTCAAACACCCCACAAACGCACACGCGCAATGCTGCTGCCGACGTTGATCGACTTACGGCGGCCAGAAGGGAAAGAGCTCGACCCCGAGGATATCTTTGGATCCTCCCTCGGCGGCGTCTTCACCGACGACCTGCAGAACCAACACGGCGACGACCCAGAAACCGTCATTGTGTACAAGAATGCACAACACGGCAATCTCGAGTTCCAGACCGCGGACATAAATGGCGAGGAGGAGAGGCGGAAGATGGCACACTATTTATGGAACGCTGGCGTACTCATGGCCGAGCTTGTAGGCGGAAGGCCAGAGGAGGGGCAGAGTTTGCAGATTGATGTGTTTGGGAATGAGGGCTGGAAGGATGGCGAGTGGTGGGTGAGCAGAGAGGAGGAGAGACTGTGGAGTGTGGAGGGCGAGAGCGTGATTGAGCTTGGTGCAGGTGCGTTGGGTTGAGCGCAATTGAAGAGATGGCTGATGGAACGTCGATGCAGGCGTAGGACTGGCCGGTGTCATGAGTGCCCTTGCTGGCGCTGAGAAAGTAAGCTGAGCAAGTTCAAGTTTGGCTTTGTCGATGCTAAAGAACCCCCAGGTTGCTATCACAGACTACCCAGCCCCACCGATCCTCTACGCGATCAAAGCCAATGTCACAAAGAACATCAAACCACCTCTGCAGTCGCGGATGACTGTCGAGGGCCATCTCTGGGGCGACACTTCCTCTGACTTTGCAATCGCCAACGCACACAAATATACGCGGGTCCTGGCAGCAGATTGTTTATGGATGCTGGGAGAGCACGAGAACTTGGCGAAGTCGATGCTTCACTTCCTTGCCGAAACTCCAGATGCGAGAGCCTTGTGTATAGCCGGTTTCCATACCGGCCGTGCTAAGCTTGTGATATTCTTCGAGGACGTAGTCCCTCAGCAGGGACTGGAGGTGGAGGAAATGTACGAGATGGACGCAGATGGCGTACGGCGGCCCTGGGCAAGGGAGAGAGATGGAGGCAGAGAGGACATCGGCGAGCGGAAGAAATGGCTGGTGGTAGCACGGCTACGGCGGCGGGCCGTTTGATGTTCGCAAATCGTGACCGTGCAGCGAGATAGTCCGTTGCTCAGGCCTTGCGCCTGAAGCACAGAGTGCAAACACTCGTCCCTGTCTTCCCTCCAAATGTGAAGCTGGGGTACTTCGCCTTGTTCTCATACACCAGCTCGCCGCCCTCGACATCGAACCACCCCTTCACCTCTTCTTCGGTCCAATTGCAGCTCGTGATCAAAAATCTTCCCCCTTTCTTGATCAGCTTCTCAACCTTCTCTCTGTACCCCTCACATATCCTCCTTCCCTGCACATCAGTCTCCTGTGCAAGGCAGATGGCATCAAATGTGCCCTTGTCCAGCACAATATCAAACCCCTCGCCCAACCACTCTCCCGCCCCTTCACCAAGCAGATCCCACTCGTAGAAGCGTATATCTTCATACTCGTCACCCTTGCTATCTCTGATCTCATTCGCAAGCTCCACACTCTGCGGTGCATAATCCACACCGACCATCTCGCCCTCCCACTCATCCTCTCTCAGCGCAAACAACAGATGCCCGTTCCCAGTTCCCAGGTCCAGGAATCGCGTCGGAGCCTCGTCGCTAGACGTGTATTTGTGCAATTGCGCCTCGTCCGACAGGTTCTCGAGGAACGAAAGCATGCGCTCCTCTGCGCCCGCGTCGCTGAACCATATTGTGCCCTCGTCGTCCGGGTTCAAGGAGAAGTTTGAACGCTCGGTGGTGTAGGCCGCATCCCAGTAGGATTTGGTGCCCAACTCCGAGGTGTTGAGGTGTTCGGGATTCGACATGGTGGGCGTTGTGTTGTTGTTCTCGCTGCGACCGCCTCGGCTTGGTTCACAGTTTTGGCTTGGAGGGGCTGGTTGGACCCTTGCAAGGGTCCGATGAACGCAATCTGGCCAGGAACAATGACGTAGTTGAGCGGTCGAACAGCCGCACCACTTCGCTATACTTCATTCCAACATTCAGAACACAACAACAGTGCATTCAATCTTGACTTCATCGTTATCCTCGACGACCAATCCACCATGAGCGACTCTGTATCCGCCATCAGCACCCTCCCACCGCTCATCTTCGCATCAGTCCTCTCAGCCTACGGTCTGTACCTGTGCAAAGAGAATATCACCCGCCTGCAGCAATACGAAAAAGCCTCCGAAGAAGCCGCCGAATGGAGCAACACAGCTGCCCAGCGGCTAAACAAAACACGCTCAACGCAGACCAGCGGGACGCTATCCGTAAGCCCTCTCCATCACCTCCCCATGCCAGACGCAACAGCTGACACGCCCACAGTTAGCCCTCTCCTTCCTCGCCGCAACGACCCTCCCCTTCCTCTGTTCGAAACACACATCCACGTTCCTCAGCATCACCGGCCTCGCGCTCGGCGCCGGCCTGTACACCGCACGCACCCACATGGCCAACTTCTGGAACGAGTCAAAGCAGACCAAGATCCCGTTTGTCGAGAAGTTCAACGACGCCATCAGGGGCAGCGAGAGGGTCGTGGCGATCCTGGAGACACTGGCGTTTAGCTGGGGCGTGGCGGGGTGTGTGTGGGCGCTTGACTGGGAGCTGTTGGGTGTCGGGATTTGGGGTGGCGTTACGGCTGCGAGAAGCGTGTGGATGGTTAAGCATGGTGCAGTTTGAGGGGCCGAGTTCAAAGGGCAAAGACAGTGAATAATCGAAGTTTGAGTTCAACGTAATCATTGTCGTTTTGCACGTTCTTTGCCTCTGGGCAGCGTCTCTGACGGCTTTGGTACGACTGTTGGAGCTAACTGTTCACTGGTCGATACGCGGGGACTGTTCGAGGCTGCCGCCCTCTGATTGGCCAGCTCGTTAGTTCCCGCTCCCACACACATTTAGATAAGCGCTCCGTAGTACTAAAATACACAAGATCACCCACCACATTCATCAGGTTATAAGCACTCTTGTTTTCAACAAATATTTAACCTAGTGCGCTAGAGCAGTTGCCAGCAACGTAAAGGGAGGTTGCGACGTTGTTAGAGTTGTGTTTCTGCAAGTGTAACCTACTGTCTAATCTTGCAGAACGTGCACTACTAACGTAAGCGGCAACTGAGCTGCACGGGCAACTGAGCTGCACGGGCAACTGAGCTGCGCAATTAATGCAGCTATCTACCCTAACACATTGAAAAACCTAACACTACAATATCGTATTATAACGTAGATTATCACCGAGCCAGCCATATCACCGAACTAGCCATTTTCTCTTAGCACAACTAACACAAGTTACTACAACTACAACTACTTGCTAGTAAACAGTGACCTAGTATAACGTAGATTATCACCGAGCCGGCCATATCACCAAACCAGCCACTTTCTCTTGGCACAACCACCTTTTACCCTAACACAACATACCTTAACAACAACAACTTCAGAATACTACTAGAGAAGGCAGAGTTATCCTTGCTATCTAGGCCTTCTACGCTAGCTAATTTCGCAGTATCTACAGTGCTGCTAGAGTGTTGAACGTACCTTATTAGTAGGTCTCTAATTACCTTCACAATATTATGTTTTAACTAGACATACACACTAATTGCTAGAAACTTACTATACTAGAGGAGCAGACAATTGTCTAGTATACACTTAACCTTAATTCACAAGGATATGCGCCCTAGCTATATAAGGTAGCAGATATAGCTAATAAGATACTTAGTGTGCGTGGTGAAGAGCCTGTTAGCAAACTATAGGCTAGCAGGCTTGTGACGCGTTTAGACAAGCTTAAAATAGCCTTTAATTAAGCTAAGGATAGACAGAGAATACTATAGGAAGATCCTAAGATAATTAGTGCATAGTTTAAGCTAGTAGAGGATACTTAAGTTAAGTATAGCATTTGTAATAATAATATGCACAACTTTAATAAAACTAGGTTCTAGATAGGTGTTGCTTTGTCTTTAAAGGTTGTAACAGGCTTAGAGAGACGTGCTCAGCCAGAGCTTGTTTAGCCAGGTGATCGCGAGTAGGTTACTGTTATCTAGAGCATCTGCGCTGCTAGGTATATAACCCTGCCTTTCATCATCTACAAATAACACGTCCACATCTCTGCCTAGTATAAGGAAACAGATATACCCTACAATTAGAAGCTCTTAGTCTCTAAGAATAGTAAGACAAACAACATACTTAGCCTTAAGTAGTTAAAGCACTTTAACACGCATATAAAGACGTGTTAGGTAGGAGTGTATAGGTTGCTTATCTTAGACAGCTATAAGAGCTATCTTAACTAGGAGTTTAAGGACTATTACCTAGAGAACTAAATCCTTATATTCTATATACTACCTTACTTATTACACATCCTCTAGCTACTTAACATAGTCTATTTCTTACTATTAAAGTATAAGTACTCCTAATACATTTAAGACTTAGTATACTAACACATCTTCTATATTAATAAGGAAGGCTTCCTACTAGCCTTTAGGGACATGTTCCTTAATATATTTATAAAGGTTAACTACTAAAAGGCCTTTAAGGTATTAGGGCTTATTCCTACTAATATATAAGTAGTGTTAGATTGCCTTAAAGTGCAGCTGCATACCCTACTAGCAGTACCTCTACCTAAAACACTGTAGTAATCTAAGACGCTAAGCAATACACACAAGTTTAGGTCTTAATCTAAGCTTGTAAGCAATCCTTCTAACAATTACTAAGTGTAGCGCAAGAGGGGTTCTTAAAGCTTATAAAAGGGGCTAAAGAGATGCTGCATAAAAATGTCCTTATTAAGGCCTATGTGCAAGAGCTTAAAGAGTAATTAGTAGTAATAACTAAGAGAAAATCGCGTAAGAGAAAGCAGATTCAGCATAGTGGCACACTTAAGTATGGCCCAGCAGCATCGCAGGTAGCTGCTGAGGCGTGTGTAGCAGCTTAGCTATCTAAGAAGACTTGGGGTAGAGGTGGTTAACTAGGAGCTTAGTTAACTGTTTAGCGCTGTAGGAACTATAGCAAGACTAGACACAACGCACAAACGTGCTAGGAGGGTGCAGAAACATCTTCTAAATCTGATGCAAGCACGCAGTATGCTAGGTTACTATTTAATAGTAAGTAGTTGTAGTTATAGTAACTTGTGTTAGTCGTGCTAAGAGAAAATGGCTGGTTCAGTGATATGGCCAGCTTGGTGATAATCTACGTTACTGCGTGTTTGCATTAGATTTAGAAGATGTTTCTGCACCCTCCTAGCACGTTTGTGCGTTGTGTCTAGTCTTGCTGCAGTTCCTACAGCGCTAAACAGTTAACTAAGCTCCTAGTTGATTACCTCTACCCTAAGTCTTCTTAGATGGCTAAGCTGCTACAGACGCCTCAGCAGCTACCTGCGATGCTGCTAGGCCATACTCAAGTGTGCCACTATGCTAAATCTTACGCGATTTTCTCTTAGTTATTTGTCAGATTCTCGTACTGTGAGCCAGAGTATGTGCTTAACGAGATCTTAGGTGGTATAATGATATATTGATGATCGTGGCCATGGTGTTTTTCT